CGGCGACATTTTGGTCTCTAGCTTTAACAGTTCAACACAAAGGCGCCATTTTAAGCTTAGGATGATATTCAGACAGCAGACACTATACCTTGCTGGCCTAAATGCTGACTTCAATTTTAAGATGAGGTATATTTTATGGGTGGTAGCGTTACTGGAGGCCTATGACGTCACCAACAATAGTCGCCATCTTGAATTTTACCAAGAATCAGAAATTGAGCTAAAACCGCGAGAAATCAGTGGTAATTTTTTGTGCTTTACATGAACAATAACACATAAATAAGCACTTTGCATGATTTTAGCTACAAGATTTACTTTCATTGTTGAAGGAAGTTGAAAAAACATGTAATTTCTTCCAAAAATGGCTAGACCACCTGCTACTTATGACGACATATCTCGAAACCATAGCTACTGACCATCACTAAACATGTCTTAAAATGTGCGCAAGGTATGAACGAACAGCCACTGAAAACGTCAGGTGCTGATGTTTTATTCTCTAGGAAAAAAACTCAGAAAAACCTTAGCGGGGGGTGGCATCCAACTCCCCGCTCCCCTTGTACGTCCGAGGGTTAAATCCCTTGGGAAGGTAGGGTTAAAGAAGTGGAAGAAAAAAGGTTCTCCTCTCTAACCCCTAACGAAGATCTGAGCCACACAGTTTTATAAAAAACGACACAAAGCCGCCAGCAATCGAGTTTTCATATTGCCTGAAGTCGAAAGTATTTGTGACAGATTGTCACCCTGTGAAAAAACCGACATTTCGCAACGCCACTACTGGTTTCTCCGCGAAATGACAGTCTGAGAAACAAGCGCAGAAATTCCATACTGATGACGCGACACTACCCAGATCTAGGTAGTGCGTGTGATTAGCTAAAGATTTGTCTTAGCCAATCAGAATCACTACCCAGATCTGGGTAGTGACGCATCATCAGTATGAAATTTCTGTGCTTATTTGTTCCTCAGACACCACTTGCAGGAAAACCATTGGCGTTGTTGCGAAATGTCTGCTGTTTCTTCAGACTAACCGGTTTTAGTAAAATTCAACTAGAGGTCTATTATCGATGCTGCGTTCTGATTGGTTGAGCTACTACTAGGCTATTTGTTATAGCCCACTAGCAGCGAAAAGCGCGGGCTTTTTGGCGCCAAAAAAGGATTAAAGTCTAGCTTTTACCTAGCTAAAATTTTTTTATTCTCGATATTTTTGACCAACTTGTTGGATTTTACTAATTCGGCCGCTATTGACTCAGAGCCCATTCGGGCTCGAGGAATAATTGTCAAACGTGTCTAGCCAAGTTCGATCTTTCTGTTTGTCTCCCTTCACTATACACAATAATTATGTATATTATCAAGAAATATCATATGAGTAAAAGGGTAGCAATATAATGACTAACAAAAAATTTAAGACATACTTACATAGACACATACATACACTTTATTGAGCATTTCTAAAAAGGGCTTTTCAACATCAATACAAAAATAAATTAAATAGATGAATAAATCAATTATTTAATTAACTAGTTTTAAAAAGAACTATGTACATGTAACCTAGTTCATGTTGCAAATCAGTTCATTAATTAGACGTCTCTTAAAAACCTATTTTATTCCATATTTTTACACCACGGTAATAAAAGCGCCTTAGCCAGCATTGATTTTACAAGTTGGAATATTGAGATTATCTCTATATCTTGTCTGTCTATCATGAATAATTGCTTGAGTTGAAAATTTATCTGACAGGTAGCTAGCTAGGTGACAGACCTTTGAGACATTTATGCATTACAGCTGCATCATTGACCACAAGTCTTTGTTTGACATTTAGACATCGAAGTGATCTTAGACCTGCAGAGATATGGTCATATTTGTGGAGTCCCAAGATAATCCCGGCTGCAAAATTTTGAACAAAGCGAAGCTTATTGGTGTTAGTCGCCGAGGTATTGCTCCAAACTGAGGAGCAATAAAACAACCTGCTAAAAACAAAGCTATTAATGATTAACAGAAGCGTTTCCTCATCAAGTAAATGCTTAATTCTATTGATGTGGATCAGTTTGTTTATACAACTAGCAACAGTTTTACGTATTTGTTCATCATAGGAGAGGCACTGATCTCAAAACACCCTAAGATCCTTTGCTACAGGTGTCGATAATATTGGTTTGCCACAAAGTGTTATTGTAACTGTTGTAGCAATTGTGGGACGCCCATCACAAGACGTTTAGTTTTATCTGGATTCATAAGCAGTCAATTGTGACTTCACCACCTACAGATTTCGTTTAGATCAGAGTTAACTGCAGGGACTGCGTTACATAGCTTATTAAATTTGAATTTCAAGTTAAGTTTAGAATCATCAACATAACAAGCAGTTTGACCCGGCAAAATTTAGGTACAGTTAATAAATCATTGATATAAAAAGTAAACAGAAAGGGGCCAAGAATGGACCCCTGTGGAACTCCATAATCAACTGGGAGCGAAGGCAAAACCACACCCCAATACGAACGTGCTGGTACCTTCCTTTTAAGTAACTTTTGAACCATTCCAGGGATGATGGAGACACACAAAGGCTACGAAGTTTAAATAACAACATGTCATGGTTTATACTGTCAAAGGCTTTTGACATGTCCATCATTACCAATATTGAGATTTTTTTTTCATCCATAGCTTTTAATAGGTCATCAGTGACAGACAGAAGAACCGTTTCAGTGGAATGATTTTTACGATTGCCACTTTGGAATCGTAATAGCTTGTTGTCATTGTCTAAGAACGTGAAAAATTGTCTGTGAGCCAACCTTTCGTTTACTTTGGATAATACCGGTAGCAGTGATATGGGCCGACTGTTACATGGGTTTCCAGCATCACCATCGTTAGGAACACAAGTCACTTCTGCGAAGACCTACAGTGATGCTCGTTCCTGTTTATTTCCAAAGCAATATATATAATAAGTTTTGATTTCTCTAGCTAATGTCCAAATGTATGATTTTTACTGATCAGACAACTTTATTCTATCTATAACGTTTTTACTAAATTGACTCAACGTTCCTCATACTGGTGGCCTCTGGCTCCTTGCCATTCATATTTTTAATATTTGCAATAGCGATTTTTTTCTCCTTTTTTCTTTCTTACCTCGATGATAGCAGTTGCAAGTGTTTGAACACTTCTTTTTAAATTAATTCTACAATAAGACTTTCATGTCAAGAAGCATATAGATTAACCTTCAGTTGAGGAAAAAGAGGCCACTGTACTGAAGACAACTAATTGCTAATAATACAAAAATGGTGTTTAATAATTATTTCTTATCTCTAGTGCTTCTTTCAACATGTTTTTCTTTACTTCTCTGTAGTCCAAAGCTAGTAGCAAAAAAGTGTTCGTTATCAGTTCTTTTTGACGTTTATCTCTCCACTTCATCAAAGATGGGTACCCTGTGTCCGCCGCTCAGTATACAAGCACACAGAAGCCCATGGAGGATTCTTTTATTGAAACTCCACTACCTTGGCCTCGTCCATCCACCCCCAGGGTCTTAAAGACTCCAACGACAACGAGAACGACAACGACAACGACAAGGACAACGCCTACTACTTCCACCCCCCGCGAGGGCCCGACGTCAAAAGCCTTGTCTTCTAGCAGTTCATCCCCTACTACCAACCCCCGGGGAAACACGACTGTTACAACCCCTCCTTCTTCACTAAACGGTAAGGCCAGTCAGTCTTTGTGCCTTTGTGGAAAGTATTTGTTTCCCTTGAGTTTCTAGAGAACGTGTTATTATTTCTTAACCGTCACGCTTCAACATGAGGGACCTTAAGATCCAACGACGGCGACGGTAGCGAAATCGTCGCTGAAAAAATGATTTCGCGTTCTTTCAATCTTCATCGCGATTACCCCAAGTGACTAACTTTGTCAAATGTAGGTGAACCCTCCGAAATTTGTTCCTAAGAACCACATCCAAGTTCAGAAAGCGAGAGGAAATTTCGTGGTCGCTTGTGTACTTCCTCTGTAAAACGTGAAATTAGGCATTTTCGCGTCGTAGTCGTGCTGTGACGGCAAAGAAATGTACAAAAAAGCGTCATGCACGTGCAAAATTGTTGTTTTAGTTATTAAACGAACCTATAAATTGCTTTTTTGACGTCCTCGTTGCCGTCGCCGTCGTCCTATCTTAAGGTCTCTGTGGAAAAACCGTAAGCTGACGTTCACACTAAAAAATTTGACCGAACACTTCCTTTACACGGGACCGTTCAAAATTAATTTTCGCTCTATTCACACGGAACTTTGAACGGTTAGGCGTCTAAATTTTCGGACGGTTACGGTGGATCCGTGTGAACAGAATACTTGAACGCACGAGTTTTCAACTGGTCTAAAATTAGTCCGGCGCTGTGTGAACGTTGCCTTTTTAAATATATGAAGAAGGGTACGTCATAAAGAGAGTTAGAGAAATGTGCTTCGAATTGATGATGGAAACATGCATGCTAGCTTCTTACAGAGTGATCCATTCGGGAAATACTGGAACTACAGAAGTAATTAATTCAGCAATTTTCTCTCATCGTCCCCATACCATGTTCCGTATTCACATTCTCTGTTATAAACTGGACGTTACTAACTCGAGCTCATGAGGGCTTTTCTTCAATTATGCTAAAATACTCTTATGAAATCACCTGCACCGGAGCGTAGAAGCCAAGCCAGTTCCAGGTGACTCCTAGTTCCCTAACCAGTAAACTGAAAATTCAAGACATGAACAATAAATTCCCAAATACGTATAATTATCATTCCTATATGATTATTTCTTGTATCCGCATGCAATAATCTTTTATTGACCTTTTTTGTTTATTCTAATGAAATCACCTGCACCGGAGCGTAGAAGCCAAGCCAGTTCCAGGTGACTCCTAGTTCCCTAACCAGTAAACTGAAAATTCAAGACATGAACAATAAATTCCCAAATACGTATAATTATCATTCCTATATGATTATTTCTTGTATCCGCATGCAATAATCTTTTATTGACCTTTTTTGTTTATGCAATTATTTGTACCATTTCAGCAAGTTTATGGACAGTTGAGCCAGTTGGTTGCTTTCGAGACTCGTACGTAGAACCCCGACCACTTCCCGAACTAATAGCCAACTTCCGAGACACTATCGATCGTAAGGATATAAACAAAACTGTCAGAGCATGCGCAGCGAAAGCCAGGGATAAAGGATACAAGTTCTTTGGCATCCAGTTTTATACTGAGTGTTGGAGTGGTGCTGGGGCCGAGACAACCTACGCTAGGGACGGGATATCAGTAGACTGCGACAGCGGTGTCGGCAAATCAGGCGCAATTTTTGTATATAAATTTGGGGACTATGGTAAGTATCTTACGAGAGAGATGTAGCCATCAATAGAATGAAGACTATGTGAACTGCGGAATACAATTTTTGAAATGTTGAAAAAAAAAAATCTGGACTTCGAACCCATGGCCTCTGCGGTAGCGCTGCAGTGAGCTATGAAGACCCACTGACCCATACATTGGAAGAAGGCCAATTTGTTGAGTTCATCTAAACCCCTTGAAAGGAATGAAATATAGAATGAAGATGATGTGAACTGCGCAAATACAAATTTAAAATGAAGACATTGTGATTCAGCAAATTGGCCTGCGCATAATGTAGGCGTCTTCATAACTCAGTTGGTATAGCACTGCAGCGCTAACACAAGTTCGAATCCAGTTGAAGTCCTGAAATTTTTGTCGGCTTAATTTGAAATTGCTTAAATTGAAATTACCACTGCGAGGATCATATCTTCATTTAAATAGTGATCAATTTGAAAATCCCTCATATTGGGAAACGAGCAGATGAAAACTGTCGCAAACAAGTATGGCGCCCATTCAGGCCACATCCTCTTTTGGACTAAACGGGCGTGTGCCGCGCGCTGAACAGGGTATGGTTTTAATGGTCTTGAGTCTTAAATCACTGGTCAAGGGCTCCTGACAGGGTAAACAATTTGATTATTTCGCGTCTTGAACGGGTGTTTTTTTTAACTGGAAGCCTTTAAAAGAATGTGAAGGTTGGCGGTGAGTGGTCTAGAAACATCATGATACAAGGCTGAGTATGTTCTATACAGCTTTCGATCTTACCTGCAACTATTTCAAAAACTCATTAATAATTCATAAAGAAATTAATGTTTAATAAGTGTCTTTATATCTGATAAAGACACGGCTAGACTTTACGTCCAATTTTTTAGACCAAAATAACCCCAAATCTAAATAATTAGTGAAAGAATGAGTTGATCTATATCAGAGATTTTATAGCCGTTTAAAAAAAGAGCAGAAGAGTATTCGGCTCGAGTTTTCAAACAGTACTTAATAAATTTCTATATCAAACAGCCAAGCTGTATTTCTTTTTTAGAGCCGCCATGTCCTTCTTGTAAACAGCCGCGACACCTGTGTTTTCCCGCCATTTCTCACGTGACCCTAGAGTCAGGTGCAAACATCAGTATGAGGCAGCTGGGGATTGGTGACAAAGTTCAGACACTGGGCATGAATGGAGAAACCATTCACACTGAAGTAATTGGTTTCCTACATAAGGAGACAAAAACTGACGCAGAATTTTGTAAGTTTGAAATCAGCACAGGTAACGTTGTGATGTTATCTCCACAACATCTCATCTTTCGAAAAGAAAACTCGACGTCTCCTCCTGCTGCGGTCTTTGCCTCAGATATCAAGCTCGGAAACTTGCTTTATACATCGAACGAGAGAGTCGCTAGGTATAAAGCAGTAGCCCGGATCTCCATGGTAACAGAGACAGGCGTGTATGCCCCTTTAACCAAGGAAGGAACGCTATTGGTGAATGGTATTCTGGTGTCGTGCTACGCCACCTGGCCTTCCCATGAGGTAGCACATTTTGTAATGGCGCCGTTAAGAGGCTTGTACGCCATCACTGGAACCTGTAAACGACTGGTCAGCTTCATAGATTGGACATTCTGGAATGATTTCCAACGGATGGATGGGATTTCATGGTACGCCTTAGGACTTGCCGCGTTAACGGGAATTTTCCTTTAACGCAAGATCGAAACCAGTGCATTAAGCTCTGCTTCAATCATATTTAAAACATCGCTTTAAAAAATGATGCCAGAATTTATAATAAAATAAACTAAAAAGCGGCCGATTTCATGGCAAGTGAAAGCCAAGGCCTAAATTTCAGCAAGACTTTTTGAATAAATACCTGATTAAATTTTGCGGATACCGCGTTTTCTCGACTTAACACCGGGAGCCGGGTTTCAAAGAGGAAGTTGTAAACAAGACAAAAGTTCTCGTTAAATAAAAGTGAAAGTTAAACGATTCTCCCGGATAAACTTTCCTTGTGTACGAACTGAGTCAAATGATACTTCGCATCTGCCTTCACAATTACTCATCCACGGACTTACTAACAAAACGATCTCAGGGTGATTCCAGTGGTCCAAATAGAGCACTGTTCACGTGCTAAAAAGAACTTCACATTTGGTCATTTCACGTCGTAGTTGTGCAGGGACGGCAAAGAAATTGACAGAGAAGCGTGATGCACATGCAAGGATTGAACCTGTTCTCCTTGCCGCCACCGTCGCCGTCGAAGTTTCGTGAGGTCCCTAATAGAAGAACCAGAGGCGTCCATAAAACGGTCCGCGGTGCAATTCGACGGAGCACCGACCCAATCTTCCGCGCAACATAAAACGCCTTGGGTCTACATAGTCTTCTATGCAGCTATTTTTTTTGTCTGGAGCGTTGAGTGACGACACAAAGAACGCCTGGGAAAAAGACTAAGCCCCCTCCAGACCAAGCTAAAAATACATACCGTGAACGTTTACTTGAGAAAATATGGAGCATGGGAAAGCTAAGCATATACATATTCGGATCAATTTAGGTTTCATGGAAACTGCCCACCTACCCCTCCCCTAAGCCATCATTTTGCCCAAAGTGAGAATTAGGTGCTAATGTTAGCTTAGGGGAGGGGTAGGTGAGCAGTTTCCCAGAAAACCTGAATTGATCCTCATACTCTTCCTCAAGACTGCGACCAGTCTCACTTTTTCTTCAGATTTAGTGGGGGTAGTGCACGAGCGCGCGAGTGTTGAGCGGCGAAGCCGCGAAACGAGGGCGAAACGAGGGCGGCGCACTTTTTTCGCTTGACGGACGAAGAAAAAAGAGAGACTACTCGTAGTCTACGCTATTTGCTGTCTTTTTTAAGATATAACATGTCTTTGCATCAATTGAATTACCAATTAGTTTAGTTATTTTAGACTCGCTACATTTAAGCGACTGAAACTGTTTCCCGTTGTCTGTTACTACGGATGGCAAAGATGGACATGGATGAAATCTTGAAAAAATTGGATCCACTTTTTCAAGAGTTAATGCTTTTCCTGTAAAAATCAGGGAAAAAATTCTTACAGGTCAGCACTCCATTTTGAGATTTGTTTGTTATCTTCTTCATATCTTTACAGGAGCAATATCCTTATGACACTGCCCCCTTAAATACAAGTCCCTTTTTCACACATTTAAAACTTTACTTTAAAAAATGAATGAAGTGTCAACAGCTACAAGGCTGATAAATTTATTTTTAATTCACTCGCTGCTCAAAAATTGTCTAACTAGTGTATTCGAAACAGTTAGAGGCATTGGCATCTTACACAATAATAGTATTACAAAAAACAAGCTTGTGGACTCTAGGAGCCTCTGTTTTCCAGATCCTTTACTTTGTAGATTCTAACAAGCCAGTGCTCGGTGGTGTATGCTTCCTCTAATACGTCCAGCTCGAATTCCTACGAGGGAAACATCACAAATTGCCGGTCAATGAAAAAAAAAGGACTTATTAGACTATGTGACCGCAATAAAAAAAAAAAAACAACAACAAAATTTCCCAATTCCATTTTGTTAACCCTCTTAGCCCTAAGAGTGATCAGCATCAAATTTCTCCTTGTAATATCAATACTTTGTAAAACAGAGTGGTCATGAGAATTACAGACATGATCACACAAGATGTATTTGCTTGATACTTTATCAGCGTCTCCCCACTACTTCTGTAGGAAATGAATAGGGGCAACAAAGGAGAATTCATATTTTGATCTTAGGGTTTAAAGGGTTAATGCTAAAGAACAAATAGTACAAAGTGAAAATAATGGTAACATCACAGAATTTCATCCACAGACTCGGAGGTTGAAGTACCAACTAAATATAAAGTTCCATGGGAAAGTACTGCTGAAGACAATTCAGTCCTTTAAATGGTAACAACGTAGGATTTCGAAGTCTTTCCTTCGCGTGTCACCTTCCTTGCGTGTGGCGACGCTACCACTGGTTTCCCGGTGAAATGACGTCTGAGAAACGACTGCAGATATTCCATACTGATGACGTGTCACTACCCACTTCTGGGTAGTGCTTCCTATTGGTTAAAGCAAAGTTCTCTCGCGGCACAACCAGCCAATCAGTATGGAATTTCTGCACTCGTTTCTCAGGGACGTCATTTCGCCAGTGGTGGCGTCGCGAAATGTCGGCTGTTTTTCTCGGGCTATTGTAGTTTTCCGCGCCCAACAGAAACAAATGTTTATTTGCTACTTCACTTAGGCCCAACATATTGAAAACTATTCTCGTTACGTCATCTCAGAAATGTTCAGAATTGACGAAGTTAATAAAGCTGCTATACCTTATTTCCGATTTCAGCATTGCGCACACGGTCATAACCAGTTGGTTTTCCTACAAATAAATCAAACCAAAATATTAAAACATAAACTAACGTTGGAATGATAAAGGAAGCAAACAACAGCACCGTAAAGTTTAATTAATTCTAACGATGATACACAGTGACTGTTTATTCAACGCTGGTGCTGGTTCTTACTTTTGCTAAAAGCACAAGGGCATTTTTAAAGTAAAAAACAGAGTCAGCTGAAAACTACCTGGCGAGAGGAGGGTTGTTTTCGCTCGCCAGAGCAGAGAGAGGAGTCTGGGAACGAGGTTGAGTGCATACAGGAAATATTTAACGACGACCTTGAGGAGATTGCGACTTGGCGCCAAAATGACCTCTTAGCGATACAAAACGGTGACAGCAGACTATTTGGCGAGAAAATAGACCTAGAAACGTGCAACGCTGCAAATATTATAGAAGGCCTATCTATACAGGGGGAGGATAAGGGAATAAAAGCCAATAATTATTTGGGCTCACCTTGTTCGGTATACACAGAGCCAAATCGGTAGTAGCACATTTTATACATGAGGCAGTTGAGCAGGACCTGGGAACCACCTTTGTCGATACGAAATTCACCAGTGGAGGTGTAGTAATCGTGTTCCTTGATGTGCTGGCCCTTCTCTGTGCTACCGCCAATACGCACCATCCACAGGAACTTGTTAATGTCTGCAGTGAGAAAACAGTGAGTTAGATGAGAAGAAGGCTACTTTGCGGGCGTTTTCTGCGGGTAAGTGAATGTTTCTGCTTGCGTAAATGCCATACCGTAAACTGCCGGCGCGCTTATCCGTCTTCGTAAGGCGTTTTAGGAGGGTTTATAAACGGAGGGACTTATATCCGAGGAGGCTTATAATCGGAATAGAAAAGGACTTCCAGACAAGCTACAGCAGTGCTGATCAAAATACGTTTTGTAGTTACTGATTTTTAATTAAGCTTCAAAACGTCACAATAGATCGAGTTCATTTCACTATAGTTACTTAGCCTGTGTACAGACCCCACCCCTCCTTCTCTAATTTTTCCTAAGGGGAGGCGGGATCTGTACGCAGGCTATAGTTACTTTTCACTCAACTATCAGCTGCTTGGCGTCCCGTAAAAAGTACTCACCATCTGAGGCGTATCCAGTCAACCCGCCAAAAATAACCAACACATAATTCACGTCAAGTTCTCGCATGATTTCATACGCTCTGTCTTCACTCGAGGCCATAGCCTGAAATGGTAATGAGGTCCATCAAGGTTAAATCCAAACGGAAGAGTTACCTTAAGCCTCTGTTTCGAAAGAAGTGTAAATGAACCTGGGATCAGGCGAAAGGCGTTCTTTTTTTTCAGGGAAACGCCATTTCCAAATTTCCCATAATGCACCTTATTTGCCCCCCAAAATTTTGCATAAGCATTGTTTTCAGTGTCTCTTGGGACGGCTGTAGTACCCATGAGAAATGAAAAACAAAGGGTATGCAAATTTTTTTTGGGGGGGGGGGAGGGCAAATAAGGTGCATAAGGGTTAGGGTTAGGGTTAGGCGTAAGTCGGATGGGTTGGATATGAAAGCGATTTTTTATTCCCGGAAATTAAACTCATTGTCTCCCAAAAGGTCTCGCACTTGGCCTCATATTGAAAGTGAGCTGGAGTTTTGGAACTCAGAAATGGCGTACAAATACGCCTCAAGTCATGACATCAGGAGATAAACAATTAGTTCCAGTTACCAAAGTTCGCCCCTCAAGTGGAGAAGATGGTGGGACTACCTTCCAACGATCTTTGAAAATCGTCGAAACGTTTATCTACGAAAACAATCATGTTTGTTGCCTTCAACCAAGAGACCCAATGAGAAAGTCACAAGGGACTTGACATGTTTGGAAGTAAGGCTCTTATTGTCGTCCACAAGCGAGGCCTACAAACCATGCAGTAAAGTAGGAGTGTAGGTACTAGATATGGACTTGTAATTATTAATTTAACATTCGAGCGAAGAAAAAAAATAAAGCGACCAAACAATTTCGTTAAAGGCCGGCTTCCCGGGGCAACGAAGAGACGAAGTCGCAATAAGGAGCGTGGAGCGTTATGATCAAACGAAAACAGCCTTCCGATTTCGCTTATTACTCCGTGGTTAACGATCTAGTGAAAACTACGTTCTGTAAATCGCATATAGAAGCGGAAAAACAAGACCAAGCACAAAACGTGGGAATGAGCATTGTGATTGGTCTATCCTTCCGCGTCTGCTTTTGACTCCGACTTGGATTTCACTAGATCGTAAGCGACAGAGTCATAATTGGAGTCGGAAGAACAAGCAAACGTTCTGATTTTTCCGACTCCGTCGTCTCCAATTACGACTCACATTTTTGTTTTTCGCTAGGTCACGGGCGCTCTTACAAGTCCGCTTACGACTCCGACTCCAACTGCGTCGCTTACGAAAACCAGCCGTAACATACATAACATGAAATACGCGTCATCAGACAATATAAAAAGGGGGCTAAATAGAGCTGTGTATTTGTTTTCTCGCTAAAAACCTTTTTCTTTTATATAAACAGCATCGTTGGACTGACCTATCAGAAAGCTTAAAACAAAAACAGCAACATTTTCCCGCCAAATCAATTCGTTTTCGGCTTTGCGCGTTCACTCTAGTAACCAAGAGGGGCGCGAGTTTGTCACCAGTCGCTAAACCAAGCATATTTCTTCCGTCCAGTTCCTTGCTTCTATCCAGGGAGCCGTTGCTTAGTGGTATCTACGCACGTGACCAAGCGCTGCAAAGGCTAATTGTATGTTGTTCCTCGAGTTATTACCTTGCAAGGAGAAACACGTGTTTATCACATGCTGTCTTACCTGACCAACTCTGGAGATGTGCGTGTTGTTCCACGTGTTATTATCCACTAATATCGTCCTGTTCGCCATGGCTGTTATCTGATAACCGTAATCCCACCATGACATTACTTTCGATTCCTGAAATAATCAAATATAAGTAAATAAATGAATAAATATATAAAAATTTGGGAGGCCATGCTCTTCTGTTGAGTATGAATAAATAGGTAGATTTATCAAAGAGAACGTGACAACAGTGACGAAGGCGTGCACATGTGTTAAAACCGTTTTGACCAATGACAGAGCTGCAAATTGAGAGCGGGAAGTCAGGTTCAATCCCATCCGGGCGCTTTCACTTTCGTTTTTGACGTTGCAATCTATTGATGCAGTTGCATTATTTTATTCCCCCCCAAAAAAAAAAAAAAAATGAAGACAACAAAAATCATTCACAAAACAAGCAGACACCTCGACAATAGCTTTTCAGCTCGATATTACTAACTATCCGGTGAAGTTTAGAAAAACGTAAAAGCATACGAGTAGCAAAATACCACGATCAAGTTACCTCGGGAGTGTTTTGTCGGAGCCAGTAGTAAGCTTCACGGAAATCGTCGAAGATGACTCGGGAGCCGTCGTGTTGTTTCGCCGATAGCACGATGGATGGCGAAGAATACGCTTCAGAGGTAACCCAGGTACAGTGGAATGTGTAAGTGACAAGCAATAATGCCATCAGGCCAACCATGGCAGTAGCAACCTCGTTTTTGATCGGGTAGGTTGGATCTGCTTTTTTCGCAGTTTTTCGGTCGCGACGAGAAATGTCCAGATTCTACAGAAAAGAAACACATGCACTATTGCTTTTGATTAAACATTACCGGCTAATCATCCGATACAGCGCGTCTGATAAGTTAGGTCATGTGGAAAGGTGGAACTTCCTTTTGCTGCATGCGGATGCAATTTACACGAACAACCAACCTCAGTGGTAACAACACTTATAAATAAGCAACGAACAGCCGCTGACCGTAAAGCCAGAATGCCCGGATCATTATCCGTTTCTGGGAAAGTGATTTTTTTGCACAGGAAATCCACAAGGAACTCAATAAGGGGGATAGAATGAACACCGTACCTTCATGTAGGTTGTGAGGACAGTAGATACGCTTATTCCTGATAAGATACAAGCCACAGGAGCCAACACTAACATCAGACGAACCATCACACCCTGAAATACAGCAACAACAAAGAAAGTAATCAGTATCCAAACCCCGAAAAAAATATGTTGTGTTAAAAATGAAGAGTCCGAAGTCACCGAAGGAAGTACATGTACATTTATCGTATAGTCTCTCTCTTTAGCTCGGTTGACAGAGCGCCTGAACAGTGTTCTGTGCCCGGCCGTTCGCTTGTTAAGTTAAGAAACAAAAAGTGTTTCTTGGTTAAGTTCACGTGACATTACGAATCAATATAAGACATTTCCCCAGGCAAATTCGCGCAATGCGAGGGGACGCAGGATGCCTGGAACTGTGCATTCGATGATGGGTGACGTTACATCCTAACTCGCCAACGAAGATTGGGAACGAGGCTGTACGAACATAATTATTTTTCAGCAAATTCGACTTTCCTAGCAGTTTGCTGCAAGCATGTCACATATAAACCTTTAAAATCCCACGATGGCCTTGTTCAGAGTGTGCTTCGACGCGGATAATGCCTCAATTCACGTTTTATGGAGGCTGTAAACCAGCCACGATGAAATTTTCTTTCTCTTTCTGGACTTGGATAGGGTTCTCAGGAATTCAACTTCTGAAGAGTTCGCCTACATTTGACAAATTAGGTGAAAAAGAATAATCGCGATGAAGATTGAAAAAACGCGACTTCAGTTTTTAGGCGACGTTTTCGTTGTCGTCACCGTCCTCGCATCTTAATGCCCCTAGGGAGCTTAAGCAACAACGTCGGCGACGGCTACGGAAACCTCAGTTTACAAGTGTGTTCGCGTTGTCTCAAAGTTAATCGCGCTTATTCCATCTCGTTCAATTCGTCAAATGTTGGCAAACTTTTCTGGACTTGAATTCTTTAAGACTGTATCGAACTTCAGGAAAAGAAAAAAAATTGCTGTCGTGTGTTCGTCTTCCCCAAAACGTGAAACAAGGCACTTTCACGTCGTAGTCGTGCAGTGACGGCCAAGAAGTGTTCAAATATGCGTGATGCACGTGCAGAGTTGTTGTTTTGCTAATCTAAACTTATTGCTTTTTGCTGTTCTCGTTGCGGTCCCAGTTGCCGTTGCTTAAAGGAGCTGTGTCACGAAATTCAGCCAAATTAGGAAATTACAAAATGCCCGTCAAATTAAGAGAAACATAAAAATAACCGCTTAAAACTTTAAAGGAAGGTTAAAATAACATAACAGAAACAACAGATGCCACGGATGGGCAAAATTGAAGAAGATTGAAACGGATTGAAATTAGGGTTTTGGAAAACTCTTTGGCCTAACAGTTTTTCAAAGTTGATCCCTGCTGCTTGCAACTTCAAAAATAATGCTCAGGAGACATATTTGTTTGTCTCGAATCTCTGCTTGTGTCATTTACAAGTAATTTCTTTGCTTACTTTAGGTTCCATAGCGATTGAGGGAGAGTAATTGGCAAAACTGAACAAAATGAACTGGACTACCGTGACACAGCCCCTTTAAGCTCCCTAGTAGGGTAGTAGTCCTCAAAATAGTCTCATAGTGTAATTCGTCCCAACCCTGACACAGTCTCGCGCGTTATTTCAAAACAGCTTAAAGTATAATCTGTGATATATAACCATCGTATTTTCAATAACCAATCTCTACTTACGGCGAAATAGATGCTGGTAACGCCATACATGATGATAAAAATATTGGCGTCAGTGAGCTTGTAAAAGCAGTAGTATAAGCCAACAGGGAACATGAACACCATGAGCTGAAGATCAAAGTAGAAAGAAGACCACGTCGTGGGCTGATGTTCAGAAACGGAAGCGATGATTGGGATGTTGTTCTTAGCGTAAGATGGATCCAGCAGTGAGTAGAAACGCCCAGTCCAGGGTGAGATTTTACCAGTGAAGGTTAGGATGCCACCGACAGTCGAGACACCAACCGCTGCTACCGCTACCACTGTTTTGAATAGGAGTTGGAAGTGTTCTCTGGGCATGCGCGCACGGACGTAATCCACAAAAGCATGGATCTGGCACAGGCCAAACACGCCAAAGGCCTGCAAAGAACGAAGGTTTGAAAATTCAGGCATACAAAACTTGTCACTTTATTTACATCACAGGCGCTTTCCTGCTTACAGACTCCGTTTATTATTGGTGAGAGAAAGTAGGCTGCTTCCTCTCGCCAATAAGAAACGGAAAGTAGACTCCGCTAGCCGGAAACGCAAGTGCGCGTTTGTATCTAGTAAAACCAGAAACTTAGCCTGCGTAGCCGGCGCTCGAAGGGACAGGAAAAGGGGATTTGGGGCGTGAGAGAAATGCAAGGGACGCGCGAAGAGGGGAGGGGAGGGGAGGGGGGAGGGAGGGAGGGAGGGAGGGAGGGAAACGCCTGCAAGGAGGCCATTATGAGTTTCTGGTAAAACTGAAAAGTCAGTCAGCAATGCTTTACATGCAGAACAAAACTTACAGCCATGTGTTCACTGGATTGTACTGGCTGAAATCCAACGAAGGAGATCTGCATTGACAGAATGGTCCCCAAGCAATAAACCTGAAAATAACAATTATTTGTTATTGTTAACAACAAAATAACTGACAGCTGGATATTAGATACAGTGTAAAAAGGACCACAGAGATCACAAACAACAGGAGCAGGGATTGCATGGTGGCGAGAACTCTTATCTCCAGAAATTATACACACAATGGTCGGAGCCTTCGATAAGGGCTGTAACTCGTAACACCTTTTATGGCTGAGCTCGCTTGATGTTACGGGTGATCAAAGTGGAAAGCCAAACGTGGCACTATAAATTTTTGTGAGATGTTACGGGTGAATCTTTATTGCTATGGCTGCTTAAAAAGCTAATGACAGCCCTGTGGTGAAAATGGCAAATCTGGCAAAAAATTGCCAGAGGCTTGACAAAAATTTAAATGAGATTACAAGAGGTGCTCCTTGTAAAGTGGTGAAGTCAATGAAAATGGCCAATCTGACAAGTGAAACATCCCCTTGGAAGGAAATTGACAACTCAATGACAACACCAATGTTTTTTTTTTTTCATTTCACTCCCTTGCTGTTGCAGCTCACCACAGTTTCTTTAAAAACCAACCACATCACTGCTTGCATTAATGATGTACTTACAGAGCAGTAAGCAACATAGATTCTGTGCGAGAACCTGCCAGTCGCCATCAGAGCCAAAACATGAAGAGGAATCAAGTTGATCAGGAAAACATATCCACCCCAGGAGGAAACCTGATAAAGGGAAAAGTTACAAAATTATGCATGCATTACTACTTTGCCTCCTTCAAAGCTAAATGTTACTGAGTTTCATGATGTTTCTTTCAAGTTATGTGATCAAATAAAGTCAGCAATTAAGTGGATATCCATAACAACAAACATTAATTTTTACTTGTTAACTGTTTTGAGGTTTATGTAATAATACAACTAGTAATAGGTAGTTAAATTCTTTTAATTAGACTGTATTTCCTCTTATTTTTTGTTTTTGCCTACTTTCTATTTCTTTTCTTTTAGGATTATTATTACTATATTTTTTTTCCTTTTCTCCTATCTCAGAGATATTAGCTTCAAGAGCTACACTGTAAATCTGAGGTTAAATAAAGGTGATGGTGATGATGATACTGAGACGATTTTGAAGCAAATCATCATTTTTGGGGGCTTTTTGTTGCCTTAATGTGATTCAACGTAGTCTGCTTATTACAGTGTAACAAGCAGCTTTCCTTCTTTAATACTGATCATGTTTAACTAAAGGATATTCATTCATTGATAAAAACGAAAAAGATGATTATCACTAACCATGTAAAAATAAGCCAGGGCACACATGGTTGACCAGAACAGTGAGCCAGTCTTGACAGATTTGATCCACAGTGCATATGTCAGCAACATGCAGAAGATGGCAATGCCTTCATTGTCATATGATCCAGCAACAGAACGAGAGATGTAACCTAAAAAAAAGACCACAAGTCTCATTAAAACTAAGCAAAGGATTGCTATTGCTTGAGGTCAGTTAGCTTGATTGGATAAGTGCCGGTCTGCCGAGCAGTAGGCCGTTGGTTCAAACCTTGGCCAGACCAACACTCAGGGTCTTAAAAGTAATTGAGGAGAAAGAGCTGCCTATGTAATGACATCTGCAAATGGTTAGACTTTCTAGTCTGTCAGATAGGGACTATAAAACGTAGGCCCCGATTCACAACCCTTGCACATAATCTGTAATATTATTTTTACTCTGTGGGACATTAACCCTTTCACAGCAGAGTCAGGGTGCAAAGAAAATCATTTTTACAGCTTGCCATCCGGGCAAGCTGAAGCTAGCATTTACTAGCCCAGACGTCATTTCAATTAGCCCCAAAAGCTTTTTGATGAGCAGAATTTATTTCACAGTTCTTCTGTTATTCGAATTTCTCAAAAAACATCACTTGCCCGTCGGGCAAGTTAGGAACAGAATTCACTAGCCCGATAGCAAAATCCACTAGCCCTGGGCTATTGGACATTACTTTCTTTGCACGCTGAGAGTGCTTAATGGAGTTTTGTAAGGTGACTCTAACTGTTGAGTCTGCGGACGAAATCCTATGATGTGACCATTCAAATGAAAGCTCTCCGCCTATACTTACAAATGGTGCTATTTGTTTTTCAAAATTTCACAAAACGATATTTGAAAATTTGGTCGAAATTTGCTTTTGACTAGATTTGGCAGTGAAGGGGTTAAAGAACCAACAAACTCTTTGCCAAGAGTAAGGAACTTTGACCCTGATGTGGTGGTCTATCTCTCATTCTCCCTTAAATTAGGGGGTTTCATCACACATTACTTCTTTAATAATTTATTGCAAACTGTACGATAAGGAGTTTGGCTAAAGTCCTCCAACCAGTTTTGCAAATTATCCCTGAAAAGCCCTAGGAAGAGTGGACGATAAGTTACGGTGTTTTATACAAACAATTTGCCTAGGTACTTTTAGATTAATGCTGATGTATTAGAAAAGTGAAGCCAGAGAATGAATAATTTTGTTTTATTACCAGGAACAATGGAGATCATTGCAGCTGCAACTAATCCAGCACTGGCATCCTGTAGGAAAAAAATACAGTATAAACATAAATGTAAACAAAATGACTGCAGAATGGACCTGCATTACTAAACTTTTCTTAAGGAGTCTGTTGATAGACAGAGACTAGTTGTAATTCACCTTAGACTGGGCATCCAAGCATCAATCAATTAATCAATCAGTCAATCATCAACTTTATTAGAATGTCAATCTTCTCGCAGAATCACAAGTGGTGCACTAATAGGGAAACTTACATTCTGAGGAAATTTTCTATCACACTTACTTTTATCACAAAAGAACTCTGTCTCAATAGTTTGAGTTAGTGATTACCAGGTAATTGTAAAATCTCGGACAGCCTACCTTAAGTTCTTTGGTGAGGTGATATGTTACGAGTGTTGTGAATGATGAAAACAGAGGGGCGAGAAACACGCAGACATTCCTGATATCGATGGTGATGTGGAAGAAATTCATCACATGATACAATACAGCTGATGTAACCATCAGACCTATAAAAACATTAAAAATATTGATTAAAAAACAATGCTGTTATGTACAGGTCTAAATGTACAATACATCTACAATATCACTTTATAAAATAAGGACAATGTTTGCCCAGTGGCTTTTTACGCTGTCATATTTCTGGGAGATTCAGGCAAATTTTTGCAAAGGCTTACTGAATTCAGTATGACAAATCAGTCTGGTGAAGACTGTTGTATTATCGCATCAGTAAACAGACAAGAGGAGCCTGCAATTAGGGCCCAGTTGTTCGAAGGCCGATTAGAGCTTAACCCGGGGTTAAAATTAACCCTGGTTCCTTTTTCTTGTTTCCAAAAGCATTTTCTCGGATAATTTTTGCTATTATTTTTAGCGCTTCCAATCATCAACTTGTAGACAAACATAGGCACGTTAAACGTGCATGAGCTATTTTGAATGCTTCAGTGTAACTTTAATGCTTCGGTGTAACCTTACCAAGAGTGATGAATCTACCTCTTTCATCCTAAATGTAGATTGGGTTTTTGTGCGAAATTACGTATTGCAGTACATAAATGAAAACGCGAAATGCTCAGCTGAGTCAATCCTCAAGCTATATATTCACTTTCCTCTGTCTTTCCCTGTTACATCTGGTGCAAGTTAAACAAATCGTTAAAGTGAAATAAATTTCTACTCACCAAATGTTGATTAGAAGGAAAACTCTAAGGTTTCCTCGGAGTTTCTTAATCCAAAATGTGACTCATCGAATACTGAATAGTTACGAAATACCAGGATTTTTATCATTGTGGTAGATGGTTGCATCATCATAATTCACGAGGTTTTCACGTGCGATTCTACTCAGTGAAACAGTCTTTAACTCCGACAACTTATTTCTTCATGTTTTAAAAGCTATTGCTTCTCAAAAGACGAGAGCCTTTTTAAAGGCATTGATTACAAAACGAAACAGGTCTTCATACGTCCAAGTTACTATTTATCATTGTGAAAAGCCAATCACGCTGCATGAGATGTACAGTCACACAGCTGGCACGTGAAAGTGTTGGACTTTGCCCCCTTTCGTGGTTCGTACGTGAGGGAATTCGGAATTCGAGTTATCACACAGTAAACTAGTAAACAGAATTATAAAAATAACTCACGCACACAATTTGCACTTGAAGATGTTGGTCTTTCGCCCTTTTACAATTTGTACATTAAAAAAGAGGCAAATTGTTTACAACAAAATTTTCTCAAACGATTTTAAGAAATCACCTCGGCTTCATTATAACATCTGCAATTAAATTATGTTTCATGCAACGTCAAGGTTGATAACCTAACATTTATTAACATTTGTGAAACAGTCTTTAACTCCGACAACTTATTTCATCATGTTTTAAAAGCCATTGCTTCTTAAAAGACAAGAGCCTATTTTAAGGTATTGGTTACTAAACGAAACAGGTCTTCATACGTCCAAGTTACTATTATTATTGTAAAAAGCCAATCTGCATGAGATGTACAGTCACACAGCTGGCACGTGAAAGTGTTGGACTTTGCCCCCTTTCGTGGTTCGTACGTGAGGGAATTCGAGTTATCACACAGTAATCTAGTAAACAGAATTATAAAAATAACTCATGCACACAATTTGCATGTGAAGATGTTGGTCTTTGGCCCTTTCACAATTCGTACGTAAAAAAGAGGCAAATTGTTTTACTACAAAATTTTCTCAAACGATTTCAAGATATCACCTCAGCTTTATTACAACATCTGCAATTAAATTATGTTTCATGCAACGTCAAGGTTGATAGCCTAACATTTATTAACTTCCAAGAAAATTATCAAACTGCCGAAATATATTTCTACTTATATCATGTTACTCCACTCAATATAACAGTATCTAATTCTTGTGTCAACTAGCTTCTTCCAATTTTATTCCCTAACGCTACTGTTTCTACTTAAGTTACGCATCTTTACTAAATAGAACTAAAAAGGTCAGTTGAACTTTGTAAGCGAGAGAATAATATTTTTAAAGCTTGTTTACAGGATTAACAATACTCGATACAGCTTTCAAAAAAATAAGCTGCCTTTTAAACTTATAAAACCACATTTTATAGGGCGCATTCTTTCGAATTAAAGTCTATATCTAAATATCAATTATTGCTTCATTGGAAGAGATAATGATCTTTTATACTCTACCCAGTTGTAGCAGGTGAAACAGAACTCATACTGACGTGCGTTGTACCGATAGCCGAATTAGGTCAGAAATGCCTCAAAGCAGCATCCACACTTAAATATGAACCCTTAAACAGCTGCATCACTGTTCACAGCGTTTGAATCATGAAGATATTTTATGTAATGCTTCCAAACACCTGTACCCGTAATAAAAGACGAAAAAATTGTGAAGGATCAAGATGGCGGTCTCAAAGTGCCCTTGTTCGACCTTTACCAATGCCATGTTTAAATAGATGCCAAGATCTCATTGGTTCCTAAGCATCAACTCATAGTACCTTCAACCTTATTGGCTCTTGCAACAAACATCCCAACATACAAAGCCACAAAGATACAAAGCCACAAAGATACATACGCTCACACCACTGACATATGAGCTATTTTTTCAAAATAGCTCAAAAAGAATATAAACTGAAATGCTTTTTAAGCTTTCAAATCTGAATTCAAATCTTGCACTAACCCTGGGTTATCTTAACCCAGCCTCAAACAACTTGGCCCGGGTTGCTAATTGCACATGCACGGTACCAAAATAGCCAGTTTCTAGTGGACTCCCACTAAGAATAAATGAAATACCCAGAAGGCAATCTGATCACGTAATCTGATTATGCGTATTTTGACATTTGGTTGTTGTCGACCACTGCACACTTGTTAACCTTTGGTTATTACTAGTTTAAACAGTAGTGCTTCTTCTATTTTTACCTGGATAAATTGTGCCACCAATAATTCTTCCCAGAGGATACCATGCTCGATCATCAAACCAGTTATGGAATTTGTAAAATCCTTCTTCAGCTAAAAATTTTGTAGTTCTATAATTGAAGTACCTGAAAAACAGTAAAAAACTAAAGAGTTGCACTTATTGTATACGTTGTTTTGGTTTATATCTTCCTTTGTTTCAAATTCATTTAATATCATATATAGCTGCAAACCAAGGCTTGAATTGAACCACAACATACATGTATTCAAGTTTTATAAAATTTATAAAATAAAATACTAAAAAAGTAGAGAAAATTACATAGAAATTAAAATTGATAAACAAGAAACTAAATTAACTTTCACAAAAGTGGCCTGAAAACATTCAGTGTCAATAAAGAAAATCAAAAGAGAAGGATATAGCTACGTAATATTTAGGCACCTGGCTTTAATATATGCATGCCCATTACTGTCATGTGAAAGCTTAATAGTACCATCGAAGGCTTACCATAGCTACTCATAACCTACAAACTCTATACTAAAAACCACTGTCTTATTACGTTTGGAAATAATAACAATCCAAATTTAATAATAATTAAAAAAATAAATACCAATAAATTTAAATGAAAAAAGAGGTCGCATCAAAAAATACTATTATCTTATAGATTGAAAGACAGTCATCACTCTTACAAACTACAGTACTCAGGGCTGTCCTGATTCAAGTTGCTGGTTATCTCTTTAAGACCCAAGAGTGAAAAGTCAATTTTCTCCTAACAAAATCAATACATAATCAGGAGAAAATGCTGTGAAAATTAATGAAATGATCACCTGATGGGCAGAGCTTTGATCTACAAACAAATTCTCTTAACCAATTCTTTAAGGAAATGTATGGAGATCAGTCTGGAGAATTATGCATTTGAATATTTGGGTTTAAATGGTTAAAATAATGTCATATTGTTAGTAGGCTGGGAACTGACAAGCTAGGATGTTGTTTTGGTTCTATTTTCCTTTATTCTCTTCTTCTTCTTCTTCTTCTTCTTATCACTACGTAAGTGCCTTGGATATTCAACAAAATTGCATATCAGAATTATTCTGGAGTAAAATACATTGAATTTGAAAAAAAAAAACTTACATTAGGTCTACATGTACCAAACCTATCCCCTTTAACTAAGAACATGAAAAGTTCGACGTTTGAATCAATTAAGTCCCACATACAAGTATCTAATTTGGGTTGACCCATGAATTAAGTTTGAGTGGCCCACATCCTATAGGAACTTTGACCACATAGCGACTTGGTTTTAAGCATCAAACTTTTCATGTGCCAAACCTAATGCATAAATTACTACAATTAATTATATTTTTACTGGTAAATATGGTAGACCATTGTACATCGAAAAAAGGAATTAAGTTCGGCAAATTAATATGAATGTCTGAATCAACTGTCAAACTAAAATCATTTGGGTCAACCCAGATAGCTATTAAGTTTGGCACATGAAAAGTTTGACATTTGAGCTGGGCCTTACTGGCTCAGCAATAGTGTTGCATGAGAGCAATACAGGGAGAACGTGACTTACAGTCAGAAGCTAAAATGGGACACTCTTAGAAGAAAAATTAGAACTGTCCCACTTCTCAATTAAATAGTTACTGTATGCACCAACTGAATATTACAGCAGATCAGAAGCTGGGATCAAACCTTAAAGGAATTTTTTTAACCAGATTCTATAAAAAGCAACAATTAACTTGGCAATTTTTCTGTCAACTCGATGTTATGCCTAATCAGAAAATTAGAAGTAATAGTTTCTTTATCTGTGGTGTACATTTACATGCCATAAGCAAAAATAAAGGGGTGTGAAATTTGTGAGAGCATAATTTTTATATTCTACTTGTTTTGAGGCTGCAACAATGTACAAGACTGTTTTACATTTTAGAGCCCCCAAAATACTGATAACCTAGACAAAACAATATTAATATACCCTGTGAATCAGATCCTTCAAAAATGCATTGTATCATTATTTTTTAACTTACGGATCAAATTCGTGAATAACACTTTCAAACCGCAGTACTGAGAACAACCTAGTAGAGAATGCTGAAAAAAAAATAAAGGAATTCACACGAATAAGTGAAATAAATCTTATAAAATACAATTTTTCTTGAGTAAGAATAAAAATTGAAACACATAGCAATTACCTAAATGTTGTATCCAGAAAAAAAAGCATGTTGAATTTTCGGTTGATTCTATTTATTTGACGAAAAGCAACGAAGTAGAAAAGTTTTTTATCATGTTGTAACTGGAAATGAACAACAGTGATTTCAGATTGATATGTATTCGATACATAGATCATAGAATGTTTTGTTTGATTTTGCTTATGAAACTAATAACAATTTTTCATAACATGATCACAATCTTACCGATGGAGTCCTTGATCACTGAAACCTATTTTCACCGCGATCTACTTCTCTAGTTAATATTGGGGATTGTTTATAAATTACATGATACTTACACAAAACAGCGCATATGGACAAAATGAGAAGCTTTAACAACGTGTCTTGCTTCTCGTAAGAGAGACGTGGAAGAAAAGATGGAAGCTGGAAGCCGCTTTCCTGTAGTTTCATCTTATCCGTAAGTTCTTGGTCCTAGGATAAGGAGCAAACTACACGGTGGAAGCCTTGCAATTTGTAAAAATTTACAAATTGAAAGAGGCCACGTTGACTGGACTTTTGTTCCAGAAATTCAATATGGCGAAGAGAAAGAACAGGAAGTCACGTGGGTATTATTCCTTTGGCCCAGGTTTCTTTTAGCTTCTTTTCCCACTCGACTTCAGTTAAATGGTTGTCACGCGATACTGTCACGCAACGACGAAGCACCACGTGTTCATGGCGCAGGTCCACTAGTTGATCGATTTTTACTTATTTACTTTTAAAGTAGAAGTTCACGGGATCGAAATCTGTTTTTAAACTGACAGCTCCTTGTGACGGTAAAAGTCTGCTGTGTGTATTGTTTTCTAATTGAAACGTTAATTGTGTAACTAAACTGTCGACAAAAAAAAAGGTTGCCTGTCAGAAAAAAGAAAAAAAAACGAGATGAGTAAAAAAATGGTCATCTCTTTTATGTTTCAAATAGACACTTGATCTGTTTTATGCTTCGATGAAATTTTTAGCGGGAAAATTAAACATGCGATCCTTTTTTCAGTCACGCTCTCTATCCGGGACAATCCGGGACTTGTAAATTGACCCATCTTTTAAAACACATTTTGATTGGCTAAATATTTTCCAAATATGGTAGCTTGCACTTAGAGCCAATTAGAATAGCCCTTATATTGATACTTGTTCGCCATTAGTGTTTTGGAAGCGTGGAGCTCCCGTGAGCAAAAAGCTCAACACTTCAAAAGTTTTCTCGTATTTCTTTGCCTGTTTTTACTGCGCTATGAAATCCTCAAATAAAGACGAAGCCTCGACTTCCGATCACGATGAGGAAGATGCTGCAGTTTATATTTATGATCGCCGGGCTGGTTGCAGGCCGGTTGAAAAGATCCAATTAGGCGGCATTTTTAATTTTGCCAGTTTCAAGGAAAAGACACGACAAGTAAGCAGTGGAGTTTTCTTTTTCTCTCTTATGGTTATTTTCGCCAATATTAAATGACAGCTTCTTGTGTGGCTTGAATTTCACACTTTTTTTCAGGCTTTTAGTATACCAGAAAATGAGAAGTTTGTAATCGTGACCACCAATCGTCAAGAAATTTGTGATGACAAGACCTACGGTACGCGCAAACACCTGTTGCATTTTAAGCTGTTATATCTTAAATTTTGTAGTCCTAAGAGCAAAAACAGGTCTTTTATGCACTGACCTCAAAATTCTCGTTGAATTTCAATCACCTGATCTAGGTCCTTCTTGTTAAACCATTAAAACGTTCTGTCTCTTTTCAGAAGAAATGGTGGATGGAAATGAAACATTGTACATTTTGCAGCAGACTGACCAAGAGCTCAGTGCTCCAACTGAAGAGAGAGTTGAATACATTCCTCATTATGATACGCTGGTAAAAAGTGGAATGTATGAATATTATGCCAGCGAGGGACAAAATCCTTTACGTGAGTAGAACTCTGACTTGTATTGTATGTCAGACCTGGGGGGGGGGCACTTTAGGAATTTCTGGGTGGGGATGTGCCGCTGGGACCCTGGAACCCTTGACCTATACCAGAGCTAGTTCAGCTGAATTTTGCTACCCTATACTAGAGTAAACTCCCAAAATCCCCCTATCCTAGAGTAGCTGTTTCCCCAGTCTAGATAAAATCTTCAACCAACTGATCAGTTTCCCGAAAAATGATACCCTATTCTAGACCCAAACGCTCTGATTTATATACCGTATCCTAGAGTAAGCTGCTTGAAAACCATACCCTTCACAGCGGCACATACCCATATAGCCCATATGTGGCAGTACCCCCGGGATGTCAGACCACCTCTTTGATAATTATGTGAAATGGGTAAGATTTCTGTACAACCCTATCATTTATTATGCAAGCAGCAGTTTCTTACTATTTCACACAAATATGTATAATAAATGTATGGGCTAGTTGTACGGTAACCTTACAGTGCACATTTTAAAAACCACTTTATGTTTTGATCAAAATAGGTCAAGTCATGTTTCATGTGGTGTGATTGGGATTGATTGACAGCACATCAGTAAAAACCGTTCATGATTGAATAAAACCTACGCTACAGGAGGAAAATTCCTCCTGTAAATTTGGCATGCTGCAGGGGATAAAAGTCCTTCGTGCTGGGTCTTACTACTGGAACTGGAAATGACTTTGAGAAAGTCTATGATAAAAATTGTTTCTGTTACTGTATTCCGTATTTTAGCTTTTGCTTTCGCGGAACTTGTGGATAATGCATTGGCTGCAACAGCAGATAATGAGGGACCAAGGAAGATTGAAATAAGACTGGTAAGGCATTGAGATACTGCAATATCAAGCATAAGCATAAGGAGGTAGTGTGCTAGCCAGGACAGCCTTAAACCAGGTGGGAGGGGGGGGGGAGGGGAGGTGGGTACTTAAGATTTCAAGTGATGGGGATAATGGAAGGATTTTTTTTAGTTTAGATTTTTCAATTCTGGGAGATTTTTGGGTGGATTGATTTAAGTAGGGATTTTTGGGGGTATTCAAAACAATCTGAAGATTTGTGGTAGTGCCGGTGTATCCCGGCTGCGTAGTTCTGTGACTGTTTTTTTGTCTAATGCTTTTCATGAGATTTTGGGGGGTTAGTTTTTGGTCCAGGGATTTGTTTGAGTATTGTTGTAACCCCTAGGGATTTTTTGGGGGTTTTGATTTTTGCCCCCTTTCGATCATCCATGTCACTTAAAATCTGCAGTACCCCTCTTGGGGGCCTTGACGTAAGCACCACCCAAATGTCAAACCAAAACATAATCTTGTGTTCTTCTTATGCTTATACTTATAACTTGCACGTGGTTGATCATTCCTACGCCCTGCTTAGAAGTATAGGTTTCTAAAGTCCTTTTCTTGGTTGTAAATTGCAGAGAATACGACAAAAAACCTAATTTACCTTGTTTTCTTGTTAATTAATGTGCATTTATTAGATGTTTGATGACTCTGTTGGAAAGCCTGTCGTGTGTATCCTTGACAATGGTGCAGGGATGACATCAAAAGAACTCAACAACTGGGCTATCTATCGTCTATCCAAGTTTAATCGGCAAAATGGCAAGAAAGCGTAAGTTCAGAAGTCACAACTTTAAAAATTATATGTAACTTTAGTGACATGGCCAGTGTGTTTTTTTCAGATCTATTATTTTATTCTTAACTAAAGAATCAACATAAAGAAAAGAGTCTTACATGGGGAAGTGTACATTGTAGTTTTTGTATTAGGTGCAATATAATCGTACGACTTCAACTTGGGACCTGGGATAGACCTATTCGGCCAACTCAATGTTGTACCCAATTCAAATCTCCCGGGGTTAAGATTCTTTGTGTATTTTATTTGCATCATAATGTGGCATACTCATTTAAATGTATGGAAATTCCTGAAACAAAAAGTTTTATTCCCAAAGGGTTTGAATTGGATACAACATTGAGTTAGCTGATTAGGTCTATCACTGCAATGATCGATTCCTTCCTTTCTCCTGACTTATCTGTCTATAGCTTGTGTTTTATTCATGCATTGCCCTCTTTTGAATAGAACTACCATTATTATATGAGTCACTAAGAAGAACATTACTCTGACTGACATTGTTAATGTATACTACTGTATTTTGTATTTTTCCTTTTTTGCAGTGTAGCAGATGTTCCAAGGTCTTTAAATAGTGATATTTCATACTTTGGTGTTGGTGGAAAGCAAGCCATTTTCTTCATTGGAGATGCTACCAGGGTAAGAGATTATGTACATTGTATTCATTTGGCAATAAACCTGTTGATACATATTTTAAGAGTTCCTAATTTGAAAAACCCATTAGAATGTAAATTGAGGTTGTATTGCTTGACATTTTCTCTCTTTGACCAAAAGAAGATTGATATCAAAATGTGAGGTAGACCAGGGTTGTCAGAAAGTTTTGAAGTAGACAGCTGAGTTGTCAAAGTAAGCGGCCAGTCCAGGGATATTTTATTTAAAAAACGCCATTGGTAAAGAATTACCAAGCAGAGTACCTTATTATAGGAAATTACTGCTCCATGAAATTAAGGTATTGGAAATTGACGCGACTTAAATTAATGCAAATTTAATGGAAAATGACTTTCGAATAAAGAATTTCATAATAAAGGAAATTAATGCGATTAAGACACATTTGGTGGCCGAAATCAAAGGAGAAGATATTGACATCACTTCTGACAGCGGCAACGATGAAGATGAACTCGAAATATTGTAAACCTTCACCCTAGCTTTTGTGAAAGATGAAAAATAAAGGGTAAATGGAAAGAAAGAAAGCTTGTAGTTAATGTTTTTTAGGTGTCAAGAATGTCTGGACAGGTTCCAAAATTGGGGTTAAAATACTGGAAATTAAGAGCACGGAAACTAATGCTGCACTTAATTAACGTCGCAGAAATTAATGCTCAACAAAGTTAACGCAACTTAAATTAACACAAATTTTAACGACTCGTGTTCATTTCATGGAGCGTTAATTTCCTTTAATAAGGTAGCCGGCCAATACTAACCAAGTAGGCAGTGATTTTCACCCGCAGCCGGCTAGTTTTGACAATACTGTAGTTACTGTTGGATGTCATTGTTTAAAAGTAACGTCATCGTATGTATGCCAGGGTACTATCTGATGTATTAAGTACTAACATTACCCCTCAGGATTTCCTGTATTGGTCCTGCAATAAAAAGATCTCTTCTTAGACAATTTATAAGAATTCCTTTTTTGACCATGACTGTGTGGTCAAGGTGGCTGGATATTTATAGCCTCTTTTTTCACTGTGCTTAACTTCATCTTAGCCAATATTTAGCCATCATTTGCTTTTGCAAATAGCAAGCATTACTACTTACATGACAAGAGGATTATTATGACTGATTGTTATCATTAAGTTCAGATTAGAAGAAAAGGTGTAAATATTTAAGCATCACAAGTACTCTATCTGTGCAATGTTTTCCCAGATGGTCACAAAATCGAAGGACTGCAGTGATATCCACGAGCTTTGCCTATCTCAAGCAGAATTTGAACGCAGAGAAAAGAACAAACAGGCAATTTATGGTGGTGCTATACTTAACAGGAGGGTACGTGCAGACAACATGAAGTGTTTTTGTTGCTCCATATACTTTTAAGTACGGTGCAGAGTATGTAAGGTCCAGGTTGGATGTAGTGTTATCATGTTTTACGTTATTTACTTCCAGCCCCGGGGGGCGGGGGTACTCCCATATATGGGCTATATGGGTACGTGCCGCAGAATAAGGTATGGGTTTTGAGGTTCTCGTTCCTTAAATAGGGTATCTTTTTTGACCCCTTTGTTTCTGTGTCCCTGGTGTGGTCCTTATAGATAGGGTAGCTAATAATTGTATTATCTAATAATAGAGTGTGAAAACGCCCGCCTAAACGAACATTTTTTTTTTAAACTAGGCTTATTCTAGTATTTTATGCTTGATGCTATACATCCAATGTTACAGAGAAGAAATAAAGTTTTCTTTTTCATGCTATTAATAATTCTGTTTTTTCCTTGAATAGGGTGTCATTTTTTGGCTTTCGGCTTTAAAAAGGGTATCAGTTTTGGCTTTCTTAGTCCTTAAATAGGGTTAGGGTTGACGAACCTTCGCGGCACACCCCTATCCAAAATTCCCAAATGGAATGGCACGTTAAAACCATTTGTTTTTTCATCACCAGAGAATTTCCAGTTTTTCCATGTAAATGGTATAAAGTACCCCTGCCTTAAAACAAACAAGCCCAGCTTCTCCTGATGTTTATATAAGTGAGCATAATTATGCTAGCCTCATGTTTGTAATCATTGTTTCCACTGTTTATCAAGGCTGTGATCTAGAAAAAAAATATTACAGATCCTTAAAACTTTAAAAACCTTTGAAATCGTGGGTGCCTGGTTTGTGCAAAACAAGGTTAAGAAAACCCAGGGTTAATATTTCAATTTAGATATGAAAGCTTAAAAAGCAAATTCAGTTTTATTCTTTTTGTCTACAATTTGATGATTGGATGCTCTAAAAAATAATGAGAAAATTATCCAGAAAAATGCTTTTGAACAAAACACAAAGAATTCCAGGTTAAAATTTAACCCCAGGTTAGCGCTAATCAGCCTTCGAAACACTGGGCCCAGGGTGGCTGGTTTGTGCAACTGTTAAAGTAAGTTGTGAAAAGGCTAAGTAATATTTCCTTGTCACCCAGTTATACATAATTATAGCTGTAAGTCTCTGTCCATGACCACCAGCCTCCACTGGAGAACAACCCAGGTGTACAGTGTATGTTCAAACTACAGTACAATATGCAACAGATTGGTGACTTTGTTTTGCCCTGATTTTTTGGGCAGGCTGGAGACCATTCCCACATCCCAGCTGATGAAGAGAGTGTCAAGAAACTTGTACAAGAAGAGCTGCGAAAAGAAAGCTTTACAGCTGTGGTTATAACTGGAATCAAACAGGAACACATTGCTTATATGAAGGCGCATTTCAAGCACTGGTGTCGTCAACTAGCGTACGACATATTCTAAATTATTACACCAGCAATTTCCCTAGTAACAAAGGAATGTAGCCTTAGCTTGTTGGTAGTCTCTCAACTCTCTTTGAACATAATATTTCTGACAAAAATTGCCATAAGTCATCTTACATTTGATAACCATCAGCAAGGCTGTCGTTAAGGGCCGGGACCTAAAATTTTTACCCAGCTGCTACAAGTGGCAGGGGGTCTCCCATATAAAAGTAGCAATGGGGATGCTCGTCATCTTTCTTTGGGGTGTAAATAAAAATTGCAGATTTTGGCCTCATTAAGGGTGTTTGGGATGGAAAGTTACTAAATTAAATTATTTGCCCATTCCGGTATTACTTAGTTCTGTGCATTAAGTAATAATTTACAAAAAATGCTGTGACACTGACCACACAGAAATCTCTTTTAGGGGTCATTTTAAGCTTGAGCCACACCCACATTGGTCTCCCTTAGGGGTTTAATTTGAATTTTCTGATGTTGAATTCCCTGTCTACAAACTGCACATTCCTTATTAGGGTTGAATGCACTATAGATTAATTTTTGAAGATTGCAGTGATTTTGTTACCTCTGTCCTGTGTCCGGGACCCATAAAATCCCCAAAGATGCAAAACAATTTATTCATGGCCATGCATCCCGTAGGACGCAATGTTCGATTGATCATTCTGAAAATGTGTATTATTTTGTAGGAATATCCAACCCATTCATGCAATTTCGGTGGTAGTTATTATGGATGTTGTTTAATGATGCATATTTCTTTTTGCCTTTGTTGTCAGGGTGCAAAGAAAGTCATTTTTACAGCTTGCCATTCGGCAAGCTGAAGCTAACATTAAGCCCAAACATCTTTTCAAGGAGCCCCAAAAATGTTTTGATGAGCAGAATTGATTTCACAGTTCTTTTTTTTTTTGGAATTTCACAAAAAACTTCACTTGCCCATTGGGCAAGTTAAGAACAGAATTTACTAGCCCGATAGCAAAATCCAGTAGCCCCGGGCTATCGGACACTACTTTCTTTACACGCTGGTTGTGCATTAAAATAGAAGGACAAAAAATTGTTTTAATTTTAGTTTACTGTAATACAGATTTTTGTAGTCTGTCTTCAGATTAACTGTCTAATTACAAAAAGGCCCAAGCATTTTCAATTTCTGACTTTATTTTTTTTTTTAACTGGGACTCATTGGTTCTGGACTGGGACTAGTGATTTTTCCCGAGATGAGTCCCAGGATCACAATAAGTTTTTTTAACCATTTGTAAAAAGATCACTGCATTGTTTAACTACAAGACAAGACAAGACAAGACATTTATTATCATAATATTACAAGTACAATAATTTTTTGGCACGCAGTTAGCAGGAAAATGCTAGTTGAGGTGTGCCAGCTTAATTCTATTACAAAACAAATATTATATTATATAATAAGTAAAAAGCAAAGAAAAAGAAAAGAAGAGATACCGTAAAATTCCGAAAATAAGCCCCTCCAAGTATAAGCCCCCCAAACCGGTGAGTCAAAAAACCCTCCATTAAATCGCCCCTCCAAATATAAGCCCCCCGGGGGCTTCTACTTAAAAAGTTGCCCTCAAATAGAAAATAAAACAAAGCAAAAACGGTAAATTTACTTTGAACTATAAGGCTAACCCAATCGATTTGTAAACGCAAATTTCCCTCCGTAGATAAGCCCCTCCGAATATAAGCCCCTCCAAAAAAAAGCCCCTCAAAAAGGGCCATTGAAAAATATAAGACCCGGGGCTTATTTTCAGAATTTTACGGTATGTGTAATGAATTCAAAAGCAAGAAAGACATCGTTTTCTTCCGCTTTGCTTAAGGTTTTAGTAATAGAAATTTAACAGACATTTACACCGAAGTAGAGCTCAAAAACAGCGCGACCTACTCGCTCGAAGGCCATGCCGATGTTTACTAGCCCAAACATCTTTTCAACTAGCCCCAAAATTGTTTTTGATGAGCAGAATTGATTTCACAGTTCTTTTTTTTTTACTACAGGTAAAATAGCTAGCACAGTACTAGAAAAAAACTCTGCACTGCTCAGTAGTTTTTATTAACTAGACACACTTAAAAACTCATTCTCTGACTCCATACAGCTGTAGTTGACTTATTTTTAAATGTGTTTGATTCTCTTTGGCAGACATATTTACCATTATTATATCCATGGACCACGTGGAAATGATGAACCTGTAGGAAGAGGAACTACTGCAAGTCCTTTCAGAAACATTGACATACAGGTAGGTTTATCTTCAATAATTTTATTATTCCTGATGAATTCCTCTTTTATTGCTGTGTAGTCCCTTGGAAGGGGCAAACTGCCAGAACTGGCTGGCTGGACTGCTCATTTTGAAAAGGAAATAATAATTATACTCTTTTACTTGAGCAAAAACCTATTCTTGCTGTGCAAATTACTTTAGGATTACAGTGTATTTTGTGTAAAGTAACCTGGCTGGCACTTAATTGTGTCCAGAAATGCAATAATGGCAAAAATGGCGACTCTGGTGCAAAATTGCCAGAGGCTTTGCAAAAATTTAAATGTGATTACTAGAGGCAAAGTATCTATCTGTATCAATATACTAGTAGCATCATCATCATCATCATCATCATCATCAATCTTTACATGAAATTGTATCACTTTTACATGGTCTTTGTGTGTAAAATTAGACTAAAATACTCTAAAGAACTATTTGACTGTAAAGTTAAAAATACAAAAACTCATATTATAATAGTTAAAATCAGTCATGGTGTATTAAGGTTTCTAATCCCTCAGGGAATATTGTTCCACAGAACATCATTATGGATGAGCATTGAAGTGTTGTCCTTTAAAAAGCAGGGTTTTTTTATTCCTTCAGGTGGTTCTTTTTGAGAAAGGTAAACAACCTAAGAGAACAGAACTAAGGGATATTAACGACGACATGCAGACTCAGTATATCAGAACAGCTGCTTCTGTGTTTGAGTTCCGTGCCAAGGCTGAGAACGGTGGTGTTGTGGAGGGTGTTCTTCGTTACCATCCTTTCCTTTATGATCGAGAAACTTACCCAACACTTGATGGAGAAATTCCAGGTAAAAAGCATGAGACAGTGTCTCTCTCCTAGCACCCCCCTTTGTGGATTGGTGTACAATAAGATTCAGCAACACTTCCCACCAGCTACCCCTTCCACTAAACCGACATTTTGCCCTCAGTAAGAAGCTTGTGCTACAAGATTGGGTTAGGGGAGGGGTAGGTGGGTTGTCTCACAGAATCTTAGTTATACTGCGTCAACCTTGTGCAGGTCCTTAAAAGTCCTGTGTTAATTTGTAAATTATTTTTGGCCTTATAGATAAAAATTAAAAAGTATCAAAAGATTGATCAGTTCACAAGAAGCTACAAGAAAATCAGTTCTAGTTTTAGACTCAAAAGTATGCTACATGCAACTATAATCTTCTGGTAGATTAGACGTTACAAGATAGTTTTAATACAGCCACATGCACAATAATCCTTCTCTTCATAACATTACGTTGGAATTGTTGGAAATCAACACAATTTCTAGAAAAATCTTATATTTTTTTAGAGATTAGAAATCCGGTCAGTGTAACGCAGACTGCGGACTGCAGACTGCAGACTGCAGACTGCGGACCAGGGGTAAAATGCAGACTGCAGACTGACAGAAAAATGCAGACTGGGGTAAAATGCAGAATAAAGACTGTAGACTTTTTTAAACATTTGTGCTCCTTCTTCTCCAAATCGGTGAAATAGCTAGCTGGTATCAGTTACACACTTCGCTTCCTAGTTGAAGTGGATTGCACATTCGCCAGAAGTTTCAATGAACATCTGAACAGGTTAAGTCTGCGTACCTTGATTTGCAATACTTTCATAGAAGGTAATCCAAATTTCCTGCAGAACATCTTTCTTTGTTGTTGGAATGATTTACTCCCTTTTTTTCAGCATAATTCTTCCTGTACAGAATTTTGCGTCAGCAGCGTAAACATCGTGGTGTTGTAACAATTCACGGTCCCTGGTCACGTATATTGAAAACTTCGCGTCTAAACTTGAAGCGTGAGGTCTCTCGGACGGAAAAAAGGTTCAAGATTGCGATTATATGTTTTTGGGTCATCGACAACGTTCTAGAGAAGAAAGTCCTCAATGGATTTGTGAAAGCAGATGTCATCAAGTAAGTGTTCGTTTACATGTATTTGCGAGATTTTTTGACCCTTAAACCTTTCCACAACTACAGTTTATGCTCGGTCTGCATTTTACCCCAGTCTGCATTTTACTCTCAGTCTGCAGTCTGCAGTCTGCATTTTACGCTCAGTCTGCATTTTACCCCTGGTCCGCAGTCTGCAGTCTGCAGTCCGCAGTCTGCGTTTTACACTGACCGATTAGAAATCTATCATATGTATGGTTAACATGAATGTTTATAATGTAGTTGGCTTTCTCATACATTGTCTTTCTCATTCAAAGTACAGTACCGAGGCATGTCCCTGGGTATGGCCACCTGAAAATGTATGTGATTTTATGCTTCAAAACAAAGCCTTAGATAGTAAAGTTACAATGGATGCAATGTTCTAAAAAAACATTTGATTATTATTTTTGTAGAAGAGTTTGAAAAGGACAGTCGTGCTCCTAGAGGAAACCGACCTGTATTTGAATGCTACTGGAATGGAAGGCTAATTCCATACACTTACACTGGTGTGTAACTTTGAACGTTACAGTAATTGTAAAAACTGGGAATTGTAAAATCATGCTGATCCTGTTATTATTCTTTTGTGTCAGACTTGAATGGTGTCAGCCCCCAAAGAAGATAACTATTCCAATGGAGTGTTACAGCAGGTATCTACCGGGTAAAAATAATAAAGCATTTGCTCATTAGTGCATGTAACTTTAGTTTGAGGCCCTTGTTAAAACTTACAATAGCTGCCACTTTTTTTGTCATATGTGCACTGTATGGCCTCAGCAAGGAGCACACAGGCCTTAAATCTTCAGCCTGCAGAGCGAGGCAGCAGGCTTTTAGCCAGACATTCTAAACTGGCTATCCTGAAGGCAAGTTTTTCCATAAAATTATAAGAGATTAAGTGAATTTTCCTGTTTTTTAAAATAGATGTCCATAGGACGCCTGGACTCCCTTTTGGCTAAAACCTGGCATTGGCAGTCTCAACAATGATACCTCTTTGGCAGTACTGACCTTTAAGGAAGAAATAATAATGATGTAGTAAATTATTCAAAGAAAATTCTATATTACACTGCTGTATGTTTGTATTTTTGTGCCTGGTTAGTGCTGTATTACAGTGTGCAGTGTGTACCCATAATTATGTGGTGGTGTTTTCATTTGATTTCTCATCATAATAGTTGGGTATTTTATTCAAATGTTTGATACGGTGATATTCCCTTGGATTTTGCTTCAGCTGCCACTGAATTACTTCGCTTTAAAATTTTGTAGGTTTTCAGGTTGTCTTAGGACAAGTGACACTTTTCAAATAAGTACAAACAAGCTGACATTTATGGATCTGGAAGTAAAGATCAAAGGCAAGAATACCATTTCAGCAGAATCATTTTAGGAGGGGTGGGTGTAATGATATAAGGCCAAGTTCAAGACATAGTGTCAAATGTTTTATTTACTGTATCTAATTCCTTTATTAATTTTGTACAGTCGAACCCCGCTTTACAGACACCCATTAAATAGTACAGACACCTTGTTATTATGGACAGTTCTCTATGTCCCTAGGGAAAGCCCTTACAATTTCTCTAATTTTGAACAATTCACTTAATACAGACGCATGTTAATGCAGACAGACACTTATTTCTTGCCCTATCAACGAATATTCATAAAAAGCCAACCTCTCTAATGTGGTCACTGTCACTTGTTATCAACTGTGTGCTGTTATAGACCTTTCCTTTTTGAAGGTAAAAAATCCTTCGGTTGACAGCACGTCAATGCTTCCAGCGCTACATGATACACCGATAATTGAGGTTGAGGTCTGTTTGGATTTTGAATAATTTTTAGAGGCCTGGTAGCATTTAGAAACATTAGTGGGATAAGACAGTGTCCTGCAAGCAGAGCTTTCTTTCTGGCGTGCTTTTTGCCTTGTGTGAGTCGTTTATGCGGCACACATCACTTGGCTTGTTTACGTTTGCATGTATTGCGTCCCTCTTGCAACTTCAAATCATTCAAAAGAAGTGATCTTGAAAACTTTATTTGAGCTATACCCAAATAATAAGGGGTGTCAATAAATTTTCAGTGAAGTAGAGTATGTCTGCATCAACAAGGTTTGAAGGAAGCTTTCCTCTGTTGTACTGTTCGAATACTTTGATGTCAGTGGTCAGTTTACCAAAAACTTCAGAATCGCTGCAGTTCTTTTTTTTCATAAACATAGTGAACGGATTACTTTCATCCAAGTGCCCTGGTTCAAGTAATTGCACTGTAATATCTCATTTAATTTTTTGTCCGTCCAGGAGCAAAGAGTGAACATTTCAAGAGCATTTTATGACTGGGTGAGAGAATGCCATGAGAACCATGACAAACAGGTAATGTTGGCTGAGATGAAAATGAAAAAAATCACTCCTCCCTCAGGCGAGCTGTTGCCAAAGTTCACAAGCCCAGAGTAGTTGTGCAGACCTACCAAACCTCTCTTTCTTGGACGTAGTTTTTCTCCACTAAATGTGCTTGCCTGTCAGATGCCTTGTAACTAAAACATGCCAGCCGGACAGGTTGATGCCCTATTGTCATACCCTGTACATAACAGTGCAGGGTGACAGTTTTTTTTCTCCTGTGCTCTAAAAGACTCTTATTATATTCTCTCCTCTTCTTTTTTTTTGTTTAATTTATGTCTTTAGAAATTTTGATTAATGGGCATGTACAGTGCAAAAGATAGAGCACTCTTCATCTACTATTTGTCTATAGATTAAACATGGCTGCCAAAGTTTCAGTCTTGGATATAATATTAGTTATTTCACTGGTGTAATAGCGAATCGACAATGGGTGGAATATTTCTGATGGTATTTTTCCTTTTTTTAATTTCTGAGTTTGTTGACTGAGTCAAATACTTTGTTCTTACATGTACTACTAGGTCAAGTTTTTAGGATATCAAGGGCAAATCAAGAGGCCAGACCTGCCACAGAAGCGAATTCAAAGTCCATGGTGTGTTTTTAACTCTATTGAGTGGGATGGAAAGGTCTTCAAAGCAGGACAGCTGGTGAATACTGTCGTTTAAAACAATTTTCATTTGATAATGTGACTTTTTTCTACTTTGCTGTTTTTACTATGATTGTCTTTCAATGTGCCAGTTACAATAATGATGTAGGATACATGTAGTAAATTCACCCATTCACCCACTCCTGGTAATTTTGCTGGAAAACGACTTTTGAAGCTCGCTATTTTGTGGTCACTGTATTGCCACTGTATGAAGGATTCTCCTCTATTCGGTGACCTTAATTATAGTTGAATAACCTATAGGACTTGATTCCATTTTAGATAAGGACGCAAAGGACCTTACCATTAATTTGTGGAACAGTAAAAAGATTTGTTCTTTTTGGTGACCATGATGGAGATGTTTTTGCCACTGGAGGAGAGATGGAAATAGTTCAGATAATCTGTTTCACGGTCGCATTACTACAGACCACTTCACTTCATGCCCATGTATAATAGACAATGCTGTTACGACTGTTAAACTCTTTAAGCCCCAGTATTCAAATACCAGTTCTCCAGACTGATCTCCATACATTTCCCTAAAGAATTGGTTAAGAGAATTTGTTTGTAGATCAAAGCTTTTCCCATCAGGTGATCATTTTATTAATTCTCACAACATTTTCTCTTGATTCTGTATTGATTTTGTACCTAAAGGTTTTTATAAGTGATTTTCTAGACTGTAATTTGAGCAGTTCTTGTGCAACTCCTTCTTGTTAATATCTTGACAGCTCTTTCATATTATTTTCTAAAATATAGCTTAATTCATCACACATATTACCCACTATTATCTATCTTCTCAATGGCTTGGAGCCTTTAGCTAATTGTCGCTCGCTTGCCCGCTTCTCCGCCTATAAGAACGCTCCGCTCACTAAGAAACTCGTGAGGTTGACTTGCAGCCAGTCTAAGGACCGTGAGATGTTCCAGATACTCATCTAATGATAATATTAGTTAGTATTAGTACTAGGTACAGGTACCGGAAAATGAAGTGTTGTCGTTGTTGTTGAGAAACCAACTCTCCCCAGTTTGTTTCTATAAAGGTTGTGTTTTTTTCACTTTGGAAATAGCTACTGTAGTCAGTCCAAAATTGTGGTGCACTTATTTACCTATTCACCCCTGGGAATTTTGCTGAAAAACGCGTTTTAAAGCTACAATCAGGGACAGAAGTAGTTGACACACTTCTTTAGAACGGGTGCTTTTATCAAACATTTAATGCATTTATTATTTCATTCCTTTTAAAAGCCATAAATCCCCTCACCCCCTGAATCAAAGTTGTCTGAAGTAAAAGAAAGACTTGAGGGTCCAAAATACAACATTGATTTTGGGGGGGAGGGGTGGAGGTAGACAGGGGAAGGGAATAGGTCAGTCCACTGTTCAAAAAGGGGCCATTTTACGGAAGCGTCTCAACACTTTTGTCTCTCATTGTCTGAATGCAAAATTGTACTAGTGCACACAAGTTGAGCTCTGTATGACAATGATTTTAACTGAAAATAAAGGAATCAATGACATAATTATGTTATTGGTGGTGGGGCTGACATTGACTTATTCACGACCGAAATATAGGGCCAATTTGAATTGCGTGATGACGTAATAAAAGGGCTGCGGTATCCAGAATTAACGGCGATATAGTTTACAAGCTAAAAACTGAGGCTGAAACTCGCGCTCATGTACAACTTTTGGTGAATTTCAAGAGTATGCGTACTGAAAATATTTTTAATATAGTGAATATTCCTCGTTCTTTACTTTATCCGATTGATAAGACGCAAACAATCAGGGGTAGGGTAAGGATTGACACGTATTGGGGATAGTCACTGGCCGTCCACGGAAATATGGAGCGTTAGTGAGGATCGGCCATCACTGCGTTCAATATCGGAACTACGGAAAAGTGAAGGTAAATTCATGGCCAATTTAATAAAAAACTAAGGACAGCGTAACAAATATTACAAGTGTACGCGAAAACAATTACTTTCAATCCCACCTGGTGACACCCTCTGTGACATGATAACACAACGCAAATAGCGTGACATGAGCGCATAGGTCTGAGTATTTGGACTGCATTTTTCAAGCGAAAACCTCTGTTTTTCTCTATTGTCGGCAGGAAAAATGAAAACAGAGCTTTAAAACGTGAACTGGTATCTGACTCTCAAAGAAAACGACAGCTCAAACTGAGGAAAACACTGTTTCCTTCGTGTTACAACGGTTAACCACGTTTCGGCAAACGGAAAGTAACATTAGTCTGTTATGACCTCTTAATGTCGATATGTTTTCTCGTGGTTAACCGTTAAAACTCCTTATTTGCACCACATCGCTGCAATTTTGCTCGCTAAGAATAAGTATTGCAAAGCACTTTCTACATAGCGAGATCTTCTTTTGCCTTTTGTGAGGAATTAGGGCATGAAAACGGAAAATTTTGCAGCTCACGGCCGTCATCGATCACGTGCCAGTCCCGCTCTCCTTGTCATCAAGTGAACTTCTGGGCCACAGTAATTCTTTTTTTTGGCGAGATACAAACTGGTCTGTCTATCTTGAAAACAATTTCTTTAGCATTATGTGATTTAGGAGCAGGGAAATGAACTAGTTGTCCATCCAACACCAATAAAAAATCATGCCACTGAATAAATGGCAGGCGGTCATCTAAAATCATTACAAAAGTACATTCCTAACCTGTTCTACGCCTACCTACGTTAAAGGTTTGGATCTGTTAGGTTTGAAAAGGTCTAAAAAAAAAGAAAAACATTTATAGGGAATAGCAGAAATGGCGGGCCCATCATTTATGAGGTTCATATCCTGTATATTGTTCACATCCTTTCACGAATGGCACAAGTCAGTGTCGAAAATAATGCATGTCCGCTCCGTTACTCTGCAGTACTTCATTATCTTAAGTTGACTATTCACAAGAACAATTTTCATTGTACCTTGGTGTTTCCATCGTTTTTCCACTAGTGTTAATACTTGTGAAAACATTACATCCGCAGCAAGGGCAGTGATCACAACACAAATGATTTCCTCTCGACCCGACAGGGTATCAGGAACGCGCGCGGGAGTACAAGATTAAGTGATGACATACGCGTCGTACATTTTACTGTACGTGTACTACAAATCAGGACGAAAATTTACAAATGGTTGTTTGTAAACAAACAATTTGGCCCATAGAGTAACGTCATGGCACAACAATTCAGCAGCGTCAAAAATCTAGCCGGAAAACATAGATACATATTTCAGACAATCAGGGACAGAAGTAGTTGACACACTTCTTTAGTACGGGTGCTTTTATCAAACATTTAATGCATTTATTATTTCATTCCTTTTAAACGCCATAAATCCCCTCACCTCCTGAATCAATGTTGTCTGAAGTAAAAGAAAGACTTGAGGGTCCAAAATACAACATTGATTTTGGGGGGGAGGGGTGGAGGTAGACAGGGGAAGGGAATAGGTAAGTCCACTGTTCAAAAAGGGGCCATTTTACGGAAGCGTCTCAACACTTTTGTCCCTCATTGTAGTCGAGCCGTTTTCTGGTCACTGTCTGGCTGTTAAGAGATAAAACATGCCACAAAGCCCTTTACAGGTCCTGCACTTGGCGGCCTTCTTATTATTTTGGGCATACGCAGAAAGCAAAGTTCCGATGGGTTTAATAGTGACACTGGAGTCCTGACTATTTCTTTTCACTTTCATTCCTCTCCACTTCTTTCGTTCTTCTTGCCTCGTTTTTTCTTTTGCCGGGCATTTACAACTGTAGCAGGATTCATTTTGTCGGGAAAAGTTTTTGGGAAAGCTTTTAGGATGAAAGAAAAGGTAGGTGGGTAGTGGAGGAAGAATTTCATGGGAATTTTCGCGTCAGCTTTACTGTTTTTTTGCCTTTTCCCCAGTCTCCTTTACTGAATCGTGCTTATCTAGTATGGTTTGAAAGATCTCTTCACCCTGCACAAAGTTGTCCTTTACCGTCAACAATTAAAATGCCAATAACTGTGACATTTACATGTTTAAGCTTGTTCCTTGTTGAAATTTCTATGCTAGGAGCCAGTCTCTTTGTATGGAGACACAAAACTCTTCTCCCTGGCCAAGCTGGATCGCTCACTTAGCCTTTCTACGATTAAAACGTTCGTGGAGGAAGAAGAAGCAAAGTAAGCTGATAACTAGCTCTAACGAATGGTTTAATTCTTATAACAGTTACCTTTAAAACAATAATTTTACCATACTGATCTTTCTAGCAATTAATCGAATAAAGCAATTATTAACAGACTTTAAGCAAATGGTTTTCATGGTTTTGGCGCTGTAAATGGACTAGTCTGAAATGTTATACTTCTCCACCCCTAACCCGTGGGGGGCGCGGGGGATAGCAGAGAAGTCTGAATTCCGAGCGTTATAATGCCGTCCGGTGACTTCACCTACTTTTGCGAATACGGTAGGTATTTTCTGATTGGCTATTACCCTTCCGAAAACCTTCCCGAAAACATCCCGTTTGACAGGATAAACGAGACTTATAATTGCTGTGTGAAACATGACCTTAAGGTTAGCGGAAGTTAGCCTCTCGTCACAAAGTGAAGACTTATAGTATATAGCAACTGATAAATTGACTGCCATGGTAAAGCAGAACACACCTTTTGTTACTTGTTGTTTCTATCAATCGCAGGCCTAGGCCAAACGTTTAAATTTTCATGAGACTTACCACACATAGTGAGTGAACTTCATGAAAAATTCGACGTCTGCCTTAGTTACGTTCGTCTAAATGAGTTTGGATCGTCCAACACGTTCTAGTAAGGAGAGGTCAGGAGAGTTCTCAGATTAAAAGCGACTCGTCTCTTTTGATACGTTTAAGCTCCAGCCAAGGGTGAGAAGAATGAATTCACTGCCTATGTTATGTTGTCCTTGTTAGATCAATTGCTCCACTCTACACTTTGACACTGTAAAACTGTCCTTTCAGGTTGCCAAGTAAACTGGTTATGGAATGGCCTGAGGGTAACAAGCTGGATCCTAACTCGAAAATCCCAGCAGGAACCACCATAGGTGTGTACTTCTCGACGAACTCTGTTGTATTAGACAATTTTCTTGGTTGCTATGCGGTTTCAATTTGAAAATTAAAGCCGATAGAAAAAAATAAACGATCTGCGGTTCCGGACTCACCCTGAGTTCAATTCAACGGTTAGGAAAAGGCGATTGAAAATTAACATACGTAGGTCAGGTTTGAAATGTCAAAGGGCGATCAATAAAACAGGACTCAATGTCTTACCTTTCTTGAATGTACCACTGCATTGTTTTGACAAGCAGAACTGAAGCAGTTTTGCCTTCTTCCCAAAGTAATACTTGCTGTTGTTGTTGTTGTTGTTGTTGTTTGGTTTGGTTTGTTTGTGTTTTTTTTTCTTTTTCGCAAAGTTGATTGCAAAACTGCCGTTCGTCTTGTCTTTTAAATTTCCTATGTATACTAGCTCCTTTGGACGATGTTGTGGCGTCTCGCTTTCCTTATGTTTCTACGTACGTCAATTGATTTGCATAATGTTAGCCTTCCTCTTGTTTAAGTTTCTCTCTGTGTTAGTTAGGCCTAGGCCAAACGTCGAACCACTTCAGTAGATTCCTTCAACAGTCCTAGAAGTTAGAACTGCTGTACAAAACTTCATTATTCTTTCACTTGTGGGGGGGGGTACATGTAGGTGTGGGCGGGTTAATACATGTTTTACAAGAGAGGATAAAGGGGACAGAGAAGGCATCCTCCATACACACCCTATTCCATAGGTAATTCGTCTCGAGTTATTTTTAAGACCACAGATCCCAAGGGGGATTAGACAACAGCCAATCACATAGCGCGAATGTGTTCTGCGTGGATGACCCACGCTTAGAGCCACGCGTCCTTCACGAATTGAGGAAGAAAAAAATGGCGGAGGACGCGGAGAGCAACATTGCTATTCGTTTTGTCGACAAAAACGACTAAAGAGAGATTTCTGCTAAAGCTGTGTCAGCGAAACGGAAATTAAAAAAAGAATGGCCCTTCCTCTCTTGTATAGAACTAACAGTACAGCAGGGAAATCCTTAACACAGTGAATATTCTCTCAGGATCATTTATAATGTACAGTTTGAAGAGAACAATTTCTGGTTTGATATTTATTGTTTTAGTAGTCTTTTATTATTCAACAAAAATAACACTTGGCGTCCTATAATAATAATAATAATAATAATAATAATTTCATAACTTCTAGAGCGCTATTTACATTCACTGATCAACATCGCTTAACAACTTAAAAAAACTACAATAAAATTCAAATTTGTAAAACTAATTACATGTACATGAATATTACTTGCTACTTGCTTTATTGTACAAACGACCGGTTTCAATAGACCGGCGAAATTTCTCATTTTATTAAAGCACTGAGGCTACGATAACTTCGAGTTAAACTGATTGCACGGGTTGTCAAAGAGTTGAGCGATTCCCTTTTCCCAGTTGAGCGCGACTCATTTCGCTTCAATATTCAGAAATGCTCTCGATCTCTTTACGCTTTCATTGCCTTTCGCCCGACATGTTTTGCATGGCGTTTAGTCATGCGAAACCTCCACGAAACATCCACGCAGCGCGCGAGGTAACTTTATCCCGATTCTAAAAATAACTGCCTTCTCTGCCTTCTCTGTCCACTTTATCCTCTCTTGATGTTTCACTGTATCACTTGTCAAGAAATATAGCCTACTGTGAGCCATAGTGGCTTCACTGCCATCTCAGACTTAGTGGTAACTTTTAGCATAGTTTAAAAATGATGTATTTTCCATTTCTTAATCAGGTGCCATGAAAGTGGACATTTTAAACGGAAATGGTGAATCTGTGAACAAACTGCCTGGTGACAGAAGAAGATTGTTGTAGAGTTAAAGGTCATTTGGCATCGTAAGAGATAAATGCTTTACATTGTAAGGAGAAGCACATGATTTGTGACGGGCTCGCATTATGCCTTGCTGGCTGCTCGTAGCAATAAGCTTTCCTCTTTTTCAATCAAGTGTTGACAAAACGTTAGGTCTCCATTCGCACAAAATACCTCTCTCAAGAGTTAAGAAATTTGTGTTTGCACTTGTTACTTGTGAGTACGAGGACGACATTTAATTTTAAGGACGACGTTTACGTTTTCTCGCCAATTCTCTAAAAATAGACACCCCAGAAAGCTTCGTTGTACTCGGTTTTTTCATCACAAAAGTTAGCACGCTTACTTTCGTTGAAGAAGTTAAAGCCCTCTCCCGACGGCTAACGATAAAATTCCTAATATTTGATAACCTGTTTTCGTCACAACGACATTCGCGCTAAAACTCGTAGTAGAATGACAATGGCTATCACATTTTCCAGCCAAATTGACGTTGGCACACGTGTGCGCGCTACTTACTATTGGGAAAATCTCGCTCTTGTAGTCGTCCTCATCATAGAATCTAAAGCTGTCTAGTGTTAACTTACAAGGATCGTCATTGTTCTTTATTTACGTATTTTTTGCAGGAAGTGACAAAGATGGAGACAAAGTAATCACTAATCATGTCTGTCAACATGGAGGAAAAAGCTAGCCATACTGGTTCAGAAAAATGGGTAACTGAGCTAGTCTGCTGCTATCAGCTGTGCTATGAGATTTAGTGTTTTAATTCAGTGGATAGGGCTATCCAGTGATTGAACAACTGGGGCCAGTTGAAAACAGTGTTTGAATTTACCTGTTCTTGCTGTTGTTTCAGAAAATATTACCCTCCTTGGCCCACATACTCTTCAGCTTCAAGTGTTACTGAGTGACAGTTCAACTGCGCCATCAATTAAGAGTCTTCCAGTCCATCGTATCAAGTTTACCGTTACAGGCTTGTAAAAAATGACCAGCCAGGGACAATTTTAGGTTACATTTACACTAGATGTGATTTTTTTGGATTCGTGACGATTCCGAAAAATTTGGTTACAGATTCATTTTGTCGTAACACGCGAACGGGTGAATCCGAAATAAAAACGTCCCGAAAATTTTGAATCCGAAAAGTTTACATTATGAAAAGAATGTTTGATAAATAATTTGCAAGTTAGCTCAAGTGATAAGAGAGTTCAAAATTTAAGTTTGCACAGGTGAAACCCTTTAGGTTGGTTTATCTTTGTAATAATATTGAACTCAACTCCTACAGTAGATCTACGGGAAAGACTGTCATGTGGAGAAAATGAAAACACACGCGTAAAATGTTAAATAAATTACTGCGGTTTGTCAATTACTGTGGACGTTACCATTATAATTATTGTCGTCATTAACAGCCTCGTCAGAAGTCATAAAATTTTCTCTGGCATTTTCTTTTTATTGCAAAAACCTTGAAAGGGAACATTGTATTTTTTATCCACCCTGTTAAAATAACTCGTACATCTATTGTTATCTTGTCATTTCTGTTTATTTAGAGGCTCATCCAAACAAATTCACTGTTGGAATGTTGGAGACACCTCTTAGAGTAGGAGTTCCTTTCCAGGTATGCTTTCTTTGTTTCACCCCCTTCTCCACCCCGTTTTTGAGAGGATGTAGCTCCCGTACGTAGGGGGTGGGCGGAGTTCTTCCTAGTAATAGGCCAATGGGTATGTGCCCCTGGATGGGGTCACATTTGGGTATGTGCCCCCCTGGATAGGGTCGAGAGGGTGTAGTTACCATAGGCGGAGGGTACTTCCTAGTAATAGAGCAATGGGTATGGGCCACTGGATGGGGTCGCATTTCCACGACTGGGTTGACTGTAATCGGGAATAATGGTTTTGCATTTTCAGAAGAGTTACTAGAATCGGGTCTCAGGTTTTCGGGATTTTGAGGGAAAAAATCTTTATAAGAAGGGGCTTAAAAATGGGAAGTTGGGATTGTGAAAATTACATTTGCCCAAAAGTGACTAAGAGGAAGTCTATAATTGGCCACAGAATGGCCAACAGTTGTGAAGGGGTTCTAAGAGGCCAGCAACTCATAATAAGCAAAAATATGATCCAAGGACCCCTAGCAATATGTCACTAGCGGGTGGTATCAAGGTTTAGCTAGTCTGAAATGGCAAATGTAACAGTCTCGTCTATGTTTTCTTGGTCAATCTGGGCGGGTGGGGGCTGGGCGCGGGGGGCTCGTTGCTGGGTTGCGGATTGGTAGACCTGTGGGTGTTCTTCATCCTTGGGGTGTGAGCGGTTACAGCCCCCTGGCCCAAGGGCACCCAACCTCCACTTGTGACGCGGGTGTAAACTGAGACGTACACGCCCCCTTCTCACTCCAATTTTTGACGCTCTTTAGCCTGTTTCTGTTTACTGAATCACGTTTTATGCTGCAGGGCCACCAGATTCCCTTGCGGTCACACCAAATGACAGTGAGGTTACCATTGAAAACAACAGTGCCCTGCAGCTACAAGTGCAGGTCCAGGACAAAGCAGGAAACCTAACAGTTCAACCAAGGCTTAATGTTGTTTGTAAGGTAACTATGCAAATGTTCACCCCATTGTGATAATTGCTCCTGACTCCTCATATTAGAACTTCAATTTTAAAATGCTGGTTCCACAACTTTGTTAAGGAGTCACGAGGCGTTAAGTATACTCTGTTCAAGCAAATTGACGATTGTTAAACGTCCATTGCAACTACATATTTTGAAATCCCTGATAGCTCTAAGCTTTGGAGAATACACTAAACACCTCATACCTTGTTTTCAACAAACGGTAAACTGTTTGTATTATTTTATTTTAGGCAAGCTAAATAGAATCCATGATCAGTCTATACTTACTGCTGTCACGATCCCTGTGAATATGAACTTGACCTTGCTTAAGTTTTAGAACCAAAATTTGATTAGAAACTTCACAGATCTTCACATGCAGTACACTTTGTATGGAGAATAACAAATGGACAACAATTTCCCATGGTCTATTATCTTATCGATCACAGAAATGATGTCAAAATCTTCAAAACTCAAGTGGAACTACGAGCCGCAGGCGAGCTGCAAGTTTTGAACTTTTGATGTCATTTCTATGGTCGATAATTTTACCGCCAATGAAAAATTGTCGATTGTGTTTTTCAATAACACCGACGTCCATTTCTGATAATGTTTCTTGGGAAATTATATTAATTTATTTGTATTTATTTATTTTTTAACAAAGAGGTACATTGATGGCGGCCGCCATCTTAAAAGCAATGTCCACGATGGTGGGAGAAAATACCATCAATACGCCTGCTTTGCAGTTTACAATTGGCGACAAAATTGTTGCGACATTGTCCTCAAATGGGATAACTTCAGAGAACAAAACAATCCGTACCCCTCCCCCATCCCGTCCATTCAAAGTTGGGGTATTTCTTGTTTTCAACAGGTGGCTCGAACAGCGTCACAACGTTGCATGGAGGGGGTAGGGGAGGGAAAGATTTATTTTTCCCCTTTTAAGTTAGCAAGACGTCAGAGACGCCCTTTAGGACAAAGTGTCTCAATTAATTTTGTGACCGATTGTAGGAAAATCGCGCGTGAGAGAAAGAGAAAAAAAATATATAACGCCATCACTTCATTTCCTAGTCTCATCGAGCACAGCTCTAAACCAATCAGCGTGTAAAAAATCGCTTTGTTATTGTAAAACTTGAATCTGATAAGAAACAACTTGGTGTGTTGTAGCTGACAGGCACACCAGGCTTACCAACTTACATAGGAGACTGCAGTGCATCTGGGAAGGCCTCCCTAACAGGTGAAGCAGATCACCAAGGAAACCAAATTAAAGGCCAAGATAGAGTTACCCCTTTTGGGATTTTCATGTCCGGCTTTGGTGCGATCAACCTGCGTGCAATGCCTCCTTTTGTCGTCTTGAGTGGAAAGGAAAACAGGAGGTTCTGTCTAAATCACGTGATCCCATTAAAGTCGCTGAAGCCAGAATATCTGGACCAATCGTCAAACTGGTTTTCCAAGTGGGAGCGACCGTTTATTGATTAACTGATGGCCATATCCAAGCGCGCTGTTCCGTGTGCACAGCTTTTACGCCTGGGTTCAACACAGTTTATCAGCAACAATTACCTCATGTACAATAACAAGCTTACTCGATTTGTGCAGAGTCTTTCTCAAATACGCCAAGATCGAGAAAGTGAAAGGAAGGCATTGCCAGCAGGGTGTGGTGCGTAGTCATAAAGTTCTTACTGTACATCTCTAAATTGTATCTGGGCGTGGCTGACCAACACTCCGAACCTAGCCTCAGCATGTTTGTTTGTCGTTTTTGCAAAACACACAAGAGTAGCCCTGATTTAGTGACTGGTTATGATCTTTTAGCATCATAAAGAGGTTGCTGCAGTGGAGAAGACCATTATTGTGACGCCCAGTAGTAAAGCAGCAGAGCCTGGAAGTGTTTTACAAATTTCCTGATGCGAAACAGAAGAAGAAGCTGGACGATGGACAGGAGCTGCCTTGCACAGCAGGAAACACACTTACTGGACTGAGTATGTGATCAACAAGAAATCAGTGTACTTAGTTTGATATGATTTTTTCCCCCTAGTTTGTCTTAAGTTGCGTAAGGAATTAGAATAGGTAATAGCATGATTTGTAGTGATATTTGGCAGAAATACCACGAATGGTATTTCGAATTTGATATACGTAATTTCACGAGCCGTTAGGGGAGTGAAATTTGAGACTATTTTGAAATATCACGCGTGGTATGTATTCCAAATACCACGTACAAATCTTGCTATTATTTGTTTATACTACTACTCGTAAAAGGTTTGTAATTTTCACATTAAGCTGAAATACCACTGCTCTAAGCCAATCAAATAGCAGAAATTTCTCATATAGTAGTATAACAGGCCGAGAAAAAAAAGGTTTGAAAAGGGGAAAGGCATTTAGGTGTGCACCAAAATTCCAATTCATATCATCGAGGCATGACCTCATCAGCTAAAAATTAGGAAGCTTATGCAAGGATGAATAATAAGAAACAAGCAAACAATGGGTGTTGCCTTAATTGAACTCGATAATAATAAAGACACGTCACACTTTTTGGTGCAAACGCAAAGGTATTTCCGGTCGTCGCTTCTCTCCACCCGAACAGGAAACACGTCTGCGTTGGCCCGCTATCCTTTGCACAACTCTAACGCGAAATTTCCCGGGAACCCAAATGGGTGACGTGAACACATAAAGTTACATTTTCCTCTTCTTATAACTTGGGAGAAGTCCCTTACAATGTATCTATAGGAACATTGGTCGTGAGCAAGTTGCGATCACGATTAAGTTTGAAAGATCGAGTCTTCAGTGTATTGGTGACGTCTTCGAACCCGTCGTCTTCGTGGTTACTTAAAATGTCCATTCGCCTCCTTAGAAACGAGAAGGGGTTTTGAGCCCATATGTGTCCGGCAATTGTTTTGGGGATCGCTACTGGGGACACGCCCGTCAGCTATTGGCCATTTTCTTTTTCCCTGTTCTCTGTAACAGTCCAGAAGTCTTTGCGAACGTCAGATTGGTCTAGTTTCCTTCTCAGTGTGTATCAGTCAATTTTCTTCTGGTGTTGGCTTAGTTCAATTTGCAGTGACATTTTATCTTTAGCCAGCTGTCAGTGGCGCGGCCTGGTTTCCTCCAAAGTTGGTTAAATTTAACCCAGCGTAGCCGTTTTCTGGTGATTAGGGACCTTAAGATTCGAGGACGGCGACGGTAGCGCAGACGTCGTTAAAGTTATATCTCTTGTTACAAGGGCAAGTTAATATCACAAAAGTAAATGTAGCATCTTGCTGTCACCGACAGGTTTTAGAATTCTGAATGAAGGACAGAGAGAAGTAACAATTGACAACTCCCTAGCCAGCAGATTAAAGGTAGATCTAAGAGAGGTTTTAGTCACTCTAAATGGAAAGGATATAAATAATTCAATTGCTCCTCTGTAAATATCCTTGTGAAAGTCCTCGCGACAGTTAACTTGACCCATTTTCTAAAGAAGCGAATTAAATTTTATACCAATAGTCCATTTTCGGGTTGCCGAGCAAACCATCAGGTCGTTGTCAAAGCAAGGCTCGGTCCTTAATCATCAATGCGAACATTAGTTTAATTGATCTGCGTGTGAATGAAAACTTATTTTCATAATATATAGGTTTAGCCGGGGCCAAAGGCGAAGCTCCCGTTAATGAAAAAACTTTTCAATAAAGAAATCTAATTAGAGTTGAGCCTGCGATCATTTGAAAACTGGATACTTAAAAACTAAAAAAACTTAAACGTAAACTTAAAAAAAAACAAGATGTAACCCCGATGGGTCGACATCTGAGCCAGCGATACGGTCAGGTGATACTGGTCAGCGGATACTTTTGTTTTGACAGCTGTCAACTGACCACAACATGGATGTGGAATATCAGGTTGCAGGATCCCAAACTAGCTAGAAAGTGTACCATTTCACATTGGTTTCCCTGTGGTGCGGGCGGGAGGGCGGGTGGACATACGGTCACTTGACTACCAAAATTTCTCGGATGGGTAGGTAACCAAATTTTCTTAGCTATGGGGCTTCGCTATGAAATGACGAGTAACAGGAGTTTCTTTTATAAAGAGGCTGAAGGCAATCGGAAAAGGCCTACTGTAGAACACGAGTAGCCACCTACAATGTGAGAGCAGTCAGAGACAGAACATATCAATAAAGGAAATTGGACAAAATAGCGTAATCCACTAGGTCAACACGTCAACTCAACAATCAAGGCTCTTTAGGAAATAGGAATAACACACCATCATCACATAAGGAAACTTAGTGCGCTCTCCATCTCAATTGGCCTGCCAGACCAGCCCACTGCTACTGAAATTTCCAGCGTCAATCAGATCTGGCCAGCCAGAATAGTTTATTTTTAAAGTCTGTAAACAGCAGTGTTGGTTTTCTGCTGAAAACTCGAAAGAATGCCTACTCTATCGTTTTCAAGACGAAAAATGGGCGCAATGCCGACCTCAAGTTTATCAGTTGAATTGCTGTCATATCGACGTAAAATATTGTTGCTTTAGCTTTACCTTATTGTTCTGCACTTTTTGTTGCATGTTTTGGGCACTGTTTTTTTTTATAAACCAATGTTTCAGTTTCCAATTACTGATCATTCCAAAAAAGTACAGTTAACAGTAATTGGTTTAGCGAACACATACGTGTATCGTACTTTTTGCTGCACCAACTGACAAACAGGCAGTGCTCCATTAAGGCCAAGAATATTGTCATTTGTGTGTTTATTATAGGCAACTCTTTCTTGTGATGAACCAAAATACTGCCAAGTTAGTATGACCGGTGGAGCAGGACTGGAGTTTTCCTTTTGTAAAGTTAGGGAACTTGTCAGTCTTAAGCGAAGGAGAAACAAAGGATCATTATGCGTTGTATTTGTATTTTGTATTTTATTTTTACTCCATCCTATAATACATTAGTTGTACAATAATACAATAGTTGTACAATATCAATAATACATTAGTTGTACAATATCAATTGGTACAAAGTTGCTTAAACTACGTGTACATAATAATGATAATAAAAGAAGAAAATTAGAATAGAGAAGGGCACATTATAGTAAAACTAATCATCGCCCTTTAACAAGATTGACTTTATTCTTTTGTAGTTTTGTTATTCATTAAAACACAAACACGCACGCACGCACACACACACACGCACACAAGTCAATATTGAGCAAGATAATATTTTTTAAGTGCCTTTTTGAACAGCATTTTTGATGATTCATTGGGAATAGAAAGGGGAAGATCGTTCCAATAGTATTTTCCAATGACGGTAGGGCAAAACTTTCGAATATTAATTCTCGAGTGGGGAATGTGTAATTGCTGAGCAGATGCACTTCGTGTAAAATAATCATGTTGCTCAGATACAAGAAATAATGAAAAATTACACGGCTTATTATCAGTGACATAATCATATAAAAACAAACAATTGTAAATTTTAACAATATCACGAAATTTTAATATCCCTGGATGAAAATAATGAGGAGTGATATGATCTCGTAAAGGAACGTCATTCATTATTCTAACTGCTTTATTTTGTAGACGTATGAGCTGTGATAATGGATTATCATAATTATTTCCCCACAATAAGCAAGGATATATGAGATATGGGTAAACAAGAGAATAGTAAATACTAGTTAAACATTGATTTCCTAGATAACTTTTTATCTTTGTCATAATATTTACACGCTTACTGACTTTATCACAAACATAGTTGATATGGTCATGCCAGGATAGGTGGCTGTCAATATAGATACCTAAGTATTTAATTTTGGATACTTGCTCTAAGCACTCCAGCTATCGATAGCGGAGGTAATATTTTATAATCTACTTTCTGACAAGGTTGAAAGATAAGATATTTAGTTTTTCTTAGATTTAAGGTTAATTTATTTGCACATAGCCAGTCATAAATATTAGGTAGTTCTTTATTTATCTTTAATAAGAGTTCATCTATATTTTTAGCTGAAGCTGTTAAAGAGGTATCGTCTGCAAATAGTCTCATGGAGAAGAAATCAGAAGATTGAGTAAAGTCGTTTATACAGGGGCACCCAACGACCATTTTCTGAGAAATATCTGTTCGGAGCCCTCTAGAATGGCTAAAATTTTCGAGAGCCCAAGAACAGCTAAAAATTTCGAAAATGTTTCGTGGTGACTGGTTGTTGGGCTCAGAGTTTCGGGATTTGGGAGGTTTGTTCACCTAAGAATTTCGGATTTTGTAGTAATCTCTAGATCACCTAGAAATTTCTTAGCTTTCGTAGTAATCTCTAGATTCTGATTTCGGCACCTAGAAATTTCGTAGCTTTCGTAAACTAAGAATAGCAAAAAACCCTGCTAATCAGTCAGTGCCATGCCGTATTTCAGATTTTTCAGTAAGTGCCGTGCGAATTGAGTTCGGCAGGGTACAAGACGTTTGAAACTGGCATTAAAATCACTTAAATGCCTTTTCTATTGTTCTTATTTTTGTTCTTCTTATTTTTTTATTATAATTATTCTTATTATTACACCTAGAATTTTCTATACATTCTACGTCGCCCTAGAAAATTCGAAGACATTCCCACAAGAGATAGAGTTTTCGAACAAAAACCCCTCGTCAGGTAATCTTACGTTTTCGGAAAGCTTTCACTGTAGGCTGTTATTTTCGGGAAAGGCGAAAAACAGCCCTAAAAAATTCGAGAGGTTCAAACCACTCCTAGGACGACCGAACAGATCAAATTTTTTTAGCGATGCGAATTATTGATTTATATTGCTTTTAAAGCACTCCAGGATGCATAACGAGCCATTTCAGATCATTTCCCAGAAAACGGTCGTTGGGTGCCCCTGTTTATATATATATCAAGAATAACAACGGTCCTAAAATTGATCCTTCAGGTACACCAGAAGAAATTGGCATGGTGTCAGAAATGTTACCATTTACAAAAACTCTCTGCTTTCTCTTATTAACATACGATTTGAACCAGTCGATATGAGGTTTTTGAATGCCATAGAACGATAGCTTTGATAATAAAATCGAATGGTTGACGGTATCGAATGCTTTACTCAAATCTAAAAATATTGATACAGCATAATCTCCTTGATCTAGAGAGTTAGAGATTTCTTCAATGAGATCAACAAGACAGTCCACAGTGGTACTGCCTGGCTTAAACCCATATTGAGTAGGAGTGATAATATTTTCAGACGAAAAATAAGATATAAGTTGATTATAAATACATTTTTCAAAAACTTTACTTAATACTGGAAGAACTGATATTGGTCTATAATTATCACACAATGAAAGGGATCCCTGTTTAAAGATAGGAATCACTTTAGCGATTTTTAGATTATCAGGAAAAGTTATTTGCTTGATGGACAGATTAATTATATACGTTATAGGACGAAAAATTTGAAATGCCTTAACCGAGACCAAAAAAGGGTGAAGTTTATCTACACCAAACGACTTTTTACCATCAAGATTATCAAGAATTAGAAAAACATCTATTTCATGCATTAATGTAAAACGAAATTTAGATCCAGTCGATTTTAAAAAAGAGCCAAAATAACGATTTGATTTAGGCAGTTTAGAGGCAAGTCGACTAGGTATGTTGCAGAAAAATTTATTTATAACATTAGAAATAGAATTTGGTTGTAAATATTCTTTGACATCAATTTGGAGTTTGTCGATATGAGAAGAATGGCGCCTTTTGTTAATAATGAAGTTTATATTATCCCAAATTTTCTTTGAGTTGGTAGAGTCAGCAAGAATTTTATTATAATACAAGGTGCGATAATATTTATTTGTGGAAACTATTTTATTACGATAAAACTTGTATTTGTTCAAAAACAGTATATTTCGTGTTGTTAACCATTTTTTGTACAGTTTGTCACGCACCTTCATTGACTTTTTCAAACCTGGAGTTATCCATGGTTTGGAAGTACAATTTTTCACCCTAGTTGATTTCAACGGGGCATGTTGATTACTTATCCGATTGAAAATGTGAAGGAATCTAGTTAAACACTCATTGACATCGCTAGTAGTGAAAACTGGAGACCAATCTACCTGACTTAATGCCGTCTTGAATAGCCCACTGTCAAATCTCTTAAAGTCTCTATATTCAAGCTTATCCGGAAACGGGGTTTGATCTAAATTGTACAAAATGGTAAAGACTGGAAGGTGATCAGCTATTTCCACGGCAATACTTCCACTCGTAGATGGTAACGAAACGTTGGTATAAATATGATCAATACAAGTCTGGTTAGATTCAGTAACCCGAGTTGCCTCGAATATTAAAGGACTGAAACCTTCAGAGCGCAGCAAATTTAGGTATTCTTTTGATATGTTACTTTGTTTAAGCGTGTTGATATTATCGTCACCCATAATCAAACATTTCTTCTTGGAGAGGTAAATTGTATGTAAATTTTCCTCAAGCTTATCTAAGAAATCACGATTAGATCAACAGGGCGGTTTATATATAACACCAATAATTAAGTCTTGTGTTTCTATCCACACATTTTCTATAGTATCTATTCTCAAGTCATCCCGTAAATGAAAGTTGCGATCAGATTTTACATACAATCCTACCCCGGGGGCCAGAATCCTACTCCCCCACCAGACGAATAGGTACGACAGTATCATTTATAAAGACGTAAGCTGGGATTGAAAAACAATCTAAATAACTATGAGGTGAGAGCCAAGTCTCCGAACATCCAATAAAATCAAAAGTAAAAGGAGTAGAATCTAATAAGTTGCATAAATCAGTAAAGTGTTGATTCAAATTTCTGATATTTAAATGTAACGCAGAAAAGTATGGCTTGACAACGGGGAATAAAATTCATTCAATTCATCAATAGTAAAAATCCCGTGGTCATTAAAAGATTGTAAATTCAAGTCAGGATCATTTTCGTTTCGAGCCATTTGCATAAAATTTATCACAAACGATACATACAAGCAATATTGAAATTCTAGCCACTTTTATATAGAACCCCATCAATATACAAATTACCGTGGTGAAAACGGGGCTTCTTTCCCTCCTCATACGCTTGTTTCATGATTTCTTTTAACTTCTTCTTTTTTTGTCTGTCCTCCCAGATTAAATCGTCAGATATTCTCACGCGATTCTTTAGACTTCTCTTATTCTGGATTACCTGAAGACGTTCCGGTCGATAAAGAAACTTGGCAATGACAGGTCCTGGTCATTTGAAGCGCCAGTCCTGGGTCCCCAATCCTATGCGCGTTCTCTATCACGCTTTTGATGCCCAAATCATTAGATAGTATGGTCTTCAATTTTTCAATACAGTTCTCATTATTGAGTCCTCGGGAATGTTGTAAAATCGTAGGTTGAAATCTCTTGAGTAACGTTCCAATGATAAAAGCCTTTCGTACGCTTGATTGACATTAGTAGCGAGCTTGCTGACCTCATCCTCCAACTTGTCAACTCTGGTGATGGCCACGTGGACTTCGCCGTTTAGAGTATCGAACTTTAGGTTAAGCGACTCTGTAGTTCTTTCGAGTTTTTGTTCGAAAGTTTTCAAGTCTTCTTTGAATTTTGCTTGATTGTTCTTTATGGTTTCGACATCCTGTCGAATCGTTTCCAGGCAGTCCTTCACATACGATTGAAAACTATCGTCATTCACGTCTTGCTTCTTTCCTTTCTTTGACATATTCAAATAAAAGACAACAGGAACTCTTACACGAAAAAAAACTAAAGTATTTAAAGACACAAAAAGGGAACGCAAACTACAGCTTCAGAAAACGCGGCCATCATCATCGCTGACCGCTGACTTTCTGGGAAACTGCCCTCCTACCCCTCCCCTAAGCCAACATTAACACTACCTGCCACTTAGGGCAAAATGTTGGCTTAGGGAGGGATGATCCGAAAAAAAAGTGCATAAAAATGACAGAACAGTGGACCTTCTTACAACAGGTATTGAAGCCAGGGAGACGGACATAGCTTTAAACCGCTTACCTTGGCTGTTAGTTGCCTGTAAATTACCTCTCAGTCAACTAATCTCTCTTTTCATAACTCCCCCCCTCTCTCCCTTATTGTGTCTGCCTTTGAGAGTGAGGTGAGTGAAGAAGTGGTTGGTTTCATGAACTTCAAGTATATCTATACGTTGCCTTTTCAGTATACTTTTTCCTATTAAATGTGCTAATATCATTCTACGTATATAAAGTTTTGAACTAACTTTTCTGGCCATTATTTTGAGCACTAGGCGAGCTTTCAGAGCTAATTAGAGAATCGGAGTTGGTCTTGCGAATAGCTAGGGAAGTTTTAAGCAACTAACTCGACAACGGATATAACAACTGTTTTAAATTTTGTCGTTACCATTGTTGTGGTTTCTTAAGCTGGTTAAGGAAAAGAACAAAGCAATTTGTCTAATTTCTCTCAGGCTCTATCTACAGACCCCATGCCGACGCTCCCAGCATCTTGAAGTGCTCATGCAATGAACCTCGCATGAGATTAGGAGAGCCTCTAGCATCAGATATCATTCTGTCAGCAACTGATAAACATGGCAACAAAACAGGCAAGGTGAGGAATTTCCCTTCCGAACATCTTTTCTTTGACAAAACCAATCTGCAACAATTGTTTCAGTAATTCGTTTTGTTTTTTAATCAACAAAATTATTTGATTGTTTTCTCGTTTTTTGTGTTGTTTTGTAGTTTCATGTACAGTTTTTCTGGTTCAGATTCGTCAGTTTTTTAGTGATTCACTCCTTTTTTCTTCCGTGCATTCTCTAGTTTCCAGACCACTTATTGCCAGAGTTTTACGTTTCCTAAGGTGGACTGAACAAAAATTTCTCTTATTCTAATTTGTCAAAAAAAAGAAAAAACTGTAACATGTTTGCCAGGCTTGTTGGCCATCACCCTTGTATCATGTTTTGCTTGATTGTCTTCTCATTTGCTATTTTGTTATGCTTCCTCCTACAGTATTCATGTACAATCTTTTCTTTTTCATTAGTCGGTTTCAAACCATTTTTCCCCTTGTCTTTTTTCTCTGGATTCATTTAGCTTCCCAACCACGTCTTGCCAGAGTTTCATGTTTCATCAGACGGGATGAAAGAACGAGAAGTCCAATTGGGATTCACGGCTGTAAGTACCGGCCGATTTGTTCTGATAACCGACTCTTTTTGTTATTCATTCTTGCAAGGAGTATTCTTACAGACTGCGTGCTCAAGCTGTTGAACGTACTGGAAGTCACCCAAAGTGGTGGAAATGGTAATTTCGAGTTAAAGGGACTTTGTCACGAAATTTTTCAAAATTTAAACGTTGAGAACTGCCACCAGATATAATGAAACATAAAGGTAACCGCTCAAAACGTTGAAAGAAGGACTAAATATCAGATCAAGTACGAAAAGAGGCATGAGTGGACAAACTTGAATGAGATAGAAAGGGATTGTAATTGGAGTTTCTGAAAACTTGTTAGGCTAACAGTTTTGCAAAGTAACGTCTGATATGATGGTGGGGAAACAGTTTTGTTTTACTTTAGTAGTTTCCACTTAAAGGGACAGGTTCACGGTTAAGCGCATGCTCATTAATTAAATTACTTTTGTTCAATTTATTATTAATTCTATCGGTTAATAATCCCACTCACGTGTATCTCAGCGATCTCAAAGTGCATTTCAAAGTAAAAGTGTATTTCAGAGTAACCTGAAGTAGGATGGAGGAGTACTAAAATCGCAGAAAAAATTAGTGGATTATGCCAACACTACCAACGTTGAATTTATTGTTGACCCGAAGGTTTTATTCCATGGTTGATGAATTTACAGCTATTTGCAAATAAGTTGATCAAGTAACTGCCAGGGGAGTATGCAGATTGGTTCTTTGACAACACTATAACATGATCATATTGCGTGCATAGACGATACAGCATGTCCCTGCCGAAAAACAGCATTTTGATAAATGAGCATGCGCTGAACCGTGACCCCTGTCCCTTTAATGCCATCCTGCCCCAATACTTCAAAAAGAAGGATAGCTTGAAACCAATTGCTTTATCCAGTAGAAAGAGATTTTTCCTTTGGGATAGGGTTATCCACCCTTTAAACAACTGGAGCCAGGCTTGTAATAAGAAAATCACAATAACCTATCTCTACAATTAGCAATTACTGAAAGAGGCTGAGTAGGAGGTGAAGAATCGAAGAGGATGTTATCCCCCGAGATTGAAGGCCTTGCATGTTCCAAATTTGGTCAAAACCAGTTGGTTATGAAGAATTAGCCGGGGGCTTTGAGCCAATCAGGAGTGTTGAAATATTTTGAGTGAATGATAACTGCATTTAAACACCTTCTGCAGGGTTTATTCTAGAGCGCAGCCTTGCGGGATTTCCGCAATTTGGAAAAAAATGCCGCATAAAATATACGTTGCCGCGTCAAACGAGGCGCAAAAAAAAAGACCCAAGGATAAGTACTATTTTTTTGAAATAAAGTATTCAAAAACATTACTGACAACAACACTGATTTGACGGCCGCTCTTCAAACTTATTTCGAACTTTTATAGCCTCCTACTTTCTCAATTGCCTTTCTCTTCTTCGTTTGAGTCATTATTTCACCAGACAATCATCCGAGATCCTGCAGTAATTCGAGCCCAGGCTTTTTCAGTTGCCCAGAATGTTCCAAAATGGCGGCAACGCGTCTATAAAGGTTCGTTTTCCCATGGAACAGTCTGCACCAATAAGTTCAAATACCTTTTGGGGACCCCCCCCCCCCCTTTCTTGAAAAAAGGCCCCCTAAAATTACAGAAGGGGGCACATTTGACCCTCATTGGGCAATTTTTAGAATCAACCTTGCTTCTGGTAGCATGACTCTGCCAAGGAATTGCGTTTGACGTTTTAGTTGCTGTATTTGTATCTTTTGCTTACAACCCTGCTGTGTTGTGTTTTGTAGGATGGTAATATCGTAATCAAGAACATTCAATTTGAGGAAGGCCCCCTTGGACACAGAGAAGTCAGCATTAAATGGAAAGATCTTATATGTTATCAAAGACCAGAGGTGAGTATTTTAGTATTTTTACCATAGGTTGCGTGTTTCAATATTTCTTGTAATTTTGAGGTTAAACTTCATGTGTGCAGAATCTAATGCAAATGAGCGAGAACAATAAAATTTTCCTACTAGTAAAAACCGAGGTTACGGAATGTGGGCGACAACGATCGGAGGTCAAAACGCTTTTCCTCCAACGCTGTGCTTTGCGCAAGTTTCACCTGACAGATGGTAAAAACATGCGTGATCAGATTATGAGTGATAGAAGGGCCCAACGTGCGTAATGAGCATTCCATTCATTCTAGGTGGAAGTCCAAACGAATGCGGGCTACATACATGCGACGCATGCGTAATAACAACCTGTATATTAGGATTGCGTGCCCCTCGTATCGCCTGCAATTAGCGTTGATTTCGGCACATGTCAGTGAAGCTCGACGTTCAGGACGGGCCTAAGAGAAATCATCACTTGCCCTAATTATACATAGGCATGGATAACATGTCGAAGAGGTTAATAAACTAGTAAAATGATGTAATGAACAAGAAAGTTAAATTCTCCCAACTAATTTTATATGGAATTGTATAGTTCAGTCTGGAGTATTTATATGTGGATGTACTTGACTACTTATCTCCCTCCAATGTGGCGCGGGTTCATCTGAGGCGGACGGTCATGTTGTGTTTGTTGATGCTTCTCTCCCCCGTGGCTGATTCTTTACCGTGTTGCTCCTTCTCTCTCTTGCTTCAAGAGAGCAATGTAGTTTTCCTCTCGCCTCAAAAAACAACAATTGTAAATGGCAATTCGCCAGATGTGTACAAACATTCGAAACCCAGATATTTTTAAATTTACGCGTACATTGTACAAACGTTTTAGATGTAGAGGAAGTGCATCCATGTAGTGGTTATTCGTCTACTAATCTTGATCGTATTCGACTACAAAACAGTCGGTTTTGCAGTTTGCGGTCTCAAAATCGGTTTAGCGTAACTAAAGAGTCTCGCGCAACGGTTTCTTCCCAGTCTCGCTATCCGTTTTCAGCCTCGCTCCAGACCTTTTGTTTGACTGCTTGCGCGTACTTGGATACGCAAAAATACGGACTGTTTTGCAGTCTATGATCGTATGGAAATTTGGAAATGTTGGTTTTCGCAGAGAGGGGAGATCGGAGTACCCGGGGAAAAACCTTTTTGAACAAGGAAAGAACCAATATCAAACTCAAGCCACTTATGGTCTCGCTTCTGGGACCCAGCAACATAAGTGTAACGCGGGTGGTCTCTTTCTTGCCTTCCACTTGCAGCTAACTTGGAAAAAAAGACCCAGACTTTTGCAAGCGCTAACAAAGCAAACCTATTTGTGAGAGCAAATTGTCATGAGTCAATTTGAGTTTTTGACCAGACCTACATTGTTGGTATATTAATGTTTGGTTTTTAGGTTATTGCAGGCCCACCAGCGAAGCTCAAGATTCTAAAGTTTGATCATTCTGAGGTAGGTATGAAAAACGCGTGTCTTGGACCCAGTGTTTCAGTGTTCCATCTTCAAATTTTGAACACTGAGTTCAATCTATCAATGAGCGAGTCCCAAACCCACTGAAAGAGCGTCCTATTGACGCTTGGAGCTTGGAGCCCCACGTGACATTGGATTAAGAGGCATAAGCACATTTCAACCATGACTTCTTTGACTCTTCAACAACACTTTCATGCACAACAATGTTGTGTATAAAGTCTTTTTCTCTCCTCAGTGAGTTAGGGCGTTTTCCATTTGTCAGAACTGGCCGACCAGCACATTCCCGTTGTAATGATAATTTTACTTTTAATCAAAGCTATCCAGCCAGATCAGTCAAATTCTAAATAGTATGCACCAAGGAAATCGTTTTTCCTCAAAAGCTCTTGGAAAAAGCCTATTTAATTTTCAAAATGACAGGTCCAGCCATGGTCTGGCCGGCCAGTTCTGACTTTTGGAAAGCACACGAAGTTAGAGTGCTTGTTGAGATTGCCTCGACCTCTGACTTGTGGTAGTGCGAAACAACATTGCTTGGGAAGCTTCCTATGCGTTATCAAGCCTGCTCTTGTACAAACTCGAGTTCATAATGTGATTTGTTTTACTTGTTTTACAGCCACTTTCAGTGTTTAACGATACCCAGATGCCATTTCCCCTTACTGTTCAACTGTGCGACAAGCTTGAAAACCCTTCAGATGAGCCTAATGTTAAGGTGGTCCTTAATACGGACAGAGGAATTAAGGTGAGAATCTCAGTTTTTGTTATTCAATTAAAATTTGACCAAGCCTTTAATTGTTTGGCCTCCTTTTAATAAATGCAGTTTCAGTCGAACCTCCACTAATAGGGAGCTTAAGCAACTACGACGACGACCACGACGACGACGACAACATCAAAAAACAACAAGTTTAATGATCAAAACAACAGCTCTTCACGTGCATCATGCTTTTTAGTACATTTATTTGGCGTCCACTGCACGACTACGACGTGAAACCTCATAATTTGACGTTTATGGAGGACGTGGACATAGGACGACGAATTTTTCTTCCTCTTTTTGAACCTGAATAAGCTCCTTAAGAATTCAACTCCAGGAAAAGTCGCCTGCATTTGACATATTGAGCGGTACCAAATAGACGCGATTAAGTTTGAAAGAACGCAAATTCATTTTGTCGGTGACGTTTTCACTGCCGTCGTCGTCGTCGTTGCTTAAGGTCCCTAAGGAGCACCTCTCCACAACGGCCACTTTTTTTGTCCCAGGAGACAGTCCATAGATTGACTCTTGTCCAAACCTCTCAACAACGGCAACGGCCACTAAAGCGTGTTTCCAAGTTCCAAAATAAGGGAGTTTAAGCAACGACGACGACGACGGCAATGAGAACGGCAAAAAGGCAATAGGTTAGATTAGCAAAACAACAACTTTGCACGTGCATCACACTTTTTTGTACTTTTGTTAACCGTCGTTGCACGACTACATCGTGAAAGTGCCTAATTTCAGGTTTTGTTGAAGACGGGAACACAAGACAACAACTTTCCTTTTCTTTTCCAAAAAATATTGCCCACATTTGACGAATTAAAGTGACGTCTATGCAAACTGATGCTTCTAGTTGTGGTATTTTTTATTATTATTTTTTTTTTAGTTGACTCCAGCACCCGCTCAGCAGAAGACGGACAGCAAGGGTCAAGCAACATTTGGTCAACCTACTGTGAGCGCAACCAAGTAGGTGGAATATGAACATAAGTCTTCTTGTGCCCCTGTTCCTGCCTCTTACTTGATAGCTCTTACCTCAGCCCTTAATGAACGTTAGAGTCAAAGAGAAGCTTTCTTTACTTTGTACACCATTTCTTAGTTCTGTTACTCGGCAGTTTTAATTCCTTCTTAACGGCGCCTCTATTAGTGGGACCCCTAGAGTTGGTCCCTGCCTTTCCTTAGTCATTTTATTTGACTTTCTATAAGGGACCAGTCATAATTTAAGTTGGAGGGGCGGGGGGGGGGGGGCTGGGTGGGGGAGAAATTGGGGGGCCTTCAACTTTTTTTGGATGGAATGTGGGGGGCCTTAAAATGCCAAAAGATGACCTTGGGGTGTCTTCAAGTTTCTTTTAAGTAGCATCCCTACTGAGCAGCATGAAGTTTGAGTATAAAAGGACCTGATTTTGATTGTTTTACACAAAGTCCTATATTGTGTAATACTAAAACAATTTAATCAGCATTTTTACAAAAAGATTTAATTCTCAAATAGTAGGTGCATCAACACAACATCCATTATTGTGTAACACTGAAACAATTTCATCGGCATTTTAACAAATGATTACATGCATAAAGTCATGTTATGCAATCTCACTATTCAAATCATTATTTGTAGATGAGGTTGATGCGGACTCACTGTCTGTGTCACCGTCAAGTTTTTCGCTATTAGAGCATGTACTGCTCATATAAAAAGCAGTAAGCTTTGGCTGATTATCTTCTTTCTTCCTTGAAGCGGTCCTGTCGGCCTCTCACCTTTCGATGGCTTGTCTTATCTCAATTATAACAGAATCACTGATATATCCTTGCTCTATAAGCTGTTTGAGAGGCTCTAAGTGAAATCTCTTTCTCAGTTTAGTGTGAAGTGCTTCTCTGTTGTTAGTTGGCACATTCGGAAGTGACAGTGAGTAAGAACGGTAAAGTAAAGAAAATGTTATTTGTTATTACCATTTGGGTATTATGTATAAGAAAGGGGGGCCCTTAAATCTTTTAACATGATTGAAGGGGGGGTACCTAAAAAACATGGGTGCTATTAGTGGGGGTCTGCAAAAAAATTTGGAATAAAAAACAATTTCTCCTCCACTACCCCCTCCAACTTAAGAGTGATTTTCTGTAAAATTCGAACTTCGGCCTGACACGGTACCTCATCGATTTGGCTGATTTTTGGCATGTAGTCTTAGAATGGTGTCCTAAATACTGAATGCATATTCTAAGGTTCGAATTCTCGTTGGTTTCAAAGATACAGGAATGACAGTTTTGACGAGGCCTCGAGCGGCCGCCATGTTGGTGAACTGACGGAGATTTACAGTAATTAATTCTAGCCTTATCGTTAAAATAACTTAATCGTGACTCATACAGTTGCAAAGAACTATCCTTCCTCCTTTCATTTACCTACTCTTATCTGAAAATGGTTAAGCCTGAGCTACGAACGGCTATAACTTCTCACAGCACTTTTTCGGTACTTAAAAGGTACACAAATTTGGTAGAAATTGGAAGGTCAATATCACCCATGCCACATCGATTTAGACTAAGCCATTTTAACTAAACATAGTTTGTTTATAGCTAAGTTAGATTGTTGAATAAAATAATTGGGCAAATGCAACGGAACAGAAATATGATTGCATGATTGCGCAGTGGTTCAGCCACTTGGCCGCTAAAACTTCAAAACAAAATTCGGTGAATATTTGAAAAGAAAATTCTTTAAAAATTGATCGTGCCTCTTAAACCCTATCTATCGCTTAAAAAACCCTCCCTTGTAATGTAAACAGATGATCTTTTGATTCTGATCTTGCGAAGAGCTTGAAATATACGCTAAAATGAAAATTATAAATTTTGTTAGACACGGTACTAGCTCAAGTTCGCTCTTCGATTTCCCAGAACAATCGGGAGCCGCTCGTGTACTGCACAGTTACAATTTTCTCTGTAGTATTTCGCTGTATACAGCTACAAATTACATATTTTCTTAGGCAAAGATAACGCAAACGTTGTCAATTTTAATCAAAAGGCTAGAAAAACCAACCGTGCACTGTAGCTTTATGCAAATTGTATGGTATTCGATAATTACACGTGTAAACAGGAACCAACCTTTGCTAATGTACACTGTTTGGCAGATCTTTCCAGCGTAAGATATAAAACTAGTACATGAAATGAAATTAAAGAACTCATCAAGTCAAATTACCTGATCGTACCGTCATTACTGAATAATAAGTCCGCAAAATATGACATGGAATGATCGGTGGGAGACGAAGCTATTTTTAGGAGGACAGGGAACTGCACGCTGGAACGGAACTGAAATGAACAACCTCAATCAAGTTCAGTCTTCTTGACGCTATTAAACGTTTCACCCGAATTTGAACAGGAAGTTGTTTTCTATTTTCTTTCTCATTCTTGCATGTATTCTGCAGTTCGCCCACTATTTTTTCGTAACTTTTAATTTTCTAGCTAACTGGAACTGTTAAGAACTACCAACCCCCTTCCCCCCTCCCCTCTTTGAGTGAACTTTCATTCGGTCTGATTCACAATAATTTTCGAACGGTGACAAAGTGAAATTTGAAATGACATTTTATTTAGCATTTTTAAAAGCTCCTTCTTTTTTTCCCGATAGCCAGGAATGTTTTGAACGTAAAGGCTCAAGTGGCGGTGTTTTTCACGACTCTGCTTGTAGACTGACCTCACCACCAGTACCACGGACATAAAATCTGATCGCAGAGGGTCATACAGTAACTGATGGGTCTCTGAAAAGCCAAATGCAGTCACTTTGGGGCGAGCAGGCTATATAGATGATGAACTCATTGTTTATAACCCCATAACCGTATCCCAAACGTCGAGCCAGCCCGGGGCGAGCGAACACAATTTTGGGGCCACTGGCCACGCCCTTATGTTTAGCGGGAAATTGGTTGATTAGTCAAATCTCCTTAACTCCACGACCATGCACCTTTCCAGATATAGCCCTTATCTAATCATCATATAGTTGGGACCTCCCGTAAGCATTTGCAACTATTTTGATTTGTAGAAGACTGTTTAACAGTTTTCATTACTTTAATGTCTGGTAAACAACACGAGGTACATATTCTGATCTCTCTCTCCCCCCCACCCCCCACCCTTCCCCCATCCATAACAAAAACTTTTCAGACCAACACTGAATTGCATGAAGGTATGTACAAAAATATGACCATCTCGAGGCAAGGTTCATCACTGTAACTTACCACATAAAAGCCTTTTCGTTGTTTGCCATCGACTGATTCTGTTCTGAATACTAAGGTCCCATAAACAACGCCACGTTTAGAAAGAGCCCGACCTTTTCAATCCAAGAAAACCCAAGTAGCGATTTCACCAACGAGACATAAGCCGTAAGAAAAGGACCGCGTCAAATAGTTCATGAAATCACAAACACCTCATGACACCTTTAATTCACTCTTTCTTCGATAAACTAATTTTTAATTTTTTAAGCATAAATGACATCAGAATGCGCGATTATGAGCATTGTAGCTTATGAAAAGAAAATTTAACACCTGATGCACATGAAAGCGTCTAAGAAGGGGACTAGGGGGAATTAGGAACATTGTGCTTACCGCTGGAAAAATATTGGCTAGTTCTTTGAATAGACTCAATTAAAGCCGTTTTTGTTCAGTAAGGAGCTGTTAGATGGGGGGAAAGCTACACAAAGTAGATCGCATCAGAATACGGCATAGGACTAGGCTCTCAAAATCGATAAGCCGAATGCAAGACCAATTATTATGTAAAACAGAGAAAAATTCCTTGAGGGAAAAAAATTATGGCTAGGGAAAAGACCCGAAGGTGGAAAGTTAGGATGGTAGCTTCTTTTCAGGTAATCGATCATTTACGTTAACTTCCGCTATCCGACGGGCATATCGGAAAGAGTGAATGGATGAGAGTATAACACATTCAAGAAGAAACAAATTTGTGAATTTTCACAACTCAATAAAATAACTAAAATTGTGTACTACTCGGTTATACAAGATTTTTGTTTTCAATTTCAGATTTTTACGATGGGGCATTAGCCCCCGTACTCACTAGACACTACTTAACCATCATCGTGTTAAAATCAGTGAAATACTCCAAAACAATTTGGATTCCTACCCTTATACCTTTATTAAAAATTAAGGTTGGGAAGTTTGTTGTTTTCTAAAAGTAGTTTGAACAGCCGAACGAAATTTTTTTACAAGGAGTGGGAAAGGCAAAGCTTCACTTATCTCTTCTAAGGTAGAAAGTGTCAGCAAAACGTGAGAGTCGTCCTTGAGGGTAAAGTGTCTAACCTTATTTTCTCACCGATTGCAAGTGCCATTTCATCCACGCATAACCTCACCTAGTTAACAGGTGAGCAAATGTAGTGGGGAAACGTTGCGAGAGAACTGAGTAAGATGTTAGGGTAAGTTTTGGAAATTTTCCGCACACCTGGAAAGTCCTGGCTACGCTCCTGATAGAGACTTTTGCTGGAGAGAAATTGAAACATGTTCGCTAATATAGTGACGACCAGAAAGGACAAGCCATAGGATAGTTCCAGAAAACCACCCATTAAAATAGATCACGAAGTTGTCGAGGCGGAGGATGAACTTGAAGGCATCTGATGAAGTGCAATTTTTCAAGGGAGCCCAGACCAGATTATGTACGATGGGCACAGGTTGTTTGATCTGGAAAATTTAGAGAAGCTCAAGGCAAATCGCTAGACAACACATGCTAGAGCTGAACTAAAAATCTTTTGCGCCTCTGAACTCTGTCCCTAAGGGTAAAGGAGAAAGTTTCTCTTTATCAATGCATTAACCGAGTTGATTATGAATGTCTCCTTATGTTGGACGTCTTACTAACAAGAACATTACCACTACTTGCCCTCAGAGGCGTTTTTCAGTTGACGAGCAGAGAAAATTAGGTTTTGACTGTTTGAAATTCTGGATGCCAGAGTGAAGACGCCTTTTTGTATGATGACGTCATCTTCCTACAGTAAAAAGCGTTCGTTTTTACCACTGATATTACGTCAATCGGTACACTTATGTTGTCGAAAGGTCCGTGAGCATGGTAAATAATTTTACCTTAAACTGCAGACACATCTTCAATCACTCCTTATTGTTCGCGATATCGGATAAACACTCTGGTCTCTAACTGAATTTTCTTTGCTGTTTACTTTATTTTGAATTAGGACTGTCTTGAGTTGTCCATGCATTGTCTAGCGATTTTAAGCTTTTTCAAGGAAACAAAAATCTGGAATTGTCCCTAGGGTGAGGCATTTGCGCACAGTTTTAAAGCCCTTCGGTGGGGTGACTGTGGTTTTTGTTGTCCCGGGCTCATCCCTCATTCTTCCTAACCCCTTCCAAACCAATTTTTCTGTTTATCAAGAATCTCCTCAAAACGGGCTTCGTGATTGAGACAAAATACCTGAAAATTGTACACGGAACCGTTGTTAACGGTGTACAAGGTAGAATGAGTCTATTCATTACTTTGCCAACGCCCAATTTTTAAAACCGGAAGTAATGATGTTTATTTCAAGGGCTCATGTCTCATGAGTTTTGAGTGAATCTTCAAACGCTGTAAATACATGTAGCTGGAACTATCATCGCATCGATCCTCGCTCACTAATAATGATAACTTATATCAACTTCCATTATTTATTGCCTGGCTAAGATTTTCACGGATTCTTCAGTTCAGTTGTTTGAAACCAGGCGGCTTCACGTGAGTTGTAACGCCAGGCAAGGAACGTGACGACCCGCGATATGCGTGGGAAAATATTACTTTTTTTCGATCAAGGTGGAAACTGGAAACTTTGTCGTCGAGTAAGGTAATACATCTCAATTTTCATTACTATGGTTAATTTTAAAAGCTCTGGTTTCGGTAAAGGAACTGGAGGAAAATCAGGAAAATTCCTGTTCGACTGTGATGGTTGGATTTTGTTTACGCGTCATAGCGTAAATATAACAAATTCATTTTCCTTTTCCTTATACAATCTGCCTTTTTTTATACTGTTTTTCGCAGCAGAGTTATCGATTATATTACAGAGGCTAATTTTATTACACAGATCACTCAGATTTAATGACAGAAACTCTATTATCGATTGTAATTTTGGCAACACCTGGCGAGTATTCGGTGTACAGATTATTGACAAAGTCGCTAGAACAGTCTTCCATTCATTGCTTTTGTTTCTGCTCCGTTAAATTTGCCCAATTTTTTTATTAATGAACTCGATTTAAATACAAACAGTGAGTATTCAGGCAGATTGGCAAGCTTCAATGCGATGTGGCAAAAGAGATATACGCCTTTAAAATTCTGTTAATTTTGCGGGTGTAAAAAATTCAAAAAGTATACCCACCAAAAGTTTAATCGATCGTTGCGAAAACGTTATCAATTTCGAAGTAGTTTCTAAAAATACAATAAAGAGGGATTGTTCTTTCAATCTGTATTGGCAAAGGAAGATTAGCTTTGAAGACAGGGTTGTAGTCGAAGGCTCAAAAGCAGCTTCTATTAACCAATATGGCGCCGGTCCGAGGCACCCAAAAACTGGCCATGTCGATAATTTCCGAAGTAGGAGGAATTAGAACCTAAAGTTACCTATTCCTTATTAAAGACCTCAAATCAAGTCTACATGCCAATTTTTAGCCAATTCGGTGAGATAGTGTGGCAGCGCCTTTTTAATATAGCTCGAATCTTACAGACAACTGCTCTTAAATTACGACTGGTCGCTAAGATAGAGACCTTTCTAAATCAGACACCTAGAGTTGGTCCCTGCCATTCTTTATTCATTTTTTTTTACCCTCTTTAAAACGCACACCTCCCTAAAGCGGACACCAAGCGTCGGTTTCTGCCATTCTTTAGTCGTTTTCTTTGACTCTCTATAAGATGGACACCTCCCTAAAATTCTTAAAGTTTGTCCCCGTCGTTCTTCATTCATTTTCTTTGATTCTGTAGAAGACGGACACCTCCCTAAAACGGACACCTAGAGTTGGTCCCTGCAATTCTTTAGTCGTTTTCTTTGAATCTGTTTAAGACGGACACCTCCTTAAAATGGACACCTAGAGTCGGTTGCTACCATTCTTCGTTCATTTCCTTTGACTCTATAAGACGAACACCTCCCTAAAAAGGACACTAAATGCCGGCATGCACTTTGTGCTGATCAAAAAGATATCCGTCGACTTTAAGAGCCCCAACCCTGGCATTTCTTAGGAACAACCTCTTCCTCGGTCATAATTTAAGTCTGTAAAATAACTCGCGGAAACGTGTGTTTGAAAATCAGGGGAATGTATGGAATAAGAATCAAAGCCCTGCTTGAAAGAACTGCATTGGATGCGCCTACGATAAGCGTGAGGTAAGTTCTGTGAAGCAGGTTAACACACATTTCACAATCACTCACGGATTTGGTCGAGAGCTCTGATTTGTGAGAGTTTACATCTCCGAAATGGCGTCAAAATGTTTAAAACTTTAGTGGAACTGCGAGTTGCACTCCATTTGTTTCATTGCAGCGTATCAAAGATGTTCACGTTATCTCTGTGGTCTGTAAGAGGAAATTCGATGGAAAATTGTTGTTTATTCGCCAAAATATTCAATATTTTGTATCAATAGAGATGTTGAACGTGGCATTCAAAGCAAAAGGAAACGGTAGAGATCAAATCGGCTATTGAATTCGCTTTTGCCATTTTCGGAGATAGCTAGTACATCGCTTAGGAGTGAATATGTTGCATACGTTAGCGCTAGCGTTGGAAGAAGTCGGACGCGTCAAAGCTACTTGCGATCGCTTTTCTCAAGTTGGTGCTTTTGATACTGTAATTTCCTGTGGTACCTACCCGCTTTGACTAGCTGTAGCTATTTGCGGGTAGTTACATTTGCACTGTCGTATTCTAATGATAAAGTTGTTGTTGTTGTTGTTGTTATATGTTTTGCATTTCAGAGTGGAGCCTGACCCATCAAAGGCTGTAAATCTTAACGTCACGTTTGATTCTAATGCGCCGTGTGTCGTTGGAGAGTTGTTACCAAGTAAGTGAGACCATTAGATTGACAGTAGTCTGGTAGGACTGTTGCGCAGGCAAGTGTATCCCAAGCAAGCAAACGGGTTTCCAGTTTTGCCGTCAAAACTTGCGCTTTCCATAGGCTGGATTTCCGCCGCTATCTCGGGTCCGGTCGAGGTCGCAAGCTCATTAGGGAGCTTAAGCAACGACGACGGCGACGTCGACGAGAACGGCATAAAACAATAAGGTTTAGATTGGTAAAACAACAACCTTGCGCGTGCGTCAGCCCTTTAGAATTCAACTCCTGAAAAATTAGCCATCATTTGACAAATTAAATAGTTGGGTTAAGAGCAATGAAGTTTGAAACAGCGCGAATTCACTTTTTGGGTGACGTTTTCTCCGCCGTTGCCGTCGTCGTTGCTTAAGCTCCCTAGTTACCGAACAGCGACTGATAATCGAGTCTAGACTACGAGTAGTCCCCATTTTTCCTCAGGGATAGTAGAGCGAGCGAAACGCGAGCGCGCGTGAAAATCACCCCACGCGAGAGAGGCGAGACGGGGCTACTGACGGGTTAAGAGTGCATTGCAGGTCAAATACTTTGTCTAGTGACTCTGCATTTTAACTATTTAATCCCCAAGAGTGACCAAGATCCATTTTGTCCTAACAATATCAACACATAATCAAGAGAAACGGTTATGAGAATTTATATAATGATCAACTAAGGGAAAATGCTTTGATTTTTTCTCCACTTTCAGCAGCATCTGACTGATATTAGCTATAGGGAATTCTCATCCAAAACGGAAAGTGATTTGCAAGGACTTGTTCGATTAGCACCCTCTGGGATTTCAGACCAACAGGGTGGCAATTCTCCCAACTAAGTCTTAAGGGAAATGTATGGAGATCAGTCTGGAGAATTTGTGAGTGGATATCGAGGTTTAATACAATTGGCTATGTCTTTCTAAGCATTGCGCTCAGCATTGTGTGACCAAATTCCAGGTGTTTGGAGATCTATAGGCTTTTACTTTAACCTGAATCTGCGTTCTACCATACAAATTCAACTTTAAAGCAGTTTGGCCACGTAAGGACATTGATATATTGAACACTTTTACCTGAAAATTTGATTGACTCATTCCTTGGGTGGGTGTTAGCATAAGAGGTTCAGGTTGGGGGATGTTTTGCCCCCAAACAAACCTACTGTCCTGCGTTTCAGCTGTTTCAGCCCATGTCGTCGGAGAGGACGAGGCTGTAATGAAAGCAGCAAGTGCTAAGGACATAGTGTTGAAGATATGGCACTCTAAGGATGGCCCAATATCAGACAAGCCGCCAGCCAGGGTATGTTATACTAGCCTGTTTTCTTTCACATCACATAGTAACTGGGTTTCACAATACATACACTGTAAGTGTCAATATTCTTAGGCACTAACTAGCCGAGAGCTATTTTCCAGGGCTGTCACCAAGATTTCAAGTTGACGTTATATGCAATCAGTAGGCGGGAAATTGAACTTCAAGGAAATCGTTATGTCCTAGTTTCCTTTTGTTTCGTATGAAAGTAGCCGGGCAGTGCCTGATTCAGACCTTGAGATGAGGAGGAAGGGGGAGGGGGGGGGGGCGGTAATCCAGACCCTTAGATAAGAGGGGGGTGGTCTCCCAAAAAAATTTTTTCGGCCCTTCTGGCCTCAGTTTGGGGGGGGGGTCGGGGGTTACAACTTGGTGTTACGGTGCACGAATTTATGCTAATTAGTATATGCCAATGTCTATGTCATATAATGATAGTATCATGGAGTCATGGTTTCATAGGTCTCGTGGTGTCAGTGGTTTCATAGTTTCATGTGTTTCGTGGTTTCATAGGTTTAGTGGTGTTCATAGGTTCATGGTTTCATAGGTTTCGTGGTGTCAATGGTTTCGTAGTTTCATGGGTTTCGTGGTGTCAATGGTTTCATGGTTTCATAGGTTTCCTGGTGTCAATGGTTTCATGGTTTCATGTGTTTCGTGGTGTAAATGGATACATGGTTTCATAGGTTTAGTGGTGTTAATAGGTTCATGGTTTCATAGGTTTCGTGGTGTCAATGGTTTCGTAGTTTCATGGGTTTCGTGGTGTCAATGGTTTCATGGTTTCATAGGTTTCCTGGTGTCAATGGTTTCATGGTTTCATGTGTTTCGTGGTGTCAATGGATACATGGTTTCATAGGTTTCCTGGTGTTAATAGGTTCATGGTTTCATAGGTTTCGTGGTGTCAATGGTTTCGTAGTTTCATGTGTTTCATGGTTTCATAGGTTTCGTGGTGTCAATGGTTTCATGGTTTCATAGGTTTCGTGGTGTCAATGGTTTCATGGTTTCATAGGTTTCCTGGTATCAATGGTTTCATGGTTTCATAGGTTTCGCGGTGTCAATGGTTTTATGGTTTCATAGGTTTGGTGGTGTCCATGGTTTCATGGTTTGATAGGTTTCGTGGTGTCAATGGTTTCGTCGTTTCTTAGGTTTTGTGGTGTCAATGGTTTCATGGTTTCATAGGTTTCGTGGTGTCAATGGTTTCATGGTTTCATAGGTTTCGTAGTGTCCATGGTTTCATGGTTTTATAGGTTTCGTGGTGTCAATGGTTTCATGGTTTCATAGGTTTCGTGGTGTCAATGGTTTCATGATTTCTTAGGTTTCGTGGTGTCAATGGTTTCATGATTTCATGTGTTTGGTGGTTTCATATGTTTCGTGGTTTCTATGGTTTCATGGTTTCATAGGTTTCGTGGTGTCAAGGGTTTCATGGTTTCATGGGTTTCGTGGTGTTAATGGTTTCATAGCTTCATGGTTTCATGGTTTCATTGGTTTCGTGGTGTCGACAGTTTCATAGGTTTTGTGGTGTCAATGGTTTCATGGTTTCTTAGGTTTCATAGGTTTCATGGGTTTCATGGTTTCATAGGTTTCGTGGTGTCAATGGTTTTATAGGTTTCATGGTTTCATAGGTTTCGTGGTGTCAATAGTTTCATAGGTTTCATGGTTTCATAGGTTTCGTGGTGTCAAAGGTTTGGTGGTTTCCTGGGTTTTGTGGTGTCAAAGGTTTGGTGGTTTGATAGGTTTCACAGTTTCATGGATTTCATGGTGTCAAAGGTTTGATAGTTTCATAGGTTTCACAGTTTCATGGGTTCCGTGGTTTCATAGGCTTCGTGGTGTCAAAGGTTTCATGCATAGTTTCTTAGGTTTAATAGTTTCATGGGTTTCATGGTTTCATAGTTTTCGTGGTGTCAATGGTTCCATAGATTTCGTGGTGTCAAGGGTTTCTTTTTTTTTCATAGGCTTCTTGGTGTGAAAGGTTTCATGGGTCTCGTGGTTTCAATGGTTTTATAGTGTCATGCTTAATTGAAAATAGTTATTTCTCGTATGCAGGTTTCCTTTGTTTAAACATATTGTTTTCGTAGGACGCGACTACGTAACTTTTGTTGCTGTTGTTTGTAATTTTGTTGTTCGTTATAAAACTAATTCTGTAAAATATTCATTTCTCATCAGGATCTATTGTAAACCGTTAAACGTTAATTGTTAATTACTAGATTTTTCACAGTAGCTTTTATTTGCGACACCTTGCGTTTGGATAGGATTTGTAAGTCGTTTGGTATTAAGAAGGGGCCACGTTGCTGGAAAGTTAGCACGGAGGGTGCGTTCAAGAGATTAAGAGATAAACTTTTAAAAGCTCACGCACTACTGGAATCCTTCAGTAGATGCCTTCCTGATTCACGGCAAAGAAGTCATTTTTCGGAGGAGAGCAAACAGAAGTGCTGTAAAAGTTGACAGAGCAGGAATACAGAACGCCAATACGGAGTACGGACAAGTACTTTGGTGATCGAAGAAATTTCTCCAAGAACGGTTGCAGATTCAACCATATTGAACCAGAGAACAGCAGAGTGGGAGATAAAAGCAAGTTTGTTTCATTTCTTCTACCTTTTCTTTCTTTGACTTCCACAGCTTCCACCATCCGCAGCATTAACTAAAGGTTTTTCCAACAAGCCCACTTATGTCAAACTTACATCCTTCAACTGCTCCATGTTTTTAAGTTCCTGTCAGTTTCATAGTTGTAATTACTTTTCTAGCCCTTGTGGCGGCAGTTAGTGATATTGTTGGATTCTCTCTACTTATACATTACAAACAGTTTTTGAGTAGTTTTCAAAAAAGCACTGTCGGTAAAATATAAACTAAAAGTGATGCGCTCTAGTTTTTATCTATGGGCCGTTGCGAGAGTTCATTTGACATGACAGCCTGTCAAGCCCTGGTCCAATCACAGTTTCAATAAAAAAATCAACCAATCAAAGTGCTTGTTTACGTCGTTCGCACGTGCGCTCACCTCTTGTTTGTTTGTTTCTTTTTTTCTCTCCCAACATGTTAGAGATGTAAAAAAATAATCAGAGGATTATAATTTCACATTTAAATGTTTCTTTCTCTCAGCCACGGGCATTATCCTTCGATATACTAGCCGCCGGAAGAGGTTCATTTACTAAATTATCCATGAAATTAACAAACCCAATAAACCATACCATGAAACTACAAAACCTTTGAAACAACGATATATATGAAACCACGAAACCGGTGGAACCAAGAAACCCATGGTGGACGGTAACTTAGTATTGTCAAATGACACCATGGACAGAACTATAATACCATGAAACCCTTGACACCTAGCCTCCCCGTAGACGTCCTCTGGGGTTCGCTCGTCACGCGTTTATTTCTCCCCCACAGACGTCTGCTAAACACAGCCGACATTTACGTTCTTGTTTGTTTCAATAAGCCACTAAGCGGTTAGTTATTGTGTCACGATCAGCCAGTAACGAGCTGTGATACAAGTGAAACGGCACCTACGAATTATTTCTCGTTTTCTTAGAGGAATATTTATTCCATGCGTATGCATGGATGAGACTCCGAAGAAAGTTATAAGAAGCGAATTATTTTTGTTTTCTTTGTAGCTGTAATTTAGGAAAGGACTAAGTTCGTGTGTTTGGAAAAAGCGCAGTCGACATCGCAAGGCTCATCAAACGTGCTCTGGACGTTGATGTGCCTTTGTGTACGTCAAATTAATTTTTTATTTGCACAGCTGTCTTCCACCTGAGACGAATCAAACGTTTTGAAAAAATCACAGTAATGATGCAATAGAGCTCTAGTCAACTGTATAGTTTTTTGGGAAGTTGTTGTAAGTATAAAATAGTCTGCTTTTCTTTGAAAGACTTCAAACAACAGTCTCCTACACGACCTCGGAGCGGTTTTCAGCACGGTCAATATCAATTACTATTAAATCTGTATATATTCGAAGTAATAAGAAAAGAGAACTTGTAAACTTGTATAGGGAAGATTTTCGAAGCATTCTTCGAAAACAAAGGCCGTTTCCTTTTTTTGCGAATGTAATTCCACCAAGGTCATGGGTCGCGGACTAAGGACTTAAACCAAGGAATTAAACTATCAAAGTTCAATAGAAACGGTGGAGTCCTTCCTCACACAAAGCCTGTGGTATAATTCTTTGATTAGAGTTATGGACAAACTGGTCTTCTATAAAAGTTGGTATCAAATGGGCATTTCTCAGGTGAATCAAATCGTTAAGGAAAAACCAAGTACTTTTTTCTTGTCACCAACAGAATTTGAAGAAAAAGTATCAGACAAAGGTTTGCCCTTTGACATTCTATGGAATGACATCTACCCTCCGAGAGCTCTGGAAAAATCAAAAACTACCAAATGTACCACTAAACTGTAAAGAACAAGAGTCTTTCACAACCGCCTTTTTAAAATCGAAAAAGCCCAGCAGACTAGCTTATCAAAAACTGGTGGAATTAAAATGTAACTATAAAATTTCTAGTCAGGAGAAATGGAGCAAAGTTTTCCCAGAAGCTCGTGATTTAATCTGGCAAAACTCATATATGACCGCTTTTAAATGTACCAAAACCACCAAACTGACTGAATTTCAGTTTAGATTCCTTCATCAAACTTTGGCAACAAACGTATCTTTAGTCAAAATGGGATACAAAGATGACATTAGGTGTTCACTTTGCCATGAAGAAGCGGAAAACTCTGGTTCTGCAGCAAAATAGAACTTTTCTGGAAACACCTTATTGCCTTTCTAACGGATCGTAAACTTTTATCCAACGACTATCTCCTTAACAGTCTTGTCGTCTTGGGTCCGATGCCTGATACTTCCAAAAACAAAGCCGCAATCAACTTCGTTCTGTTACTTGCGAGATTCTACATTTGGCTTTGCAGAAGCAAAAGAAATATTCCAACTATTGAAAATTTTAAGCCTTTTTTAAAACAACATAATAAAGAAATTGAACCTTTCCCTCTTTAGTAATCTTTTATCAGTTTGGGGTCTCTCGCTCTTTTTTCACTTTCCTTCCTGCCAGACATTTCCTTCCTATTTTCCTCGCTTCAACATTCAAAGCATATAAAGCTAATTTTCAGTGAATCAGCAGAGAAAATATCTTTAATCTCTTTTTTCTCCTTTGAGTTAAAACTACAGTTAACTAAAATTTACCATACTTTCCCGCCCCCTTAATTTTCTGGTTTTTGTAGCGTATGTATATAATCCGTATTGTAAGTAGTGCAAGTAGCTGTTATATATATATGTAAAGCGTGGAGTATAGCACTGTTAGCAGTGTAAGTATCTCATTGTAAGTAAGTATTGCAAGTTTTGTATCGTAAGTAGAGTATAGTATTGTTCGTAGCGTAAGTATCTCACATTGTAAATAAGTTTTGTTTTGTAAGTAGAGTATAGTTTTGTTAGTAGCGTAAGTAACATACATTGTTTGTAAGTAAGAATTGTAAGTAAGTACTTTGTAATTGCAAGTGTTTTAAAAAAAATAAAATTGAATTTAAAAAATACATATCACTGAGCACTACAGCAGGAATACAAATATTTTCCAGCTTTGTAGCTTGATCTTTCATAAGATTTACCAGGGCCGAAACAACAACAATAATGTCCAGGAGATCCAAGCAGTGTCGCAAACAAGCGGCAAAGCTTGATACATAAGGGATTTACCAAATCCCGTCGGCAAATTTATGAACTGATCGGTCTTCTCTATAAAATTTGCAGGATAGCGTCTCTCTGATACTTGTTTAACTCTGCATTCATTACAAATTTCTCGCACACCCGATCAAAAGCCTCACTGATCGGTGAACGTAAATGTCGGCTGTGTTTAGCAGACATCCGTGGGGGAGAAATGAACGCGTGACAAACAAACCCCAAAGGACGTCTGAGGGGAGGCTACTTACACCAAGAGGCCTATGAAACCATGAAACCTCTGACACCATGAACCCCATGAAACCACGAGACCTCTCACACCATGAAACCTATGAAACCACGAAATCATTGACACCACGAAACCTATGAAACCATGAAACTTTTGACACCACGAAACCATTGACACCACGAAACTTATGAAACCATGAAACCATTGACACTACGAAACCTATGAAACCATGTATCCATTAACACCACCAAACATATGAAACCATTGACGCCAGGAAACCTATGAAACCATGAAACCATGGACACCACGAAACCTATGAAACCATGAAACCACTGACACCACGAAACCTAAGAAACCATGAAACCATTGACACCACGAAACCTAAAAAGCCATGAAACCATTGACACCACGAAACCCATGAAACTATGAAACCATTGACACCACGAAACCTAAGAAACCGTGAAACCATTGACACCACGAAACCTATGAAACCGTTAAACCATTGACACCACGAAACCTATGAAACCATGAAACTATTGACACCACGAAACCTATGAAACCATGAAACCATTGACACCACGAAACCTATGAAACCGTTAAACCATTGACACCACGAAACCTATGAAACCATGAAACTATTGACACCACGAAACCTATGAAACCATGAAACCATTGACACCACGAAACCTATGAAACCATGAAACTATTGACACCACGAAACCTATGAAACCATGAAACTATTGACACCACGAAACCTATGAAACCATGAAACCATGGACACCACGAAACCTATGAAACCATGAAACTATTGACACCACGAAACCATTGACACCACGAAACTTATGAAACCATGAAACCATTGACACTACGAAACCTATGAAACCATGTATCCATTGACACCACCAAACACATGAAACCATTGACGCCAGGAAACCTATGAAACCATGAAACCCTTGACACCACGAAACCTATGAAACCATGAAACCCTTGACACCACGAAACCTATGAAACCATGAAACCCTTGACACCACGAAACCTATGAAACCATGAAACCATTGACACCACGAAACCCAAGAAACCATGAAACCATTGACACCACGAAACCTATGAAACCATGAAACCATTGACACCACGAGACCTATGAAACCATGAAACTATTGACACCACGAAACCTATGAAACCATGAAACCCTTGACACCACGAAACCTATGAAACCATGAAACCCTTGACACCACGAAACCTATGAAACCATGAAACCCTTGACACCACGAAACCTATGAAACCATGAAACCATTGACACCACGAAACCCAAGAAACCATGAAACCATTGACACCACGAAACCTATGAAACCATGAAACTATTGACACCACGAGACCTATGAAACCATGAAACTATTGACACCACGAAACCTATGAAACCATGAAACCATGGACACCACGAAACCTATGAAACCATGAAACTTTTGACACCACGAAACCATTGACACCACGAAACTTATGAAACCATGAAACCATTGACACTACAAAACCTATGAAACCATGTATCCATTGACACCACCAAACATATGAAACCATTGACGCCAGGAAACCTATGAAACCATGAAACCATGGACACCACGAAACCTATGAAACCATGAAACCACTGACACCACGAAACCTTAGAAACCATGAAACCATTGACATTACGAAACCTAAAAAGCCATGAAACCATTGACACCACGAAACCCATGAAACTATGAAGCCATTGACACCACGAAACCTATGAATCCGGAGGAAATCCCCTGCCCTTTCTTCTTAGTGACAGCATATTCACAGCAGAAGGGCTTGGTTACTATTCAGAAGTGGTAAAATGACTGGCCTATTCTTTATAACTTAAAGTGTTATCGTACTGAGGTCACAACGGTGTAGCACAATGCCGCTGTTAATTGAAACCACCGAGGCTTAACGTTTTACTTATATTTTAATTTTGTTAAGGCCACAACGTTGTGCCCATCAAAGCGGAAGTTAACGGATAAAGAAGGAGAATTCTATTTCAGGTAATAATGATAAGAATACGAATAAATATGATAATATATAATAATATAATATGTATATTGCGCATATAGAGTGTTTTCACATGACGTCACGGCGGCCATATTGGTGTCCCAAACCAATCCTCTGGCAGTAGAACTCTTTTCTTATGCAAACGCTTTCTTTTGTTTCGATAAATTTGCATAGCTGCAGGCCACGTGAGTGAAAACACTCTATACAATGGAAGTATTTTCATGTGCGCATTACAAACGATGAGATAAAAATAAGTCAGTTAAAAGCTATCTTAAAAAGGTAAGTCAATTATAAGCTACCTTTAAAAAAAGTTAATTAAAAGCTATCTTTAAAAAGTAGGTTTTGAGAGCTGTCTTAAAAGATGTAAGGCTCTGAATGTTTCTTGTCTCCGCCGGAAGGCTGTTCACACAGTTCACACAGTTTGGGAGCTGCCGACTGAAAGGCTCGGTCACCAAGTCAGTAGGTAGGCAGCGTGCGTTGGCTGGTACCAACAAAGTCGCATTCCTGGACCTAAGATTATATCTTGACTTGGCAGCGACAGCAATAATATCAACCGAAGTATGGTTGATTGAGTAGTTTTCAAAGCAAGCAATGCAAATTTTTTTATACATTCGCTCATAACCATATATTGTAAACTGCACTCACTAGGGACCTCAAAGTACCAGATATGTCAGGTGGCTATTGTATGGTAGTACAGTTTGGATCTGCAGCAGCTGCCACGCTCTCTAGTAAACCGGTGAGAGCATTGTTTGTTTAACGTGGAGTCTTCATTACTAGTTACTTCTTGCACAAACCCTTATTCAATTTATAAACACTATTTATTACAACATTTGCTCTATTAGCCTTAAGGGCTCACCTAGAGAGCTTGCGCTGTTTACAGTGAATATTTCAAAAACACAAAATACACGTCACAATTGAACACTCACAAAAAAGCGAAAGCATAAAAAGAAAAACAAAATTAAATGTAGAAACAGAAACACACACGCAGCAACTAACAGAAGCGATTTGATAGCGAAACAAACGACTGGACAAGCTGAAACAACCTAATGATAATTTGAAAATCAGCAGTAGAAGTACCATTTAAAAGCCAATCGATTTTTTTTGTTATCTGAGGCACAATGCAATCTATTTCCAAGTACTCCTTGTTCTTTATTTCTTTGGTAATAACACACACTTTGAAGAGAAGCACTTTTATTTGTAAATTTCTTTTTGTTGTCTGCAACGTAAGGAAGAGCTATCTTAAGCAGAACACACCAAATAACCCCTCCCCTTTTTTTGTCTGTTTCTTTTCCATTGCACCTTAAACCTGTTCTCCTCCAAATAAGCACGTCTGCTTGGTGGTATATTTCATTTTTCCACAAGTAGGAGAATTGTGTGTAGTAATACATACTATCCAGTCTCGGAGAGTTCGTTGGCCACGACAGCTAAATACCTTCCCAATTCTTAATGATAGTAAGAGCCAACTATGTTCGTTAACATAGAGTTTCACTTACTTCCTCTTGCAGATCACATTCACAGCAAAGGCTGGTCTCCCTGTGAAGTTTGAACCGGAGACGATGCCTGCGACTCCCACTGTTTCCAACACTCAAAGGACCAACAGCCGAACCCTGGTGAAGACACTCAAGTTACAACTTAAGGTTCAAATATTAACTGTTTTGGGGTTGCTTTCCGTCCTCAATGTACTGCCAAAATGACCCACATCTTCAATTGCCATTTCTTTCCGATGCCATGCGTATAATTGTAGGCCAGCGTCGGTGAGCATTAGAGAGATTACGCAACGACGACGGCGACAGTAACGAGAATGGCAAAAAAGCAATTGGTTTAGACAAGCAAAACAACAACTTTGCACGTGCATCACGCTTTTTCGTACATTTCTCAGCCGTCGTTGCACGACTACAACGTGAAACTGCCCAGTTTCACGTTTTGTCGAGGACGGAAACAGAGGACAACAACTTTCTTTTTCTTTTCCTGAACTTTGATGCAGTCCTTTAGAATTCAACTCCCAAAAATATGCCAACATTTGACGAATTAAACGAGAAGGAATAAGCGCGGTAAAGTTTGAAGCAGAGCAAATTCACTTTTTAAGTGACGTTTTCGTAGCCGTCGGCGTCGCCGTCGTCGTTGCCTAACTCCCTATTAAATTTTGGGAAAAGAGTTGCAGAGAGTTGCAGTTGGTTGCCTGCAAAGATTTCGTCCGTACTTTGAAGATGAGTAGCAAGTCGCTGAAAATGAACAAAGGAAAAGAAAAAAATGAACAACAAAAAGATTAGTCCATTGACGGCGTCGATGAAGCATCTCACAAAGGTGATGACGATTATGTCACCAAGAAGTACGTTTACGAGGTGATGAAAGTGCAAGGGTCGATGTTTCTCAATTCATTTGAATCCATGTTGACCAGTGTTAACAATAGAATTCATGGTGTGATCAAAGACCTGACAGAATTGAATTCAAGTATTCGCATCACCTTAATCTCTTGCCTAGTAGCTTAACAAACCTCTTTTTAAGTAATAATCAGCAAACTGGCTTTAGGCAGCCTTGAGACAAGATTGCTCTCTCTGCCGTTTGTTTTAGGACAAATTCGATAACCTGACTGGTGAGAATCTGAAAGAAAAGGTGGTTGTCAAGGTAACGACACCATCAGAAGGCATTGACGAGATCCCTGCTCTGACTGGAAATGTGTACTCCTTGGAGGTACCCCTGGTCAAGGGCGTGGCCACTGTACAGAACCTCCTTATTCAAGAGAACACTGCAGGCAAAGACGGACAGGAATACCTGCTGAACTTTCACACTCAGATTCCTCCTAATTCTTCGCCTCATCCTATTCCCGTGTTTACATTGGCATTCTTGTTTTACAATGGCAAGTACCCTTCGGTTTCATGTAGTACTGACTTTCTTCTTCGTGATTAAGGGCCTGTTTACATTGAGGCGGGGACCCCAGGTAGGTGAGGTAACCTGCTTAGGTGGGGTAACCCGCCTGTCCATATAATCTCTCATTTTAATTTGATCACGTTTACATGATAAGTGGGGTGACCCGCCGCATGTTACCTCACCTATCTCGGATCTCCCACCTCCATGTAAACAGGCCTTAACTTAAAGGATATCCGATAATGTGCTTGTTCGTTGTGTGACTTTTTTGTTTTAAAATAGCAAATACACTGCGGTTTTCTGTGGTGCTAATTTTCCCATCCCTTATAAATATTAACATAAAATAACAAGTGCCCGTTCTTTCTGCGCAGGCTTGTCACTAAGATTTCAAGTTACGGGTAAATGCAACAAGTAGGCGGGAAATCAAACAGCTAGGGATTTCGTTTGGTTCTATTTTTTCTCTTTTCCAATGAAAGTAGCTGGGGCCCATTCATTAGCAGCTGGGGAAATCCCCGGCCCCTGGCTCTTAGTGGCAGCCCAGCTGCGACCTGGTTTTGTTTACAGTGGCAGGTACACTTCGGTTTCCTGTAAAAAAAAAAAACTATTAAATTCCTATTTCCCTCTTCTTGATTAACTTAAAAAAAAAACTTCTTTTTGTTTGTTCAACCTTTTGTTTTAGAATAGCAAGTACACTTCGGTTCTTATAAAGAAGTGTCTAATTTCCACTCATTGATTAACGTATCTGCTTATTCGTCGTTTGACCTCTCTAAATCACTTCCTTTTACTTGCTTTCCACCTTGTTAGGTATTTTGTTAACTAACACAACATATTTCATAAACAGTACTATACTTTTTTGCTTTTAGATGTGAGGAAACAGCAACAGATGGCTCAGCTGACAAAAGAAAGAGATCACTTATTTGAGACGATACGCACCTACCGGCTTCTTTTTGAAACTACGCGACAACTCATTAACGAGATGCAAGGTTGGTGGCTTATTTTTGGTTCTTTGCAGTCGACCACATTAACATTCGCCCACAGAGGAGTGAGACGCAATAATTTTGTCTTATCCTCAAAGTCTCGAGAGTAAATAACATCAATTTTCTCCTAACAATATCCATGCACAATCAAAAGAAAAGGTTATGAGAAATAATAAAATGATCATCAAAATGAAAATGCTTTGATTTTTATCAAATTCTCTCAACTAATTCTGTAAGGAAATATATGGAGATCTGTAGAGAGAATTCTTATGTGGATATTGGGACTTAAAAGATTACTCATTAAGTCAATGTTCCTCCATAAAAGATTCAAAAGCTGACGCATTAAGTGCTAGCCCTTCATCAGAGCGAATTGAAACTTGATAACACCAGCTTTTTTTTAAAGATTTGAACAACCAATTTTATAATTGAACCATAACCTTTATTTTTGTACTTTACAGTGTCAGTGCATGAAGCTTCTTTACAAGAACAGAAGCTGAGAGGAGAACTCAGAAAACAAAACATCCCTGCAAGCAGCTTAGCATCGGTAAGAGGGTAATCCTGGTACAGGATCGAGCCACCCTAAGGGAGTAGTTAGAGTACCAAGCTCAAGTCCAGAGGTCGCTGTTTTCGGTTTAACCAGAGGTCCCCTCTTTTCCACAGAGGCCTAGCGGAGAGTAGAACACAGGGGAGAAAACGTACGTGGTGTATGCTGGGAAGGGGAAGAGAGGAAGCGAGGTTTCCGCCATTTTTCTTTCCTTTGTTCACACGACAGCACTTTCGAGTTATAAAAGAAGTTATGTTCTTGTCGTCGGAGCTTCTGTTAGGGAAATATGAGGTGCATATGTAGCCACACGGCACTGGCTGGTTTTGATTAAAGTTGGATCTGAATTCAACTCCTTGGCCATACCTGTTGGTGCCTCTGAAGCTTTTACGTTTACTTTCGTTTTCTTATTTAGACGAAGTGCTAGAAAGTTGTGGATGATGCCTCATTTTGTTACCGTGCATACGTCACAAGTTTTGCATATTACCGGAAGGTCTCATTTTGTAAAAGTCAATTCGCACCATAGATTAGTATTGTTAAATATCCGTTTCATTTGAATGGTCACATCATAGCTCTGGGAGTGAAAGAGTTAATCACTAGAGAGCTTTAGATTTGAGGAGGAGAACGAGTATGAGTATGAGATTTAACATAAAGTTTCAGAATCTAAGCCCTCTACTGCTTGTTTGTTCTTAGCCATCAGCTGTGACTACATTGATAGATGAAATGTCAAAAAAGAGAGATCAGATCGCTATTACTCCTCGCCGACAGTGTCTACTTCACCCTGGACCCCGTGGAGACTCTGGTATTCTGGGAAAGGTTTGTTCAGTTTACTTTTCGATGAGTTCACACTATGCTTTAGTCTGACAAGTTTTTTCCCTTTTTCAAAGCCATAGCAAAGAGTGATTTATAATAACCGTTATGCATGTTTACGTCAGACGAGTATATTTCACCACCCAGCCTCGTTTTGAAGTTGAAAAGTTGCCAAGTTGTGCATAAATGAATTCCCAGGGCAGAAAAGTTGAAAAGAATATTCACGCCCAAAGGGTGCAAATGCAAACAGTTTTGTTTACAAACGAGGTTTTGTGAAATTTGCTCGACTGACGTAATTATGCAACTTCAAATCTTAGTGACAGCCCTGACCTCGGTAATGAAGACACTTGGCTCTACCTCGTCGGTATACTTTTGTTGCGTATTAGCGCTAACGCTGTTCTCTGTTCCCCCTGCAGGTAGCTCATTTAGCTCAAGTGGTAGATGACGACGTTGCGCGAGTACTGTCGTGGCACATGGCATCCGATATGGACTGTGTCGTTACTCTCACGACAGAAAAGGTTCGTCCTTAGACTTTCAAAAAAGTCCTTTTTCCGATTTAATATGGCGCGGGACGAAGGTCGACCTTTCGCGACTTCGTCGTACGCTTGGTCGCTTGCTAAGACACTCGTGCTGTCGACTTCTAGCAAGTCTAGTTCGTTCCCATAACCTCGTGTTTTGCCTGCAGTGCTTTTCGCTCATCATAAATTCTCTCCCCTTTTGGGTAGCTAGTATGTACGTAAGTTATGCTGTTCCGCTCTATCCTATTCTACTGGACCTGTCGTTTTGTGCTCTGTAGGGTGTGTTTTTTATTGCTGACAAGCGTTTGCGAGGTAGCAATACTATTGTTTGTGTAGCGAAAAAATTCAATTTTGTAGTATTCTTTGTGTAGCGGCAAATTCTATTTGTGTCGAATGTAAGATCACCCACAAACACACTTGGTCATGACTATCTTAGAGGTCTTTTTATATGACGTAGTATATCCGCACAGCGCTCGATTGAATGTTCAAGTTCCTGACAAACGGACAATCTTGACTGTTTAAACTGTCGAATTCTTTTTCTTTTCCTCCGGTATTAATAAACTCAATCGAGTTAAAGGCTTCCGTGTTACCTCAGGAATGAACCGTAACTTAAGTATTTGCCTTACTGGTCGAAAGCACACTGATTTCATGAGCGAATGTTTTACATCAACGGGCAAAGTCAACGACTAATATTTTGGCACAAAACTGTAAATTCCTCTGCTGCTTATTTCCTGGTAATAATTATTACTGTCTCACTTCCATGACCTCCACACAAGTCCTTTTGTAGCTCTCTAAAATAACCGGTAACATTTAACTAGTTTTTTGTCACTTTTTGAATAACACGGGTAACTGTTTATTTTCAGGCAAAACAAGTGTATCGCGACTCTAATGGCCAGCAACAAGTGCTACCCTTGGATTCTATCTTCAGACGTAGTTTACCAGAATGGAATAGGTACAGACCAAATTAACCCAGTTATTATAGACGCTGTGTCTCTCAGGAGTTTTCAAACCCAAACCTGCTTAACAATTTTACACCATAAATCCTCCATTAACCCCCCCCTCTCAAATGAGCCCCCTCTCACTAATAGGCCTCTCCTTTTCAGAGAAAGAAAGTTAATAAGCCCCTTCTCTTTAAGCCTCCATCCCGTCCCCTCCGCTTATTATTCTTTATTATTTTAATGATAGACTGTATTAATCAGTCACGACAGTAAAACATGGTGTGGACTGATCCAGGACGGTTTATTTACCAACTAGAAGTTCGGAATTGTTATTGATTTTCGGCTGCATGACTCCAACGTCTTGTACTGGAACTTTTCCTCTTTGTATTCTAGTTCTTTATGGTGAACTGATACCATCGTTTCTTCTTAATTAGATAACCCCCTCTCTCTAACCCCTCCCCACCTCAAATGGGCTTGAAATAAATAAGCCCCCCAAGGGGCTTTAATTGAGGATTTACGGTAAGTTGGTTTTTTAACCCAAAGAAAATTCAGGGAGTGCTCAAGTAGTGCCGATCAAGTTTATAAAATTTCCTGCCCGGTTTTATGAGTTACTCTACTACATTAAAATGTACTATACTGTTATCTGCAGGTTTAACCTGGCTTACACTCTCATTCATTCGCGTAGTCAGTTGTGATGTCATATAATGGTGATCTATCTTTTGAATCTGTAGGCGAATTCATATAGAACCCTCTATTTCGGTAGGACCCTATGCGTGATTTTTCTTTCCTGAATTTGTGAAAATTAGACTATTAACTCCCAGTGCATTAGAAAAAGTTAGCAATACTTGCAGACATGTCCGCAGGGGCCTGTGAATATGCTAGTGAGCACGCTCAAGAATTTTCCAGTGGCTTCAGAGTTTTAAGCCTGTAGCGTAGCTTAGCAATGAGTAGCCATTAATACTGACTGTTAATTTTAGAGCTCTTCCACATATACGAGGTCAGGGCAGTTACAATCCGTCTGGTAACCCTGTGTACGCAAGAGATATGTTGATGTTTCCAACAGAGGCGGAAAATTGCAAGCTAGGTAATACGAATGTGTATGCAAGAGTACTTATTGTAGGGCCTGTGCGACAATAGACCATTAGATAATCATTAGCCTGCTCTATGTTCTCTAGTTTAAAAACAACTGTTGGGCCAACGCTCGAGAGGCGCCGGCGGAATCTCATGCGCGAGTGGCAAGCAGATTGGCTCATTCGATAAGTTCTTGAATGGAGAACTTCTCTAAGGCCAAGGTAATTTGCTTGAAAGAAGGCAGTGCTGGGGGACGTTGAATAGAAATGAATTTTCTGTTTAGGAAGGTGAACGTTTCGCTTACCCGTTGTCAAAGAGATACCCATTGGTGGAGCTCCGTGATTAGTTGCAACAAGCTAGCGTAAACGGCAAGAATCAGTTACATGCTCCCCCCTCCCCCAAATTAGCCGGACGACAGTTTCTCTAAACAGGCAGCTAAACATTGGCTAGTATAGGGTACAAATACGTTAATCCCAGGAAACAGTCCCCCTTAATGCACAACATCCACTTCCCGTTTGTTGACATTTCCAGTGATTCCACGCTCAGAGGTAGAAATAACTTTGTCAAGATACATTGTTATGGGTTTAGGAACTACCACTCTTATGCTCCGTGAACATCTACCAATGCTTGTTGGGTATCAGAGGTCTTTTTATTTTCCTCTCGTGCGGCGGGGTGCTTCGATGTCGGTAACAGACCGAAGCCGCGAGTCACTTTCACCAGAAATTACACTAGAAACGTCTTTGCTGTCCGGGGTATACAAAGTTCTTCGTGACTGTCAAAAATTTTCCTCAAACTCAATAACAAATAAATGTATCGAGAAAACAGACAAATTCTATACCATGAATTGCGACACCTAAATCAAACACTCGAAAGAGTTTTTCATTTGGAATCCAAATAACCTTGACGTCACTATGCCTCATTTTTCAACTCACTTCTCGTTTTCTGCCCTAGGGGGTACTCCCTATAATGGCCTATACGGCGAGACTCCGCCCGAAAGGGGTACCTTTTTCAGACTTCAGGTATATGGAAGGGTTAGGATTTTACCAGTTGAATTATATGAAAGTGGTGGGAAATCTGTCATTTGGGCCTGTGAATGGGCTCAAAGGGCAGAACAGATGAATTTCAGTGTTATGGCTTTATAAAGTCGGGAAAACGTTCTATTTTTGTGATTGATTCCTACTTAAAGGATAATGCATTTGCAGCAGTTAAAAAGGGGTACCTTTTTCGTGAAAAATGGTATATAAAAGGGTAAGGGGTTGGACCTCGGGGCGTAGCCTCCCCGTATAAAAATTTGTTGAGTACGCTCCCGGGATTTTCTGCATGTTTTTTGAAACTTTCCTCGGGTTTGATTCATTGCTTGTCTCATGGCAGTGTTCGGTATGTTACTGGGTGATACACTGATCCTAGATGACCTGGACTGTGCAAATAAATACAGACAACAGGTGAGTATACTTGTTGGTGATGCATTTCAAGGTGATGTTACATCGGACGATTCGCAGCAACGATTTTTAGCGCTAGACAGCGTTGCAACATTGTTGTGACATTGATTCAAATGGTTGCAACGTTGTTCCAACATTGCCGGCAATGCTGTGCCACGGCTGGCTATTTCATGTTGTTAATATTGCCAATTAAGCTTCCTTGTGCGCAATGAAACTAAACGTAAGGGGAAAAATTTTCTTGTAAACGACAAAATCACAGCTTCTCGTCAAATAAATGTCTCTCAAGCATTATATGAAACGTTAAATACGAGCAAAATGAACTTTGGAAACGGTTAGGCTAACAAGTTTTCAAAAATCGGTAATTGCAATCCGTTTTAGTCTTCCTCAGCTGAGTTTGTCCGCCCCTGCCTCTTTTTGTATTTGCTGTGCCATTAATGCTTTGTTTAAATGTTTTGAGCGGTTACGGTATTTTTATGTTTCACTCAATTTGGTGGCGGTTTCTACTGTTAGAATTTTGATACGTAATTCATGACTCAGCTCCTTTAACATCAATGTACTAGTGACGACATGACATTTTTACATTTAGCCTGTGTAGCTGGCGGGATTGTTATGCCCTATTCAAAACGGGAGAGGCTCGGAGAGGGTTGAATCCTCACCAGGCTCCAGGCTACCGTCCAGTGGATAACTCAATTGGTTTCCCTTATACCTATTCGCTAGACAGAGATTTATTTATCCAGTAGATAGCGCTGTCCAACGTTTGAACGACGATGGGGCGGGTTTCCGAGCCTTTAAGCTAATTGCAAAATTACAGACATAGCTGTGGCTTTGAGATAAAGCCACTAACAGACGACTGCAATGCAATAAAGAAAACTATTGATTTACGCCTGACTATAGTGAACTTAACCAAGGACGTTTTAGAGCGACACGCACCAACCAGAAGTGGCTGTTTTGCATCATTGGTCAGCAGTTTTTTCCCAAATTAAATTTCTGGCAATTCGTCTCAGTAAGACTAAAGATATCGTATTTATTCGATTAACCTGCCCTGGGCGCTTATTAAATTTTCACCATTTTCAGCAAGTCAAGTATGTTTATTTTGCAACAAACAATAAATGGTAATAACAAAACGCGAAGATGTAACAAAGTAAGGTCTCTGTAAAATGCTCTGAAGAAAACTTCGTCTTCGGGGAAGTCTCTTATTAGTACTTATTCAATTTCAATTTCAATCTCATTGTCACTCAAGTCAATAAGTGAATTCTCTGGTGCTGCCTCCTCGATGTCCGACATCGGGGAGTGGGGTGGGGGTGGGCGCTTATTCGAGGTGGGCGCTTATTCGAATAAATACGGACTTAACAAGGCACATTTGTTAGCGTCAAGGTAATGAGAAAAGGCTTCACTTCCGGTTGACGTGTTACGTCCAGAAATGTCTTTGCTTAACCTCCCTTGTGTATTGTTATGATGTAGGTTGTAAAGCACACTCATTGTCCTACGATTCTTACAAGAGGAGGAGATCGCATCAGAAGTAACGGTAAGTTATTTAGCCCATTAACCTTTAAGTGACTAGTGTTTAAGATTTCTCCTTATTCTTACACTGTTAAGTCAAACATAAATATCGATAACATGCTGAGCTGGCAGGTCGCGCAATATCACGTGATCATGGAATGACGCAATGGTGAGGTAGAATTTCTCCTTATTCTTACACTGTTCAGTCAAACATAAATACCGTGAGAAAAAGCACATGATCAGCAAGTGAAAAAGGTCTTGATTACGCAGGATATGCGTGGAGAACGTTGTGGAGAATGTTTGTATTAATTTTAGGGTTTAAAGGGTCGCACCAATCCCCGTGATACTGTTTCTTCTAGTGAGAATTTTAATCTCGATTGTTTTGCTCTCTTGCAAAGGTAAATTCGGCGGACTGCAGAACAAAGCTCCTCCTCTTGAGAGAATGCGCGGCGCAGTGTTCGCTGCGCCTCTTCCGCTGACATTCCATTCACTGACAACGCAGATTGGTGAGTGACAACTAAAGCTCTTCTCATTTTTCACCGCCAATGTATAACTCCAACATTGCTGCTAATGTTTTTCTTTATTCATTATGTTGTCAGAACAACTACAAGCTTTTAAACAAGCCGTTATCAAACACACACAAGCCAAGGAAGAACTTTCGGTAAGCTTAAAGAAGCGCATCGCATTGGTTTTTTTTTTCCTTTCGTACACAAACCCACCCTGCTGTCAGTCTTCTTTTCTTGAGAGCGGATGAGAAGGGGAAGTTCTGCCTGAATCGCTTCGAGTCTTGTTTTAACCCTTTAAGTCCCAAAAGTGACCAACGTCATTTTTCTTTTAACAATATCCGTATATTGTCATAAGATGAGGTTATGAGAATTAATAAAATGATCGCCAAAGAAAAATGCCTTGATCATTTATTGAATTCTCTCAACTTACTCTTAAAGGAAATGTATGGAGATCACTTTGGAGAATTTGTATGTGTATATTAATTGGGGCTTAGAGGGTTAAGGCCGCTTTCCTTCTTATCGTATAGGTGAGCGCGACCCCATAACTTAAAGATTTGAATCCGCTTTCACTACTTTTTTGTTCAGCTCGCCAGTTTATTTTCAAAACAAATCGCTGGTAACGGTTAGCTGATTTACGAATTTGATCTTGGAGCATTTGAAGGGAACACTTTCTCTATCTCCTTTCTCTAACAGCTGCAGCTACAGCACGGACAAACGCAGGAGATGAAAATTAAACACCGGGAATGCAGAGAGGCTGAAACCCAGTTACGCATGATTGAGGAGCGTTTGGGCATGACTCCGACCCAGTACAATATGCCTCCCAGTCCGGCCACTATGCTGCTGACAGAAATCAACACTCCACCTACCAGAACAGCTACCTCGCGTCGCTCCAGCGCACGAGCTGCGGCTGCGGCTACCGCTTCTCCGACCTTATCGACTCCGGTCGTAAATGGTTCGAGCAACGCATCGGGAAACACAACTTCTCCGCGAACGAGGCGAGGTGCTGCGATCTCCCCTGAAGAAGTAAGAACGAGTAAACGAACGCGCCGATGAACAGAACGCAGCTTAAAATAGTTATTCTGGAGGTTGACACTACTTTAAACATACCGCAGTGGATTTACAGTCAAAACCTTAAAGAACTTGCAAACATGATTTTGTGGTACCGATCATTTCTTAAACGAGGAAAGTCCGCCATGGAAGATGCTTCGCTATATTGTGCCATGCTTTAAAACCTGGTCCTCGTGCTCATTTAAGTTTACGGCTTTCCTTGTAAAAGATCTACTGACTGAAAAACTGTACCTCTGAAGACTATGAGGAGATTCCATTTCTTTACAGATTGTAACAATTTTTCACTTTGCTACTGTATCTATTTTTCACACCCTCCTTCTAGAAGTTTATCATTATACGTGCTTTTGAAATTTACTTTGAGAACTTAGCGTAAAATTGATATTGTGCTCTGATTCTCTTTCATGCCGGATTATCTCCCGAAACTAAACCAAAAGTGGAGCCGACGTTTTCCAAGTTTACTCCATCTTCTTCAGTCTTGACTATACACGTCCTATCTGAGGTTGAAGAGGATACGTGATGTTTTTTTTATCTCTTGGTTTTAGCTAAAAATTGCCTAAAATTGCATGACATTGCGCTTTTATATTAGAGACCTTAAGATCGGAGTGTTTTGGCATTTCCCGCTAACCGCGAACGTCAAGAATTCACGTGACCAGTGCCCTGCCGTCGGAATTTGGGTTTGAGGTTCACATTCCTACAGCATGAGCACGCTCAAGGGATATAATAAGTGATTTACTGCAAGGATTTTTGCACCCCAAAACATCCTAATACCGCGTTTGAGAGGAAATACTACCTTTTAGAACTCTTCCGCATATTAATCATCCAATTCGTTTTCATAGGAACGTATTTTTGAAGACAATTTCTGAGCTAAAATAGTTTGCCGTTTTCAGTAAGATGGCCAAACCTCGATCTTAAGGTCTCTATTCTTAATTTCAATTTGACTGAAATTCAGTTCAGTAGTCTTACTTAACCTTACTACATCCTATACGCCACTAATTTATCTTCGTGTTAAAAGGTATTACGGTATTAAAAGGTACTTTTTACCTCAAAGTACAGTATGAGATTAGTGGCAAATGAATGTTGAGAAATTGTCCGTTTTGTGTTAACGCGTGGAACTCGTTCGGTGCTGTGTTGAATGACAATTGCCGTTTTCAAACTGGAGACGGATTATCCGTCTGAGAATTATCCGTTGGATTATCCGTCTAGATGTGAAAACGAGACGATAAACGTATTCACACTAGAGACGGATTATCCGTCTGAGACGAATTATCCGTTGGATAATTCGCGTCAGATAGATAATACGCCGTAATTTAAAAATGGAACGGTCTTAATTTTGCATGGACAATCGGCCTGACTCAATCCATCTGTTTTTCCGTCAATTTTTACGGATTTTGAAGATGGATTATCCGTCTCAGACGAATAATCCATCTCAAGTGTAAAAAAGGCCGTTGTTCAATTTGGACGGATAATTCGTCTGACTTTATCCTTCTTTTTAGACGGATTTTGAAGACGAATAATCTGTCAAAGACGGATTATTCGTCTCGAATTCACACTAGACAGATAAACTCATCCCATTTTTTCTACCCACCCTCGTCCCCAGTGTCTTCTCGCTTTCCAAAAGACACTGGGTCGAGGTTGTTTTTTTTCCTGAAAAGCCTGGCACTAGACACTGGAAAGGGTGCGTTGCAACGAAGGATTCGTAGAACAAAAAGTTTAAAGCACTCATCCCCCAGAAGGTACTCCTGGGAATTCTTGGTTGGGGTGTGCCGCCCCGTTCTCCAAATCCTAATCCTATATCAGACCTAAAACTGTCATTTTTCGCACCCGTTTTCAGATCTCACCTCTAAAAAAAACGATTTCTTAAAATCCATTTCGAATTCGTTCTTACTCATTTGGAATTAAAACCATAAATACGTTCATCCACTCCCGTAGTTCCCTCGAAAATCATACCCGACTCCAGACCAAAATGGGCACACAAGGAAAAGAAAAGCGTTAAAAAAGAACACGTGGAGTGAAAGCGTCTTTAATAGTACCGAGAAGCGCACCCCCGCAAGGCGCCTTTGTATCATTAATAATACTTGTTTGTCCCCGCCATTCTCCTCCCCCAAACAAAATTGTGGAAGCGTAAGCAATGTCTTCAATTTTTCTTGCGACGACTGTAATACGCATGAAAATTTAGGAAAAAAGGGTTGCGCAAAATTTGGGCGAGGGTGTTTGTTTGTTTGTTTGTTTTCTCACGGACTGAGTCTCGAGGTCAATAAATACGTTGCCCGGCTGCGGGACCACTGCGGCAAAATTCCCAACGGGAAAGATAGGTAGTCAATCAGAAAACAGTATTTACTTCAGCTCACCCACTCGCGAAAGCTGCATATGATAATGTGATCAGATTTACAGGTTTCTTTTGTGAGATACCGTAAAATTCCGAAAATAAGCACGTCCATATATAAGCCCCCCAAACTCGTAACGCAAAAAACCCTCCGTTAAATCGCTTCTCCAAATATAAGCCCCCGTGGGCTTGTACTTGGAAAATTGCCCTCAAATACAAAGTAAAACACAGCAAAAAAAGGTAAATTCACTCCCAACTATAAGGCTAACCCAATCGATTTCGAAACGCAAATTTCCCTTCGTAGATAAGCCCCTCCAAAAATAAGCCCCTCAAAAAACGGTCTTTGTAAAATATAAGCCTCGGGGCTTATTTTCGGAATTTTACGGTATGATTAGGCGTATGTGTGACCTTAGGATTGTGCCCTGTTCACGTTGTGACCTTCGACCGCGCTCGTGATATTATAGTGCGCGCCTCTCACTCGACTGTTTATGAACCAAACACGAACGCTTCAGCAAGTAACAACAGGATACTGTGTTCCCTTCAATTTTTTCTGACGTAGAATTTAAAAAGGACAAGTAACAGGTATGTATGAGAAATGTACGTAATCACCTTTCATTTTTCGGTGAAGTTAAGGAATTTTTGCTCTACCGTTAGCGTTTTAGAACTGAAGCATTTGTACCTTCTTCACCTTTATAATTCTTCTGACATTTATTTGGTTTCAGTTTTTTGAATCTACTACTTAATGGTAAAGCTTCCTTATTTATTGCAGCAGTTCTTAATGACTAGGTCTAATCATAGCAAACAACGTCCAATTTCTCAGAGTATTACTGCTTATCATGGAAAGGCCATGAGATAATTTAGAGAGTATTGTCGATGACCCCTAACAAAATCGTCATCAGTTTTTTGAGAGCCACATGCAATATCAGGCCAATATCGACAACTGAGTGGAAATGTACATTATCAGGGAAAGAAATGTAAAGAATATCACCTTTCACAGTAGATTTGTTTTTAACGTTTTTCTCCAGCTGCTAATTAGTAATTGGTTAAAGCTAATTTCTTGGGGATTTTAGCTACTGTAGGGTAGAACATATATAGAGGTGCCCTTTTGATTAATCCCTTCCTCTCCGCTACTATCTACCAAACACTGAACTTGGACACCAGCAACTGTTTCTTTTTATCGCACAGAAAATAAGTGCTCTAGACAAAGTGCTCCAAGTGACGGACGCATTTGATGATGGTATGGCATATAAGGTTTGTTAACGGGTATCAAGAGGCAGCAATTTAGCCTCACTACCCTCTGTCCATGACTGCTTTCCCTCCCCCTCCCCCGGATCATTATATGGGTACATGATTATCACTAGCTTAAAATGAGAAGTCGATGCAATCCATTTGTTGTCCTTTACCTTAAGTAATTTCTGATGGCGAACTAGCCTGCGAAAGCACAGGCCTTTTTCTGCTTTGCTTTACACACCGAGAAAACAGTTTTCTAAGCGTGTGAAACCTTTGGGGCGAAACCTAAAGCCGAAAAAGGCGTCTGCTCTCGAAGGCTTATGGCGAACGGGCCAGTTTCGAATTATCAAAATCCACTTCTGAGGGAAATAAAACTAAATAAATGGACTATTCATCTCCCAATCTCAATACCATTTCCTTAGTTTTATACCACGCAGCCTCGGAGCCAAGCAACCTTGTTCCCATGGTTCTCTCCCATTCGTCCTCCGAAGCAAGAGAGACGGGGAATTAGTAGCGGAGAACCCTGGAAACGAAGTTGGCAGCCAACTCGTAAATTCAAAACAGGCCTATTGAAAGTATCCTTTGCTGTTAGACTGCGTGACTGTTCACATCGATCTTGTGACACTCAGTTGTCGCGCGTGTCTTCAATGAGTTCTTTTCTCCTTTTAATCATTTCAATCAGATTCTTATGGAAGTCCCGTAAAATTCCGAAAATAAGCCCCGGGGCTTATATGTTTCAAAGGCCTATTTTGCGGGGTTATTTTTTGAGAAGCTTATATTCGGAGGGGCTTATATACGGAGGGAAGCTCTCGTTTCAAAATCAGCTAGGCTTATACTTGGAGGGAAATTTGCGTCTCAAAATCGGTTGGGCTAACTTATAGTTGGAAGGAAAATTTATGTCAGTAATTTGCAGAAAGGTTTCACTGAACCTGCCTTGAGGAAATACACCTTTGTAAAACGCAGCCATGGAAGCACTTGGTCTACATGGACCGGCAAGGAAATCCAAGCCAAGAGTGAAGAGTGAACTATGCAAACAGCAATTTCTGACTACAATCATTTGGTACACGCAAGAGTTCTTAGGCAAATACAAAAATTCATGTGTTACTGTACAGTTTTGCCTCGTTTTATTTTGAATTTGAGGGCAATTTCCAAGTACAAGCTCCCGAGGGCTTATACTCGGAGGGTCGATTTAACGGAGGGATTTTTGCGTTACGAGTTTAGGGGGCTTATACATGGAGGGGCTTATTTTCGAAATTTTACGGTATTTAATCTGTGCAACCAGTTGAGAATATTACAAACATTTACAGAGAAGGATACAAAAAATCTGAACAATTCGTCAAGAATAAAATCCGTCTACTTAGAGGATAAGGCACAACTAGCATATCCAATCACCGTACAGATGAGAATTCGAAAGTATTATCAGCTAGTTATTACCCCGCGAGCAGAGGTCAGGGGCACCCAGCAACTATTTCCTCCTTAATACATTGAAAACACATTTTAGGCTATCCAGGGTAATTTCAGATCTCTAGAAGTGCATTCTAAGCAGCGCTATAAGATTTATATCTGTTCGGTAATCCTAGGGGAACTTGAGTCTTTTCAAAATTACAAGGGCTTCAGTATTTCCCCCCTAATTTTAGATCTAATTTAATTAACGTTTTAAGAAAGTGAGCATTTTTCTGTTTTCTTCTCTCCATTACATTTTTGAATAAGAAAATCTTAGGTTTCTTTTTTCTACGAAAAATAGCCTAACGCGGGGAGTGTAATTTTTAGCCGTCCTCAAGTAATGAAAATTGTAGGCCATGCTTGCTTTTCCGAAAAGATATTTTACAGAAAACAGTCGCTAGATGCTTCTGAGAGGTTTTTGCTGTTCTGTTTATAATTAGCTACCCTGCGAGTAGAGGTTCCTCTCTTGCACGGCTTGAACCTCTGCTCGCAGGGTAGCTTATTATAAACAGAACACTCAAAGATTCTTACTCAGTCCTACTTTTTTTGTCAACAATATAATATTGAACTGAATTCGTACTACATTTTCTCTCAGCCAAAAGACATGAAGTTCGTATTGGCCATGTCCTTGGTGTCTATTTGCCTCGTTCTGGTTTCCGCTCGCCTCATTCGTCGCAGAGAAACGATTGAAAAACTGGTTGAGTTCAAGGTCGCCGTTCCTTTTTAGCTGAAGTCGTGGCAGCAGGGATGTAGCCCATTGGGTCAACCGTGCGATTCGTTAATGGATTGCTGTTCTCTCTACTGCCTTTTTGGGAAATGTTCAGAGCCTTTCGCTGGTGCCTTGAGGAAGTAGTCTAATACTGACGTAACATTAAGACTTACTGATCTACTTGTAGACTGTCCTTGACTTCAAAACTTCGAAAAAGTACTGTATTGTTAACTGTCTAAGTTTAATTAGCGATGACAGTATTCCGCGCGCATTTATCTTAACTCAAATTCATAAAAATTGGAATTCGAGAGCCACCT